GCTTGCAGCTCGTGAAACATGAGGATGCATAACGCCTGGCAGCGAGATGTCTGCATCGCATGAAAGTCGACTATCATCGGCAAACATCATAGAAGCGCAGCATCTGCGAACGGCCGGCCAGCGAAGCGAAGAGAAGGCACAGCTGAGCGAACCGCAGTTGGCGCGATAACGGTGCCGGCAGCGCACATATAGCAAGCAGCAGATTGCCGGGACTTTGCTTGGTGTCATACGACAGCGATGCAGAGAATGTGGGTTTGTGGATGATCGCTCGGACAGGGTGACAGTGCGCGAAGAAAACTGTGTGTACTCGTGGTGTCAGAGGATCATTCGTCGCGTAAAATGACAAGAAGAAGACAGACGATTGGTTAATTCGCGCGTGGTCCCAATGTCTAATACAGCCGCCGCACTGATGCACCCCCGCTGGCCGTCTTCAATGCAGATAGGGTCGGAAGACCCTTGTGGTTGATTGGCAGCGTTTGAGAGGAAGGTTTCGTCTTTGCTCGTTTGCGGGCTTGGTGGGATTCACCCATATCCAGGAGGACAGAGATATAGAACGCGCCAGCCCGTTTCCACCCGACTCTTGGAACGCAAGGAAGATCCCCGAGGAAGCTTGGACGCGTCGGGCTTGCCGGGATGGGGTGCAGAAACCTCCCGACCGAACGCATCCGTGTACTGGCAAGGTTTCGAGGCGAAATAGCTAGCGAAGGACATCGAATGCGAACGAGAAGAATGAGTGGTGACATGATGCACGTACCAGTTGCTGCACGGCGCTGCGAGGAGCGGACCGGACTCGCACGTTCAGTGTAAACCAGGCGATGGAGAGGAACGTCTGTACCTGTACCATCGCATCTCCTTTTGCTTTTATGACAAGAGTTGCAAGCCTGGGGACCAGGAGAGAAAGAAAGAGTTGAGCGGGGGGGACAGACACGTAAATCAATCGGTTCCAACCTTGGTGAGCCTTTTCCGCTTGGGGACTGTGGAACCTGCGGCCTTGTCTGGGTCGTCGTCAGGTGGGTGGAAGTCGGGTGCTCGTAGCCAGCCTGGAACGAAAAGGACGTGGGGGACCTTCCATCGGCTCCGAGGCTGGCGCACTGGCAGCGACGCGGATTGGGAGGAGCAACAACCCCGCCTTCCCGAGTGGGCGATTTGACGCATATGGATGCCCCATCAATTGCATCGTTTCACTTTCTCCGCTTCCTGTACTTATTCATCCATGTTTCGAAATGTTCTATTCGAAATCCTTTGTACATTCACAAATCCCCGCGCCACCAATTATGCTCGGATTCTGCAACGAATTCAGTAGAAACTCCGCGTACAGAACGCACGTCAACCACGTGGCTGCTTTGCCGAGGCGGACTGTGATGCGCCCTGTGGATAACTGGATAAGTATTGGGAGGCTTGAGAGCTCTGCCGATTCAGCCGAGATGCCCGCAGAAGACGCAGATGTCATGCCTCGATGAGTAGTACCTTATAGGCCACGACAAGAATATCCAAGCATTCGATATTGGTACGGAATAAGTCTGACAACAGAGCACATCGACATTCGATCGTGTCTGCATCGTGTCCTGTTCTCATCCAACACTGCCAAAGTGCCATTATTAGCGCCGAAAAAGTGAAGACCATAGCAATGTCATCCAGGAGCGACTTGTGCTGATACTGGCTCCCATTGCTTCACTGAGGTGACCAGCCGTAGGATTATAGAAACAAGAATGGCGGCTTCGAAATCGATCATAAGAATGTTTTCCGTGTTCCAGGGCCGTGAATCGATCCCAAACCGGCCTCGACGATGGGTGGAGCTTCAGAGATCACATCGAAGAATTCATACATGTAGACCATTCGTAACTCCGCCTCCTGACCAGAAGTTATCTATACGGCCTTGAATTCTAGATTACTGAATCTCGCGAAGCAGCCTCCCTGTGAAGGATTAGGCTGGAGTCAAAATCATTGTTCGGTCATGGCGATCAATGTCACTAAGTTAATCAGGCACGTGGCATACAAGCACCCAACAAGAGGCGCAGAACTCTCCTCAGACGCTGAGCCCGTTGACGCGTCTCTCGCAACCTTGAATCGATCTCCCTAGCACTGCGTCAGAGGATGGCGTTCCAGTTCCCTTTTCCCTTCTCTCTGCAGGGCGCTCTGCGCCCCGGTCTGTTCATTGTCTCGATGTGCAATGACAGCGGATGTATCCATAGTCGCACTTGCCCTATGGCCTTTCATCAACAACCTTTGGTCAGCGATCCCGTCCAGATACACGCGCCAAATGGAATTCCTGTCGTGCAGGCAAAGCAGAGAAAATCCTCAGTGTCCATCAAGGTCTGTCACTTCCATCGCCAGAACCGATGCACCAAGGGCGAACATTGTCCGTACTCGCATGGTAGATGTTTTTGCATCACGAATCGGGCCCGGTTGAGATGAACTACTGTATCCCTAGCCGAGCCATCGATGTCGAGCAGTGCTGCGGATGTGGCCTCCGGATCCCAGACGAAACCAGAATCAGATGGTACTCCAGAGGTCAAGACTGAGGAAGACTCGCAGGATCTGGGTAGAGGGACTGAGTCTGCGCAAGATGGAGGAGATGATCTCAATGGCCCTGTATCGGAGCCATCTCCTGATGTGAATGAACATCTCGACGCTGCTCGACATTCTCCAACGCTTACAGCTCCTCTTGAGAACACAGTGAACGATATCTGTCAACAAGAGACAGCCTCGTCCTCCGAACCTGCGCCTGAGTTCGAGCCTACTTTCCTGGAGGCTGCTGACGCGCCAGATGGTCCATCAACAGATACCATACCAGATCCGCGAGCCCCGTGCAAATTTTTCTTGCAGGGGGCATGCACCAGTGGCGCACACTGTCGGTTCAAACACGAAACGGACCCTGAGCCTAAGCTTCAACGCTGCTTATGGTTTCCCAGCGGGAACTGCTTGAAAGGCGACGCCTGTCCATTCTCCCACGACCTCGGTGCTGCATCCGAAGCCTCTGAAAACGACCCGCGCAAGACTCAGTGCAAATTCTTCGCAGCCGGTCATTGCGGTCGGGGGAAGAAATGCCTGTTTCTTCATGGAGATCCGACAAATGAAGTCTGTCGGGCTTTCATGCGCGGTGAAGTGTGCCCCTTCGGTAACGAGTGCCGCTTTAGCCACGACGCGGAGGCGCTGCAAAGCCAAGAATCCAACCCAGAAGAGATCGCGTCGGGATCTTGGTGGGAACAGGAGAACGACCAGAGTGGGGGATGGGGTGATACTGCATCAACATGGGCGACTGAAGGAGACAGCAAGGGGCTGAGAAATCCTGGGAAACACCTTGGCCGGAGGAACCGCCTGTCAGCGTCATCAAGAGCCGAAGGCATTGCATATTCTTCGGGCAAGGATATTGCAAAGAGGGCGACAGATGCCGACATAGACACGATCGAAACACAGAGCCAGTGCCTGTCCAAGTACGCCGCACATCCATGTTCTTCCAGAAGCCGACTGATCTGTGAAAAGCCTGTTGTGAGTAAATCGTTGTCGGCAGGAGAAGAAACGGTGGAATCGGTTGCTCTGCGGACGATTTACAACTGTTCCGTCGAATTCGGACCCGGGGCGACCGCTCACATCCAAAATACGGCCTTTGAGTCCAGGACTGTCGTTTTGTCCCACTTTCCCTCCGGCACCAACGTGGATGACTTGGCTGCATTTGTTGAACCCCACGGCACGATCACGAATCGTGTTATCCGACTTGTTGGAGGGCGCCTGAATGCGTATTTTGACCTGGAGAATGCACAGCAAGCGTTGACCGCAAGAGCCCATCTCAACGGCTTGGTGATTGAGGACAAGATCGTAGCTGCCGAACTTGAATGCGATGGGAAACTGGGGGGCTCAGTGCACAAGCCAGGAACACCGCGGCATCTGAAACTTGTATGGGATGCACCGAGTACCATCGCATGGGCCTTTTACCGGACAGTCTCCAAGGCGAAGGAAGCGGCGGCTGCGCTGGATGGACTGACCGTTGGAGAGCGCAAGATCGTCGCTAAATACCACTCCCAGTCGCGTGGTCAGCAGGACCGTGTGCCTGTTCTGCTCGAGAATCTTCCTGCGCGAGTCTCCCGGGAGGAGCTCACCTCAATCTGCGAACACACAGGCCCTACCTCGGTCAACCCGAGCGAGCCAAACTACACGCAATCTCCCGAGCACGACATCCGCACACTTCTTGAACAGCTGGGGGTTGTCACCTTGTTTGAGGTCATGCCAACTTTGCCATCCGAGAGCAAAGTCACGGCATTCGCCGAGTTTCTTTCTCCCTCCACGATCGCAAAAGCTACGGCCTACTTGAAGGGCAGAAAACACCCGTTCTTGGGTGACCGTGATATCAAAACTCAGGCCGTCTTCTTTTCCAGATACACACTGCCCGAGAGCCATTTTCCTTTCGGGCTCATCCGGGATGCCGTAAACGGCTGCGACCTGGGCAACAATGTTCGCTGTTACGACGAGACACGAACCGTGTGTCTGTTCCATCGAGATTCTGCGGATGCAGCCAAGCTGCGGGAAACGGTCCAAGCACTCGTTTTGGGGGCAGAGATTCCCTTTCCGGATCCGTATTTTTCGATGGCAAGCAGCGACGGGCCTCTCCAGCGGCTGAACGACAAAGACCCAGCCGTTTTCATTCGCTGTGACAGACGCTGTCGCGCCCTTCGCATCTGGGGAGACCGGTCAAAAGCCGAGGCGCAGATTGCAAAGCTGCTGAAGACCGTGAACGAGCAGCGATGCGTACTCGACATATCTGATGTGATCTCCCACCTTGCGACAGGAGGAGGGGGCCTGCAGAGCCTGCAGGCCCAGTATGGTTCTACGAAGATCACGTGTGATATTCGCTCCAAGACGCTGACCGTATTGGGCGAGCAGAAAATGCGAGACGAGGTCAGTGCCGCAGTGCTCAGCTGGGGGCTGCGAGAGTCGCTCCCGCCGGGCGACTGCATGCTGTGTCGCACTGATCCGACCCACCCTGTGGAGCTTCCCTGTGGACATCGCTACTGCTCTGGTTGCCTGGACATTCTCCTGTCGCCGGCGTGCGATTTCGCGCCCTACTGCTGCGACTGTTCAGCGGAGATCCCGCTGTCCCTGATAGTAGCGTGTCTGCCCCCCGAAGAATGCGAGCGAGCCTTCGAAGGGTCCCTGCTCAGTCTCGTCCGATCCCAGGACGACCTGCATTTTTGTCCATTCGGGTGTCCCGTTGTGTTTCGCAGCGCAGACATCCCCTCAACGTACTACGAATGTCCGGAGTGCAGGATGCAGCTGTGTGCAAGATGCGCGCAACCAGTGCATTGTGGTACCACATGTCCATAATTACTTGATCTCAATACCTATTTCTTATCCACAAGATTGTCCTCCGCGTCTGACTCCATCGTTCGCGTCGAGAATGTGGACTGCCGGCCCAGAACGCTCGACGGCCGCCCCGGGCTGCCCGGCACCCGCTTGTAGTGGGGGCTGGCCGGAGGTGAGCCGATCGAGTTTTTCCTGTTCAAACTTGATATGATGTTAGACACATTCCCACTTGTAGGACGAGCTGAGCGGGTCGCAGCAGCCCGGGGGCCCTTCACAGCCTGCCCCGAGCCGGACCGAGAAAGAGACGCACGTGCTCCAGCCACAATGCCTTCGGTATGTTCCGGAGCCGGTGAGCCGCTTCGTGATGTGCTCTGGCTGCCGCCGACCTGGCGGTGCGCAACAGTCGTCGGTGACGCGGGCTCGGCCGGTGGCTCCTTGAATGCCGGGCGGGGAGGCGGCGGCGCTTCGTCCTCAGATTCAGGCGGCGGTTCTTTGAACGCCGGCATCGGAGGCGGCGGCGGCGGAGCAACGAATGTGCTCGGAGGCGGCGGTGGAGGCACCACAGACGGCGTTGGCGCAACAGGCAGTGGCGGCGGGGGCGGCACCTCAAGCGGCTGTGCGGCGGTCAAAGGCGGCGGCGGAGGCGGTGTCAGTGGCTGGGGCTGCGATGACGGGGCTGGAGCTTCCTCTTTCAGAACGGGCGGGACTGGAGGAGCAGGAGATCTGGAGTCAATTGACCGAGACGCCCTGTGAAGAGAAGGATTCTGTGCAACCTGCTGGGCCGCCAGCAGCTGCTGAGCGTCGGCACCAATAGAAATTCGGCTTCGGCTCAGGCGCATGTCAATCGGCGCAGTCCGTTTCCGGATTGGGATCTTGCGTTCTGACTCTCGCTTCTTCCGAGCAATGGTAGGTGGAATGATGGCCGCATAGTTCTTGACTAGATCCATGAACATCACTGCCCGCAACGTCAGCAATTCCCAAGGGAACATATACAGGAAATGACTTGCAGGTCGGATGCCGGTCTTGAATGGACATTTCAGACTCGAATTTCGGGTGAAGGATGGCTTGCGCGAATGTCAGACGAAATTGACAGACGAGAGGAATCTCGACTTACTGCGCCCAACAGATAGTGCGAGCTTAGTGACGTACACTTCTTCCGCTTCTTCGACGCTGGTCGTGTCGATTAGGCTGACAAACGAGTTAATTGTTGATGCTCAACAGGCGATAACAGACGACGTACTTGCGCAAATGGCTCACGATGGCGTCCAGGACATTCAAGTGAATGCGCGGCAGTCGCTGCAGTGCCATGCCAAGATCGGTGATCCGCTGAGCAGCGGCTTCACTATCGTCCTTGTTTGCTGCAGCCCCAACAGTGGGATACAGTTTCCGGATCTCATCCCAACCTTCCCACATCGCGAGCGGAGGGTCGAGCTCAAGCAACCACAGCTTGATTGTGGCCGCGATGACTGCTGCGTCGTATGGGGCGAACAAGTCGGTTGGGGGAATCGCGTCCATGGGGACTGAGTTCAAAGCCTCGCGCAGATGATGTACGGCCGGAAGCGGCACTTCGTAGATCCACGACTTGCGCTTTTCTGTATCCTTTGTGTGAGCAGAACACTCAGCATCAACGGATATGCGACACACCCATGTCAGAGGGAAGCTTGCTGTACGCCTCGGTCAACGCAGCAAGGAGCGAGGTGACCACCGGAGGGATGTCATGCTTGCGAGGCTCGGCGCTGCTGATCGCATCCCAGCCGCCCTCAGCCCAGCGCCGCAGATCAATCCCGAACACAACATCCGTCTCGACGTGTGACACCGACTCGTACACTTGTGCCTCAGGGCGGAACGGTCCGGTCCGATAGCGCTCAATGAGGGCGTTCAGGTCCGACTCCGGCAAGTATGCAGCAATGAGCGTGGCAGAGGTCTCGTTCGTTTGCTCCAGGCCTTTGGGCAGATTCGCCAGCGTGGCATGGTACTGGAGCAGGACCGTCTTCACGGCCCGGAGCCGTTCCATTTCCCATCGCTGCAGAACTTTGAGAGTGTCTTCGATTCTCTCTTCCAATCCCAGACGTTGCCGATCGAGCTTGCGGGTGCCGGCGCGGAAGAGATGATCGGCTTCTTCAGCCTCATTTCGCGCTCGAACGTACGCGGGCTCTGCCTGCTGGGCTGAGAGAGCCTTGCTTACGAGGCTGACAAACGTGTTCGTGCGCTTGAACAACGCGTCGGTCTGAGTCTTGATCGGGGAGCTCAGCGTGGCTGGAGCGGGCTGTGTGTCCTTGCCTTCCAGATCAAATGCCTGCAAGTCACAGTATGAGCCAAGTAGTGGAGATCACGTCGGCTAGCTGCTCACCTTGGGCCTGAACTGATAAAAAGCCTCGTCGGAATGCTCGAATTGATTTCCAAACTCTCCGACCCGGCGAAGGAGCTTATCCCGCTCGGTCAGCTCCATCGCAGCTTCTTCGGCACGATCCAGGCTCCCTCCGAATCCTTGAACATTCTCGTTCAACCAAGCAACAAATTCCTCCCCAGTGAAACAGTTCGGATACTCTCCCAACAAGGGGAAGCGCACCGGTCTCAGGGGCAGTTCGGCTGTGATGACCCATCAGCTGGAGAAGAGATAGGAACCGATAAAGCATACCCGCTGCTTTCGTCAACAGCTGCGAGATGGCAGAAGGGGGCAATGAAAGCCCGGCGAGAAGCATTGGGGGCGGGGGCATCGCTGGCATCGGAGAAACGGGGATTTCTACTTTCGGAGGAAGAGGCGGAGACATCGGAGGTGGAGAGGCAGCGATCACACCCTCATCGCCAGTCTCTACAGCTTTGCCCTTTCCCTTGTCGACTTTCGGAGAAGCTTGCTCTTGGTGCTCGAAAATCGTCTCGGATTCGGATGGCGCCTGCTTCTCTTCGCTGGCTGCACCAGCAGAGGCGACAGCCCGCTTCTGGATTTCACGTAGACGAGAAGCAATGCGTTCAGAAACGCTGGCTGAGCGCACTGGCGAACTCCTATGACCGCCATCGACAGGACGGGTGCTCGGCGATGTCGTATACGGATCCCGACCTACGCTGTTGGGCGCGAACTTGGCGCTGGATGGAAGGTTTCAGCATGACAATCCAGCGAGCCGCCCCTGACGCTCACTCATCCTCGGCCTCGTCGGCGCGCCGTGTTTTGTCAAGATAGTTGTGCTTCAACTTGGAGACTTCGCCTTGTGCGTGTTCGTACGCTCGTAAATATTGATCGATGAGAGACGCGCGCGATTGGCGTAGACGATCCTGTCGAACGTGTGCATACAGCCTGACATTTCAATCGAGGAGCGTACCTGATATCCAACAGCCCATTGTGCGAAAGGGTCAGCAACCAACGCGTCCAAGTCAGTTGCAATAGCCCTATGAGTTTGCCCCTGAGCTACAGACTGCGATTGCAGCCCCCGAAACGCCATGAGAAGCGAGGCGCCGTCATCCTTGCCGAAGCCCTTGCCTTCACGACAGTCGTCATTCTGGTCATCCAAAGGCAAGACAGAACTAACCAGCAGCTCCCGTCAGCATAGGATGCATCAACGCTTCACTGAGCTGACGTTCTGCAGCAGCACGCGCCTGCGTTCAGAGATGTGCGTCAACGAAACGAGCTTGAACAGCAAAAGTGCTGGGCGCACCCGGATGAAAGTGACGATTTCGTCATTTTCCTCTATTCCCTGCTCGAGTTTGGAGTATAGCACCTATGTAGAAAGGAAGCGCCGGTAAGCATGACACCTCCGTATTATAACTCGTGACAACACACCTCAAGGCCGCGTCGGTAATCCTGAGACCAGAAAGAGTTGGTGAAGCTCGATGGCAGAGCGAGGACCGCCATGTTCTAGAGGCGGAGATCGTGGTGGCGGAAAGAAGAGACGTGTGTGATCAATGCGTGGTTGCTCGGGCGGGGCAGTGAAGCGAAACAGTTGGTGTCAGGGTAAAGAAGGTGTGTTTGCCGCATTTGGTCCGCGTGCACATATCACATCAATCTATAATTATTCAAATACGCCCTGAGGTATCCTCAGAATTCAAGTAAACAGATCTGAGTGTCAATCTCTGCTGGTCTGTAGTATTGACCGAACGGGCAAGCCGACACGATTCCCACATCTCTCGAAGCCGCCAAGCTGTACCTGCCGCAGATGATGGCCGCGGCCCATACCACGGATCTACGGATCTAAGGAGCTCCGGTGAACATCTGATGCGCTGCTTGCCTCGTCTACTAGTAGCATGACCGCTTCTTATCTCAAGATCCTGAGCATACAGTCTCAAACTCCTCTCTCTGAGACCACCTTCGTCCGGCCACTGTCAGCATGTTCCGTCTTGCTCACGCTCTGCGCGCGATGAGAGTGCCTGGAGCCCGCTATGCGTCCACTGCGCCCAGACGGCCAGCTTTTCCAGCATTCGGGAGGAAGGTCGCTGTCGCATCGGGCGTCGGTCTGGCGGTCACCTTTGCGTCCACAGCTGTGTATGCAGACTCTTCGCAAATGGCACAGTCATCGAGCGAAGAGGCCAAGCAGGTGTCGTTTGGCACCTTGCTCCGGGCTTACATCGTGTACACCATGTGTTCGGTGCCTGCACTGGTCGACAGCGCCCCAAGCTTACTCGATGCCTTTTCAAAGATACCCGGCTTGAACTGGATCGCAGATGCTGTTGTGAGAGTCACATTCTTCGATCAGGTGCGCAAGCGCAAGTCTTGTTTCACCCTCTTCCATCTCATTCATGTGCAGTTTGTCGGAGGCGACACGGCCGCGTTGGTTCTGCCCCTTCTGCGCCGCCTAAGAATGGATAACACCGGGTGTCTGTTTGCGTACTCAGTTGAGGTCAATGAGGCTGAAGCCATGGCCGCTCAAACTTCCGCATCTCGACACAAGAGCCCTTACAAAGCTATGGTCGATGAAATGATCAACTCGATCGATATCGCCGCAGACTTTGAGGATGGACTCGGGCTGAAAGGCATGGGACGCAAGACCTGGGTTGCTATCAAGATGACAGCGCTCGTTCCCGACGCCAGTGCGTTTATTCGGCTGTCGTCCTACATTCTGGCGACGCGGCCCCCGGCGCATTCGCCTGATGTCCCTTTTCCTGGCACTCCCACTGCCGGAGATCTTAATGTGCTGGTTTCTGCAAAAGCCGCCCAGACCCAGACCACGCTGAGCCCCGAGGACTTGGTTATGCTCCGTGAGTTGTATGCTGACATGGAGCTGATCTGCGCCCGTGCCCAGAAGCGGGGAGTGCGCATAATTATCGATGCCGAATACTCGTGGTCTGTGGACTCTTCTTTTTGCCCCACTTTCTATCTGATTGACTCCAGGTATCAGCCCGCCTTTGACGCAATTACTCTGGGTTTGATGCGCCGCTTCAACAATCTTTCGTCCTCCAATTCTACTCAGCCTCTCATCTATGGCACATTCCAAGCATATCTCAGAAGGACACCGTCCCACCTCGCCCATTGTCTTCGCGATGCCAAGCAAAACGGGTACGCGTTGGGTGTCAAACTCGTCCGAGGCGCATATCATCCTCACGAGGTGACGGCACATGACGAGGCTGTCTCTGGCTCCGGCCGCTCGCTGTCCATCTCTCCGGACACTCTCCCCCCAGTGTGGAATAACAAAGCCGAAACAGACGTTACGTACAACAACTGTGCCGCAATGTTGTTGGATGCCGCCCATGCCGATGTAAAGAAGGGAAAACGACAATCGGTCGGTATCCTGTTCGGGACACACAATTGGGACAGCTGCCGCAAGATAATGGAGGGGATGCAAGCTCGAGGCCTCGCAACACCGGCCGAAGGCGGCAAGCTAGCTATCAGTGACTCCGTCGCCGAGCGAGTGACATTTGGCCAGCTTTACGGTCCGTCACCAAGACATTTTTACCTCCAACTCTCATTGATCCAATGCCTGCTCAATCTAGGAATGTGTGACGAATTGACCTCTTTCCTCGCCTCGACGACCGTTTGCAGCACACCCATGGTCTTGAAATACATTCCGTATGGTGCATTGGCGGATGTGATGCCCTATCTCAGTCGTCGCGCCATCGAGAACAAGAGTGTGCTAGGTGACGGGGCAGCTCAACACGAGCGGGATCGCGCATGGCGGTTGATGGTTGCAAAGATTTTTGGTTAGACACTCATGCATGTACTTCGTCATCAAGGTTCATACGGGACGGCGCGGTAATCTACGTACGGTACTTTCTACATACTCAAGTTATCCCAGCCTACAATCTAATCACCTTTTGATGCCACCCTTCAAAAATTTTGACCGAATGTTTTGATCTGTCCTCCTTCCACCCACTATGGTCTATGGGCAGCGACGCGTGGTGGAGCGGGCCGTCAAGTCCTTAAACGCCATTTCGGCCTCCCACCTACCCAAATTCCCTCCCCCTCGATCAACCCAGTCACCTAAAATCACCGGGTTTGACCCCACGGAATGGGCCACACTCCAACCTCCTCCTCCCTCGGCCCTCTCCGCATTTGCCCACAGAATTGGTCTCGGCTCCGTGCTTCCAGACCCGGAACTCGTACTCCAGGCATGCACACATCCTTCCATCCAAGCCCTGGCGCGACACCATGACCCGAATGCAGCGCCAATACCGACCAACGCACAACTGAGTGTACTCGGCAATGCCCTCATGGGTCTTTTTGCATCCGAATATGTACACGCCGTGTATCCCTATTTACCGACGCGAGTATTGAAAGCAGCAGTCACTGCCCATGTCGGCCCGACGACGTGTGCGAGCGTGGCACAAGAGATGGGTGCCGCGCCCCTGCTGAGGTGGTCGCGAGATGTGCGTTCCAATTCTGCCAATATCGTTGTTTTTGAACTTGCTTCCAGAGTCCCTCGTCGTCTTCGGAACCCCCAGTACAACGAAGCGACGCTCTCGCCTCCATTCCGAGAGCACTCACTGCATTGGTCTATACCCACCGGTCTCTCCCCTCCGCCCGCCATTTTGTTCACACGCACTTTCTTCTGTCGCGTTCTGTGGATATTCGCTCGTTCATCAAATTCGTCGACCCTAAAAAGGCTCTGAAGGAGATGGTCGCCAAGTTCGGAAGGGAGCCACCAAAATCACGACTGCTCAAGGAAACGGGTCGCTTCTCGAATTCACCAGTTTTCGTGGTTGGGATATTTTCCGGAGAGGACCAGATTGGAGAGGGCTTCGGGGCTTCACTGAGGATGGCAGAGTATAGGGTGCGTTTATCGACTCTGTCAGAATGCTTTCCACGGTCTGAACCGCCGTCTACCAGGCTGCTGAGGACGCCGTGCTCCGAGTTTATTTGACACGAACTCCGGCCGAGCTGGTACAGCTCCCCACCTCCACATTCCCCGCCGGGCTCGGTGACGTGTTTCGCGTGGACGCACCCGACGCAGAGTACACCCCGCCTGCGCTTGCTCACGCGGAAGTCATGTACGCGTCCGGGGGACGGTCAGGAGTCGCTGCGGCAGAAAGAGAAACGATATAGCACAAAATTACAACTACACTGTGCTCCGTATTTAATGCGATGGCTGCCGCCGAGCGCTGCACGGGACAAATTTACATGTCGAAGTCGAAATCGTCGTCGTCATCATCTTCCCGCTTTCGGATATTTTTCTCGCGCTTTCCGTTGGTCAATGCACCGGCCGAACGACGGGGAAGCCCGTCCTCTTCTTCTGACTCGTCATCTGATTCGCGTTCCGCAGGAGGTGGCAGACGGTCGGGAGGATGAAGTGCCCCAACAACGAGAAGCAACGCTTCGAATTCTGCAGGGCCATTTGAGGATTGGCAGACTGTGCAGCGACGAGAGCGACCTACCTTCTGGTCTCCGCGGTCGATCCTTGCCCCATGCCATCACCTGATGTATTAGATTCCCTCTGCGATACACGATGAACATGGGCACCCGAGCGTCCGGAAGATCGGGTATGCATTTGTCGCCGACGATGGAGACGAATTTCGTGCGCGGATAACGAGCCGCAAGAGCGTTCACCTGCGTGAGGAACGCGTCCGAACGCGGTAGCCCAGGTTTGTACAGTATGCACACGACCGGAGTCCCCCCGAGACGTTTGGGTTTGTCGTCGTCGTCTTCATCCTCGTCGTCCTCCGCGAGGGCTGCCACATCTGCTGGATCCTCCTCTAAACTTGCGTCGGTGACCTCTCTCGTGTAGTCTTCTCGCCCGATAGGATACACGCGCCCAAACCTGGCATGCTTGTTCGCCGTGCGCTCCTCTTCCAGCCTCTGGCTGCGCATCTCTTCGATGCGGCGCAGATCTTCTTCGTTGTGCGTATCATCAGCCAGTTCCCCCAGCTCTTCGGGGGTAAAGTCCTCGAGAAGCTCGTCAAGAGTGAGCGGTGCGGGAGGAGACGGGGTGCGAGGAGGTGGGGTCTTTGGTGCGATGATACCGTGTTTCCGCAGAATGTCATTCCACTCTGTATCTTCGTTAGGGTTCTGAGCCATGGATGTGGTGGAAATAGAAGAAGGATGTTGGATGGTCTGCGGAATAGAATGACTATGTACTCTGCGCAATGCAGTGCAAATGAAATGAAGCAGGGAATCGATAAAGCGCGCACACGTGACATGATCAGGCCTTCTGCCCAGCCATCACGCTCGAGAGGACACAAACTATGGGCAACCGGGCTGATTGAAATGTCGATATCGTTGCTGTTGGACTTCAATTGATTACCCAGTGGAAATTCGAGATGCAAGAGAGTGATCGCTCGGACAAACGGCTTGGAATAAAGTATATTCACGAGCCCGAGTGTTTGATAAATCTCCCTGCTCTATGCCAGAAGAGATGCTCGTCAGGTTCCCCGTCTTTCCCCCAGACTTTCCCATCCTTCCACATGCCCCTGCCCTCCGGACCTGGCATGTTTTCTATCCACAGATGAGTAGGCCGGTCGAGACGACATCCGTCGAATCCAAACTGCCATATCGGAGTCCAAAACCGCTGCCACCAGGCGACCTCGGGCAGGGGGCTGAGCACATGCTCATAGAAGAGAAACTGGCCTCCCGGAACAAGAACCTCAGCCACCAGCCGGTGGAGAGTTTCTTGTGGGTCAGGGATACTGCAGAGCGTCAATATTGATATCATTGTGTCGACTTTTGTCCCAGCAGTGTCGAGTTGTTCACGGATGACATTGATATTCTCAGCGCCACAGCCCCGGAGAATGAGAAGCTTTCCGTTTTCCTCGTGGAAGCCGGCGGCATTGGCTCGTGCTCGGATGTGCTCGTGCATTAGTGCATTCGGCTCCAGGGCAATATAGACATCCACGGCGGTGCGGTCAAGGTAGTCGATGGTATGGCCGTGGCCTGCAGTCTCGTATCAGCGGACAGCTCAGAAAGTCCGAGCGCAGGAGTGCACCGACCTGCGCCAATGTCAAGCACGCCCCCCTTCGCATACGGTGAGATGAGATCCTGCTTGACCGGTCGACCCATCTCATCTGTGGGCGCGCCAAACGCCGTCCAGACCTAAGCGGCATGAAAATGGCCGCACTCAATCAAGCGTCACAACCCAACTTGATTCATGAAGAATCTCGACAGAGTAGCAGGGCGTAAGAGCAGCAGCGGGTTTGCCCATAGGTGCTTGAGGGTCGGGATGAAAGCAACCGCGAACGCGGCTCTGAGATCGGTCAGGAGACCCAACTTGGCGGACAGCTTCATCGGCCGATGAGTAGTTGGGAGAAGACAAGACACAAATCCGGACTGTGGCACAGCACAGAGCGCTTACTTGCAGTATGTCGGTCCTTCCGGGCATCAACACGACTGCCGGCCCGGGGCACTTCAACGAATCTAAGGTAAGGTAACTTACCTTACCAACAGCTACGGGTTAGTTTCGGCCAAGTCTGCCCACGGATTTAGAGCCATCTACTGTAGGAAAGCCACCATCTGTGCAAGTATGTTCACTGCATGGATCAAAATATTCCAAAAATGCCCAGGACCGGATGGACCACTACAAGAAAGCGATCCAATACACTCGTAGTCGCGACATCATGGTCCCTCGAGATCTCATTTCTCAGTCGTATTGGTGTGTCGCAATCCACTAGACTCACGACTTCACAGGCTCACGATATGGAGAGAAGGAAAATCAAATAATATCACGTCCCCGCCGTCGTCAAATTTGGCGGGAAGCCTGAAAAGTCTACTTGCTCCTGCACCGCATTCCCAGCAATCGAGAACGATATTCGCAGTCGCAGTCGCACGGCGCTCTGGAAATCACCGCTCAGCAAACGACGGGATGCATTATCGAAACCGACTGACCCCGACTGGTGCAACGACTTTCATGCGCTGAGTTTCGGCGGCTCCTGGCTTCACGTCTGTGTTGGACATGGGCAGCATTTGGAGTTGTTGCGACTGAGATAGGTCAGCCTGCGTGCGAAAGCTGATAGGCAGGCAAGTACCTTTGGAACGGCGGCCTGGAAGCTGATTCCCGTTGCGTCATTACTGCCTGTGACCTGGAAGCGCGCCATGATCATCACAGTCCCCGGCTGAGTCGGCGACGTCTGCGGCGTCAACGTGATCTTCAGCTCGTTCTTCTCGTACGCCGTATACGACGTCAGCCGCGGCGCAGCTGGTGGCGGAGGTGGCTGAGCCGGCTGCGCGGCTGCCAAATTGAAGATCGACATCGGGTCTGATGTCGGAGCGGGGGCAGGCGGAGGAGCAGCTTGAGCAGTCACAGGCGGAGAACCGAACAGCCCCATGATATCGTCCACAGTGGAGCGAGGGGCTGCGGCTGGTGCGGCTGCAGGTTGATCTGATACACTGCCGAATATATCGCGCAAGAGGTCAGCGTTGTTCTGAGCTGAAGCGCTGCCGTTGACCGGGCTTTGCACCAGATCGTCGGCGGAACCGATGAGATCCTGGAGGACAATCAAAAACATAGGATCAAGGCAAGGATTATAACGCACGTCGACAGCAGTTGATCTTGTCGAGCCGACTGGCTTCTGTTCACTGACTGATGCAGAGGTCAGCTGCATTGTCAAACGCTCGGTCAGATCCACTTGCCAACTCCGATCACAGTCACCTTCAGTTCTGGCGGTGGCATCTTCTCGAGAACACCCTCTTTCATGTCTCCGCCCAGATTGAAGAGACTCACAAACTCAACTGCCCGTTGCTGGAGCTCGAGTTCTGGGCTCGTTGCATACTGCGCCAGCAATTCCGAGATGCGGTCTTGCTGCGCCACAGTGACTGTCGGACGAGAGGATATCTTGGTCACAGCGGTCAAGACAAATTGTCGCGTGAGCTGGTTGGCGTAAGGCGAGTCCAGAATCGACACGAGCAGGTCAATCAGATCCTTGTCAGAGACGGATTTGTGGGTTTCCTCTTCCACGATGCCACCTTCGAGCAAGAGCTCGCTGTACTCGGCAATCACCCAGGTCGCAGCGAGAGTCAGAGACTCCTGAGAGATATCTGCAGTCAACGCCGTGTACAGCTTCGACGCGGTGTAAGCCTGCAGCTCAGGCGTGTGCGCAACCAGTCGAATGAACGCAGAGAGAATCTCCTCGCGAACAAAGTTGCCGGCCTGCAGAGAGGCTCAGTGTCCACCTGTGAGAGAAGACGAAGTGGACTGACCAGCCGGAGGAAGCGCAACACAGTGTCGATATGCCACCGCTTGTTGGGCGCGAACCGTTCGGCTGCCAACGAGATCTGGGTGGTCATGCCCAGCTTGAATTCGTCGTCGGCCACCTCGAGAAAGGCGAGCAGCTCGCGCACGAGCACACGGACGTTCTGTTCGTTGATGAGGGCGTAGGACAACTCCAGCGCTCGTCGGCGGATTGAAATGTCGCCGTCGCGAAGACAGTCGAGAATGATGTTCCGGTGACGCTGCACGGCGTTGGTGTCCATCGAAACCACCTTGTTCAGCGTGTTGAGGGCCACGTAACTGGCACGGTTCAATACACATCTCTGGTGTCACTCGAATTTGACATACCGGATGTTGTTGTCGCGATTGCTCAAGAACTTGCCCAAGATGTTGATCGCCATCACCCGCAAACCCGTGTCCGCTTCGATGTCCAGCACAGTCAACACAGTTTCGTACAGGATCGAGTTTCCGACGTTCTTCGTCGAGTCAGTATTAGTCGCAACTTGGGCCAGGATATCGTTCATCGCTTCGCTAGCCTTCTCATCGCCTTGTCCGAGCAGCCTGAGCAAACGCAGGATCTTGACCTGCAAGAAGGGATCGGTGATGCCCGACACATCGTGCTCGGGGCTGTACCCAGTCGTCACGAGCGATTTCAGATTCCGGACCAGCAGAGGAACGGCCTATAGGATGTTTCAAAAAGCTGATAATGATGTCGATTGGAATCGCACGGACGTTTCGGAACTCATCCCGGATGGTAGTCTCTATCAGACACATTTCCGTCACCAGTGTGATGGAGGAGAGGAGAACACCGTGGTTGCGGTCAGTAAGCAAGTTCTTGGCCTTCGCGGTGAAATGGTCCGCCAGTTCGGGTACTTTCTTGATCACGCGCAGCGCACAGAGAGCAGCCTGACGCAGTCAGGGCTTTGTAGGTAACTGGAACGGTGGACCACACAGACCTTCTTGCGAATGTAGGTGTTGCTGGAGCCCAACAGCTTCTCAATCTCATTGGCTAGATCCCGCGACATCTCTTCCGACGCAATGTTGGCAAAGGTGCATAGTGCGAGGCCGACCGCGTACATATTCGAGTGGTTCATGTCGCTGCAAATAGCACTAAGATGGACAGAGCACGGTAAAAACGGGAGAGCTACTTTTTGAGCGAATTGGTGACCAAGGTCAGCGTCTCCTGGCTCTCGTCGAGCAAGAGCATGATTCCGAGATATCCGAGCCGCTTGTCTGCAAAACGCGGGCTCGCGACGAGCTTCAGGCATTCGATTTGGCCAAAGTGCGCCGGCGACCCGAGCATGTGGATATACAGGAGCTTTGCGATGTTGTTGTGTCGCGCGAACGAGTCTTCCTCCTTGAAGGATGTTCTTATGGCTGCGGACTCTTGCTGGATGAGCGCGCGCTCATCTGCGACTGTCTGCACCCGGAAGTAAGCAAACGGGAGCTGTTCGCGATGAAGTGATGACCTTGCAGGCACGGATGCCCTTGATGAGCGCTGTATTGAGTGAGTTCCTCCGACAACGATTGCGTGAGACTGGTAGCACCTTTGAGGTTGTGATAGACCATGCCTGGGAGCTAGCCCGAGAGAGTAGGCGAGATCGACCTGAGGGAAGAGGTGACGTGAAAAAGAAGTCGTGCCGGGGTCTGCGATGGCTCAATGTCGTGTCGGCCGTCAAGGGCAAGAGGCGTGGATTCACGTGATCAACCCCCACTAGTAAGAGCATATTCAGAAGCATCATGTATATCATTGTATGTACAATGAAGGAGCCGCACAAGATACATATACACATTAAATGAACATTTGCAAGGCGTGTTTATCGTAGCTGTTAGTTCCCTCGCTCAACTCGCTGAGATCGGGGAAAAAGGGGACCATGGCATCGGCCGCGCCGAGGTACAAGGCGTTGTAAATCCTCCAGTACACCTCTCTGACCTTGCGAGCGGGATGGAAAAGACCCTGCAGAACATAGCTGAGCAGGATCCCGGGGCCCAGCGTGACTCGCATAGCCTCGATGGCATCCATGACAGCGCCAATGACGTGGGGCGAGGTCTCAAAGCAGTTGGGCCAGACGAGGTTCATCAGATGCAGCATGGAATCTTCGCAGCCTAGGCCGGCGACACCGAGAGCGAGATGCTTGACGATCGTGCTGGCGGTCTGTCGATGGACCAAGTCACGGTCGGTCAAAGCGTCCTCGAGCATCGTCACGACAGAGTCACAGTAGTAGGCTGACTGCGGGCCCACATACTCAAACACGAAAGACAGCGCTTTCAAACAGCCGGTCCGGACATTCAGCTCTGCGGTCCGGTATTCATTCAGGATGGCGGGAATGCACGTGAAAGCTGGATGAGGTGTGAGCAAGCGGGAGGACGACTGGAAAGCACACGACGTACGACCACATGTTTCGGCAACGATGGCGATGGCTACGGTACTGCAGACCCGACTCTGACGTTCTTGGACACGCAGATTGGTCAGCAACACGGAGAGGACGTCCTGAGGACCCAAGCTCTTCGCGATGTACCCAAAGGAGTTGACTGCAGCTCGTCGGATACCCTTTTTGTGGGCTTTCAACAGGTCGAGCAGCTCAAAGCAGATCCGCATCCACTCTCGAGCAGGAACGAATTCAGCACCGCGATCAGCTGAACAGAGCATTAGAAGAGAGATTGGAACACAGACAGATGAGTCTCACCGATACGACCAATCAGATTGATAGAGGCCTCTTGCACTTTTTCGTGTCGATTACGCAAGATAGGGGTCATTCGAGGCACTGCAAAGCTATCAGACAATCAACATCGATAAATCGTCAGAGAGACGCACGTAGATCCTTCACAGGCGGGTTCATTTGAGTCATACCAACAACATTCGCGATGGCACCTTCGGCTGCGATGATGCTGCCGAGCGTGTCGGGGTACTCCTCTCCAAGTTGTTCGAAGAGCACGAGACCGAGTTTGCTCAGTAACTGGTCCTCGCCGCACTGTTTGATGACGATGGCGAGACGCGTCGTCAGATCGGCAGCCTGTTGTCGGACCTTGGCGCTCTTGTTGTTGAGTCGCCAAAGGATGGTAGACACGATCTGGGTCAGATACGGCTTAACACGGATGCCCAGGGCGTTGACGACTGTCCCGAACCCATCCAGCATGACTTGGTCTTCAGTGGTCTGCTCCTGGAACGAGTAGATGATCCCATCGATGAGCCGGACCTCCAGTCGCTCGTCAATGTCCGACGCCCCCAGCTTCTCGACCACTTTGGTGATTGTCTCCATCACCATCTTTCGGTAGGGCTCAGCTTCGTCCTTGAGCTCATTGACGATCCGGCCAACGATTTCCGCGACGCCAGCTTTCTCGGCAAGCTCGACGGTGGTCTCGACAACTTGGCGGTAGTTCCTGCGATCCAGCGCCATCCGACGGACCCAGAACGAGCGGAAAAAGTCGGGGAGAATGTCGTGTTTGATGTATGATGGAGTGACACCCTCGGTCGCAGCGCACTGCTGAACTACTTTGAGCACGATCTTCTTCATCTCTTCGTCTGACGTCTGGAACTCGCGAATGAGGATGATGGTGACTTCCTTCGTGTAGTACGATGCGTACTCGGGGTCCATCAGCGGGATGATATATCCGATGGCCTTGAGGAAGGCAGCGAGACCTTTGCCTCGGTGCAGACGAATGCCCGTCCACAACGGCTTGAGAACATTGTCAAACGATTCAATGCCATAAGGTGCAGCAGCCTCTGCCAACGCAGCCAGGCCCAGAGCTGTCATCGTCCGGACCTTCTGCTGTTCGTCAGACAGGCCCCGGGCGATACAGTCGACAAGATTGCGCAAATGCGGCAGCACAGCACATCCCATCATGATGGCAATCTGCTGCACGATACGGATACCGGTATGCCGAGCTTGCCACGACTTTTTGGAGCCACAGACAGCCTTGAGGAAAGGCAGCAGCTGCGGGATACCCAGAGCAGAGGCCACGACCGAGAAGGCTCGCGCAGTAGTGTTTCGCACGTACTCGTCGGCATGGTCAATGTCCGGACGCATGGTCGAAATCATATGCGCCAGACCAGCGGCTTTGGACAGATTGGAGATGATTTCGCGCCCTTCAACACGAGCATAGTAGTCCTCGTCGATCAACAGCGGCTCAATGACGACGAGAATCTTGTGGACATAGGGTCGGACCAGGTCGTCTAGTTTGTACAGCACCCGGTCGATGACTTTGACAAGCAAGTGTCGTTCCTGATCTTCCAGCGTGCGTTCCATGAGGAGCGGGAGAATCTTGTCGAAGAGGGGGCCAGCACCGAACTCCCGAGCCTTGTCGGTGATTTGTCGCAGCGCTGTCTTTCGGACGGGAGGCGTTCCGTTCTTGATTTTGAGAAGCAAGCGCATGATCTTACGCTCCTTCATCTCCTCAACAGAAAGCTCGGTCTCGTCCTCTTCCTTTAGAATTTTGGCAAAGTATTGAGCGTCCTCGGCTTTGAAGAACGCGAGATTTCCCACGCCGGGAATTTCCGTTGGGAGCTCAGGAGCTAAACCCGCTGCAGCCGCAGCCGCGGCAGCATCAGAGCCTTCCTGCATGTGGAATCCAGACTGGTCGCCGATTGGAGTAGCCATCAGGCGACGAGGTGCGATGGTGGGGGCGTAGCCTGCGGGAGGGGTGACGAGCAGATATCCCGTTGCGGGAAGTAACGAATCGAGCTCTTCGTCCGTCATGTATCGGTTGTGTTTGTCGTCCTGCATGATTCCGGGCGCATTCATAATGATGGGAACCATGGGTGTCTCAACACCGCCGCTTGCTGCCATGGGCGTTTGGTCCCATCGAGAACGTTTCGATGTTTCTCCAGGAGCAGTTTGGCCGGCAGTATCATCCCATCGCGAGCGACGCTTCTTGGGAGCAGACTCTTCGATGGACTCATTCGACCATTCACCAGTATTGGCCGGGTTGGTCGTTTCGTCGGCAGGTCCTGCATCCCATCTCCGCTTGCGTTTGCCCGACTCCAGCTGGGCCGTCGCAAGCTCCTTGGCAGCAGCGAGCTCCATGGCAACATCGTCGAGCTCCGAGGCAGGCGGCGTCTTGTCAAGGTCCATTTTCAGCTTGCCCTCCTCTCTCTCTTGCCGCTCCTTGTCCTGGATGGCCCTCTTCACACGCAACTCTTCCTGCTCTAGCCGAGAGAGTCGCATAGCGTCCTTGTAGCCCCCCTCAGTCTGCTCCCCATTCTCAGCGAACGCGTCACCGCTCGCAACACCGACTCGGTCGAAGCGTCGGTTGTGGTAGTCAGACTGACGGGCAGCAATTTGACGCTTGGAAGCCGTTTCCGCGAAAGGGTCGACATTCTCCTCCTCCGCAAGATCTGCGAACTCCTGCAGAATTTCCTTTGAAGCCGTAAAAGAGTCGACAAGCCGCGGAGAACCCGACATGGAGAGGTTGGGTGACAAGTGAGAGTGAATGAGTCTAGGGTGTGACTAAGCTCAAGGACGACTGCACGTGCTTCACATACACGTGACCCTGTTTGGACTATTTAACCAACGCAGATTTTTCACTGTCGTCATCAGTCCTCGACTTGATCTCTTCGCTCTTCATGGTGTCTGGATGTTCCTCTTATGATGTGTGAAAGGTTAGTCCATGTTTCCATCTATAATGGGATGAGTTCTTTGCCGCCCCAGTCGTAGCTAAGCAGTGACGAACGGCAGAGCACAAGCCAAACAGTTGCACCTCTGATTTTCCTCCTGTTCTCATAAGTTGAAGCTCAATCTAACCCTTTCCACAGGTGAAGATGTAAGTCTATGGACCATGCGTTTCTTGTATGATGTGAACCTTCACACCAACTCCGAAGCCACTGGCGATGGGGACATACACGAATTACAAAATCTAAGAACAGCCAGCTGATCTCTTCTCTCATATTCGGTCTCGTCTCATCCCTCGATGCTCACATTATGTTTAGGTTTTTTGTCTGGCACATCTTCTTAACCAACTAGTTTTGAATGCAATGTATGCGTGTTATGTCATCTGTTGTACAAATTGTATCACTGGTGCGGTTTGAGTTGCATCCACTTCAGATCAGAGAGCCCCAGGCGCGACTGAGTAACGAACGAGACGAATCAGTCGAATCGTTGACGTTACTGCGATCTGTGTGATCGCTGGCACTTCCAGGTTCAGGTTGTCCTGGTGCTGGTTCAGTCAGTAGACCGCTCTGCTGTGATGCACGGCTCCAAACGACCCTTCCTCGACCGTCAGTCACAAAAGGAGGATCGCGGGCGGTCGGTTGTAACTCTATCTCACTATTAACGGTCTCGCCAGATTCGGGAAGTGAGGATGGTGGGGGCTCGACGGGTGAAAGATGATATAGAGACGGGGACAGGCGAGAATTCAAGGGACTGGGGGTGGAAAGCAGCAACTCGACATCGGAACTGGACTCTTCTGCCTCTTCATCAGCCTCATCCACGTTGTCAGACACAGAGGCTCGGGAGGGCGTGTCGTCTGCGTTATTCACGGAACCCTCCGCATCGGCGTGGTTTGTAGATGGATGCGGGATGGCCTCAAGAGCAGGTATTGTCTCATCAGTGAATTGGGCTGTCCAGTCCGCTATTTCTCCAGAGAGTGATGCGAGCATGTGGTCAGCCTGATAAAATGGTCATTGGAGTCGACATCAAGTCCACCAGAAGGGATGACATGCCAGAAGGTCAAGACGATGACGCATGACAGACACCTCGTCACCCGGACTGTGAAATACGAATGGATGACTCGGAGGCCCATCGTTCAAGACTCGGACGCCTTCAAGAGTCTGTATCAATTCGGACGCTCTCAGAAAGTCGGGAACTCGGTGAACAAATAAACTTGACCAAGGATCGCGCTGGCTAAATCAGTATTTTGCATGGAGCATAACAACACAAACTGACTCGATTATGCGGGTTGTGGCCTTCCGAGAATTTGTGCGGCGTGCCGTCTAAATTACGGTGCTGATAAAAGCAATCCTTTCCGAAGGGACAGGAAGGCCGTCCGGATTTGGTTGCGAGCGATCGCTGGAAATACCTTATGACGATAAGTGTCCAATAGCTTCGGTGTCACCATTCAAGGAAAACACTTACCTGCATGGTATTCTGTTCATACTTGCCAAATATCGTGCCATGGCGACGTCCTTCTCTTCTTGGCCTTGAGCGTAAAACTTGGACGACGGAATGATATGCCGGGCGGACTGACGGCACCTAGAGAAGATGAGAAACGGCAATCGCTTCAAATTTTGTCTCTACATGGGGCAACGCTTGGTATTGCCGGACTCCACAACATCCACAGATTTGTTCGACTTATCTCGCCATTGCTTGATGCACTAAGAGAAGATCGGCGGGGCACGGAAGAAGCCAGAGGGAATAGATAGTACAGTGATGCAAAAGATATGGCTGCAGCCAGCTAAGAAACGTTATGAAGACGAACGGATCTGGATAGGCGACTGGTACGCACTGAGTAGACCATACGTGACAGGCTTATCGAAACAGATAGAACAAAGATCGTCTTCATCTTCAATGGCCCCCTTGTCCTTTCCCTTGATGTGAGCAAACCAGCATTCACTGCCCCGCTTACAGAACCCCGCAGCGAAGAATCTGCATGACTTTGCCTTGTCGTAAGGTGTATACGTCTCTGATGGCCCATGCAAGAATTTGCACGCAGATCCAGCAAAGCAACCACGTTGTGTGGCGTAGTACTTGCAGATGCCCCGAGACTTGGAGGTAACCGGTCGTTGAGTCGGTACCGCCGCGCCGGGATTAGACGACATGGTCCCAGGTGTCAAGTGAAGGGTCACGGTGTTACATTTCCTATTTCGTACTGAGCTCTATCGTGTGTGCCACTGCACTGCTTAGTCTGCGATGCTGTGCACAACTGGGGATTTCGGAGTTGAAGCCGAACACCTTCGACGATCGATGGCTTTCGCTACTCTCTGATATCTTCAAAGAATGCCTACGCTGGAAGTCCTTCAAGTAAGCATTCAGAATCCCATTCCCAATCCGGCGCAGCCTGTGTGCAGAGAGTAGTAGTGACGTCGACGCGACGCGGCCAAACATGACATGACATCACTGCGTCGCGGCTTAAATTCGTCAAGCAGTTCTTGAAAGCATCTCTCCTCTTTCCCTTCTTTTTGCAATCATGGCCAAAAGCAAACGAAACTCATACCAGAAACCCAAGGTCGCCATTCCCAAGCGCAGCGCGTCTAAAGGGAGCGCTACCTCCTCTCAAGCCTCCCCCGTGGAACCCCAGACACCCAAAACGCCCGCTGATGAGGGAATCGAGTTCTTTCAATCGAATGTCGTGCCGGGCGAGTTGCCTATTCAAGTCTACGAACTACGTCTTGAAGCCGACGGGGCTCCCCACAAGGACCGCTCAGTACGTTGAGCTCTTCATCTCACTTCGTCGGATCCAACCATCTCGCCAGTATATCCGCCTTCCTCCCGCATATATACCTTACATCCTGCGCGTTTCTATTGACGCCGGTACCGCTGCTTCCAAGAACGGCGTGTTCAAGACCAACTTCCCTCTTGACGGCGGCAAGTTTGGAAGGGATCAGTTCTGTGAACGCAGGTTAGCTCTTTGCCCCTGTTCGACATGCATAGATCCTCATTTTTCGTCTGAAAGATTGCCCACGAACTTTTCGAAGCCTATTCAAATCGATCTCCCCATCTCTCATGCGGGAGCCTTCGTCTTCTGGGTTGAACACGACGGCGATTCCCCCAACGAACGCGTCAAAGGACGCGAGGGTTATTTCAACATAGACCCTGTTCTGCGTCTGAAATCGCGCGATTCTGTCTTGAATAATGGCAAGATCGTTCCCCAGACCAAGCTTGGCGCGCAGATGACCAACCTTCCCATGAATGGCCTATCCATCCTCACTTTGGTGTCCAAGTGGATGGGCGACGCATCGGAATGGCCCAAATTCTTTGCCGAAGCTTGTGACCGTGGCTACACGATGATCCACTACCCTCCGCTTCAAGAACGTGGTCACAGCGATAGCCCGTACTCCATCCGAGACCAACTCAAGTACGATCCGAGCATATTTGGAAGTGCCAGTCGCAAGGGAGATGGGGGTAAGGCTCAAGTCGAAGCTGTCCTCAAGATTGCCCGGGAGGAGCATGGCTTGCTCAGTCTGACAGATGTCGTGCTTAATCACACAGCGGATGATAGTGCTTGGCTGGCCGATCATCCAGAAGCAGGTGCGTCTATTGGTCTACATTCGCCCAGACATCTGGTACTGAATCTCGAATCAGGTTTTAGTCCCGCGAATTCCCCTCATCTCACCCCCGCTCTCGAGCTTGACAGTGCGATAATTCAATTCTCGAGTGAACTGGGCTCCAAGGGACTTCCCACCTTCGTCAACAACGAGCAGGATCTCGAGCGAATCTGCTCTGCCTTTCAAGATATGATGAAAGGCCTTAATCTGTGGCAGTACTACGTTGTCGACGTTGCTCGCGAGAAGGACACGGTCAGAGCTGCCCTTGTCGCCAACAAGATCACTGCCTGGGATGGGCCAACAGTCGCTTACAAGTCTGTCGTCGAGATCGCTGAGATTCTCCGTGCCTCTGGCAAGATTATCGGACTTGGAAAGTATGCGTCACGGTTCGGCGTCAGTGTGGATCCTGGCGTGGCTGCTGGATTCGTCAAGGCAGCGTTTGTCGATATTTCCGAGATCGATTCTCTTGTGGACGCTTGGGCTCGCGTTGTGGACGTGATCAATGTTTCGCTGTACCGGGAATGCGAGGAAGACGCAGGTGTCGCGTCGGACAATGTGAAGAATCGTCTCAAGTACACGCGCCTTGACGAGCATGGTCCCAAGCTGGGGGAAATTTCGAAATCGTCAGTCTTCTCTGCTTGTTCATTCTCTTCGCTTCTATCTCACCTGGTCAAGCTCTCCTATGGTAGAGCCCTACTTTACTCGGATCGCTCCCACCCCCGAAGCAGATCCGCTGGTATATTCCTTGGCCAACAACGGTTGGATCTGGGCAGCGGACCCTTTGAAGAACTTTGCGGAGCTGCCGTCCAAGTGCTATTTACGGCGTGAGGTCATTGTTTGGGGAGATTGCGTGAAACTCCGGTATGGTTCTGGGCCTGAAGACAATCCCTGGCTGTGGAAACACATGACTTCGTACGTCGCAGAACTTGCTGGCACATTTGATGGGTTCCGTATCGACAATTGTCACTCGACACCTCTGCATGTCGGAGTTGCGATGCTGGATGCTGCTCGCGTGGTCAACCCTGATCTCTACGTGTGTGCCGAGCTGTTTACTGGGAGCGAGGACATGGATATGCTATTTGTCAAGCGATTGGGGATCAACAGCTTGGTTCGGGAGAGTGGCAACGGATGGGATCCCAAGGAGCTCTCGCGCCTGTTGTACCGCAACGGCCTCGGCAAACCCATTGGTGGGTGATTTCCACTGTATAATGCATTGGCTGATGTACTCTGTAGGGTCCATGGATGGGGCCTGCATGACCAGCATATCTGAGCTTGCCTCTCCCACCGGCAAAGGACCTGTCCGGCAGTGTCAGGTGACCATCCTGAATGGATCGACACCGCATGCGCTGCTGTACGACCTGACGCACGACAACGAGACGTATCTGGACAAGCGATCCGCTGAAGATGCACTTTCGACGGGTGCACTGGCGACATTCAGCTTTTCGGCCATTGGCTCTGTCAAGGGATTTGACGATCTCTACCCGAAGCTATTGGATCTAGTTGGGGAGAAGCGACACTATGAGCTAACGGGACTAGGCGAAAAGAGCGGTATTGCTCGCGCAAAACACGTGCTGAATGGACTGCATCTGGAGATGGCGCTTGGTGGGTACGAGGAGGGCCACGTTCACCAGGAGAATGAAGTGAGTGCTGTGGCCAGCTATCTGATGTTGCTGACGATTGAGATTAGTACATTGTTCTGCATCGTGTTCAGCCGACCTCTCAAAGAGGGTACCTTCTTGTGGCACATACTGCATTCCACAAAGGATCCAAGGACCGGGGCTTCAGTGGGTGGTATTAGCTGACGGAGTGCCACATTTAACTGACGGCATTCGAAAGTTGAGCCCGTCAAGCTTCGACGTACCAAGGCCAAGTTTGTGATGGGTGCCAGTCTAGAATTTGCGTCATATGAGGTGCCTCAAGACTCCAAGACTCTACGAGGGATGCCTGCGAAGCTTGTGGAAATGGAACCGGTTGTTGCTGTCCAGGGCGTGGATGATGCGGGCCCGTACTCGGAGGTTGTCGTTCCAGAATACTTTCCTCCAGGGAGCATCATGGTCTTTGAGACGATGCTCGAGGATCACGACGAAAGCCTGGACACGTTCTGTGCGGCTGGGGCCAAGGAAGCCATGGGCGATTTGGACCTGGTCGACCTGAATGTGGTGTTGTATCGAGCGGACGGCGAGGAGCGAGATGCGAGCTCGGGGGAGTACGGAGTGTATGATGTTCCCGGACATGGACGGCTGGTGTACTGCGGGCTGGAGGGATGGATGCATCCCCTGCGGCACATCATGCGCTACAATGATCTGGGGCACCCGCTGTGTGGGCATCTACGCGAGGGCACCTGGGCCTTTGATTATGTCCACCAGCGTCTATCCAAGCAGGCGGATTCGATGCCGCGCCTGTCCAGGCCTGCGATCTGGCTGCAGGATCGATTCGAGCGCGTCAAGGCTAATGTTCCCCCGCATCTGCGCCCGAAATACTTTGCATTGATTATTTCAGAAGCTTACAAAGCCGCACGTGCTGCGGTCGTCGAGCAGTGCTCCGAATTTGTGTCAAGCGGGCACTCGTTCACGCAGGATCTTGCCATGAGCTCCGTGCAACTTCATGGGTTGGTCCATTCGGCATCGCTTGATCCGGGCACATCGACGTCATCACTCGCTGCTGGTCTGCCACACTTTGCCGCTGGCTGGGCTCGTTGCTGGGGTCGGGATGTGTTTATCGCACTTCGTGGGCTGTTTTTGACGACAGGCAATTTTGTCGGCGCCAAAAAGCATCTGATGGCGTTTGCGTCGACCTTGAAACACGGCCTGATTCCGAATTTGCTGGATTCTGTGCGCAAACCACGATACAATTCACGTGATTCGCCGTGGTGGATGCTTCAGAACATTCAGGACTACGCGACGATGGCTCCCGACGGATTGTCGATCCTGGGCGAGTCGGTGAAACGGCGGTTCCCCAAAGACGACGCGTGGGTTGCTTGGGACGACTCACGTGCCTATGCGTACAGTTCCACCATCGCAGAGATCATCCAGGAGATTCTCCAGCGTCACGCAACGGGGATCCATTTCCGAGAGTACAATGCTGGACCGGAGCTGGACATGCAAATGAAAGACAACGGATTCAATATCGACATCCAGGTCGACTGGACGACGGGGCTTGTCTCTGGCGGAAATGCCGACAACTGCGGCACATGGATGGACAAGATGGGCGAGTCGGCACGAGCCGGCACGAAGGGTGTTCCCGGAACGCCTCGCGATGGTGCGCCGGTCGAGATCACCGGGTTGTTGGCGAGCACTCTGCGCTGGGTCGATGAGCTGTCACGTGTGGGCAGATTCCCGTTCAAGGGTGTTCAAGCGACCAGTGCGTGCTGCTCAGATCTTGATCTTATCTCTTGGCTTATCTTATCATCTAGTCGACGGCAAGGAGCGCCTTGTGACATACAAGGAATGGGCGGGGTTGATCCAGGCATCGTTTGAAAAGTGCTACTACGTGCCGGTGAATGCCGCGGACGACAACCAGTACCATGTCGACAGCAAGCTGGTGAACAGGCGAGGGATCTACAAGGATGTGTATGGATCAGGTCTTGGCCGGGAGTGGTCTGACTACCAGCTGCGGCCCAACTTCCCGATTGCCATGACCGTTGCGCCCGAGTTATTCGATGCGCAGCACGCCGCGGGCGCCTTGGCCATCGCCGACACTGCTCTCCGCAGCCCTCTTGGAATGAAGACCCTGGACTCACGTGACATGCAGTACCGCCCGGTATATGACAATTCGAACGACTCGGACGACGCCGCCATCGCCAAGGGACTGAACTATCACAATGTGTGTTTGCAAATATCTCCTTGGAACTCATGCTGATTGCAGCAGGGGCCGGAATGGGGCTGGCCGCTAGGTTACTTCCTGCGCGCAAGCCTGCATTTCGACGGTGGCAGGGACAAGCAGGAGACTCTCCACCGCTTGAACGAAATGCTGCTTCCAGCCCGGGAACACATTAAAAATGATCCGTGGGCGGGAATTCCAGAGCTGACCAACGAAAATGGCGCGTACTGCGGCGATTCGTGCAACACCCAGGCCTGGAGCTCCAGTTGCATTCTCGACTTTTTGGAGACTGTCCACCACACGGACTAGTTGGTGTATAGACTTTCTCTGCGCCTCGTTCCCTTGTAATAATAGAATAGAAATCCAAGCAGTCATCACATTCGAGTTTCGGGATACTACCACATCATTACAACTTTACTTATACATACATACACCAAATACGTCACTACAATCATCAGGAACCGCGAAATAGAAGCAACGGACAAACTCACTTAGAGCAGACGACCGCGACGAGACACAAAGCGCTTGGCAATGAATCCACAGCCCGTCTTTCCAGCCTGAGTCTGGGCACCGACACCAGAACAGATTCCTGACGGTCCGGCGCAGCATCCAGAGCCACAGTCGGCACCGCTCAAGCATTGTCCACCAATGAACTGTCCACCGGCACCGTTTCCGACGTTCTTGACACCTGCCGGGTCGAAGGGAGGTCCACCGACGTTGGCAGGGGGAGCGGCAGCGGCGGCAGGGGGCGGAGGAGGCGCGGCGGCACCGTTGTTGAGCGAGCTTGCGCCAGCCGTGAAACCACATCCAGTCTTGCCAGCCTGAGTCTGAGCACCGACACCCGAGCAGATACCAGAGGGGCCCGCGCAGCAGCCGGACGCGCAGTCGGCCGCGTTCAAGCACTGTCCGCCGATGAACTGTGTGCCCTTGCCATTTCCAACGTTCTTGACACCGGCAGGGTCAAAGGGAGGTCCGCCAACGTTGGGAGGGGGAGCAGCGGCAGCGGCAGGGGGTGGAGGAGGGGGTGCTGCCGCAGCAGGAGGAGGGGCAGCCGCGCCGTTGTTGAGCGAGCTCGATCCAGCGGTGAAACCGCATCCAGTCTTTCCGGCTTGCGTCTGGGCACCAACGCCCGAGCAGATCCCGGACGGACCGGCACAGCAGCCTGATCCGCAGTCAGCGCCGCTCAGGCACTGGCCACCGATGAACTGTCCACCGGCGCCGTTTCCGACGTTCTTGACACCGGCTGGGTCGAATGGAGGGCCGCCGATGTTGGGCGGGAGCGCGCCACCGGCGGCAGGCGGAGCAGCGGCAGCTGGAGGAGCAGCTGCGCCGTTGTTCAGGGAGCTCGATCCGGAGGTGAAGCCACATCCGGTCTTGCCAGCCTGAGTCTGGGCACCGACACCCGAGCAGATACCGGACGGACCGGCACAGCAGCCTGATCCACAGTCAGCGCCGCTCAGGCACTGTCCACCGATGAACTGTCCGCCAGCGCCATTTCCGACGTTCTTGACACCGGCTGGGTCGAAGGGGGGACCGCCGTTAGCCTGAGCGGAGACGTAGGTGGCGAACGCGAGGAGGGAGACCAGGGTGAATGACTTCATGACGATTGGAAGAAGAAAAGTAAAAAGTAAAAGAGAAAAAGTGTGGTGGTGAGAAGAAAAGAGCACCGGGCTCGAAAAGAAAGTGTGATGAGAGAAGGGAGGGGAAAGAAACCTAAGGCTCAGGGATCGATGACCCCAGGTTTTATTCGTTCAAAGATTGCAACCATCAAATCTACTATCTGAGCGATTGATTTGATGGTCTTTCACATATCAAGTGATCCGTTTCAAGTCTGTCAGATCGCCCTTGCCAAGCTCCTCGCTGGCCGAGTCGGGTGCTGATCTGTGCTGATAGATGGACCGAAGTGCTGTGTTCGTTCTGGTCGCTTTCCGTCGCAGCTGGCGACTCGCTGTGCGCCGTTTTCTGGTACTCACGCTCACTATAGACCGTCGAGTGATGCTCAGGAGCGCAAGCAGGAGATGGCCCTGAAACATGAGATCAGACAGACACGAACTGAAACACATGGGCTGGGCCGGAGCTGCGGTAACGGCTTCCTAATGCATTCATTATACATGCGGTCCTCCGTTGTCGCCGGGTTGGGCGGCTACCGTGCCATCTGCGCGTTGCGCTTTTCCCTGAGTACAGATCGCGAATCCCTTGTGAAGAGCAATCAGTACCGCCTCCCCGCACCATGTCCGGCAATCCCACTGGTAGATAATGTCAAATGCATCAGAGACGGCCTGACAGCTCCTACTGTGGCGATGTCTCTCACAGGAGTTGTAGTCATGCGAATATCTACTGCAGCCGTCGATTCCTGCTCTTTGAACGCCTCTACGATAGTTCATCTGTCCAGGTGTATCCGCCTATCTAGGGCTGCTCAATTCTGACGTCTCGTCAATCCAGCCATCAGCTTATATAACTGCCGATGAAGATGGATTTTCGTCCTTGGCACCTCCAGACTTGGGCAATGCAACGAGCGCGGGGAGGTATCCCACTCCATAGAAAGTGCTTCATCGGTTGTCAAAGGCCCATGTCGGATATGTGCTTCTTCAACTGGGCTTCCGATCTGTTCTCAATATTTTGGTTTTGCTCAGCGCTGGGCATCATTCGAGATGTGGATCGATCCATGGTGTATATAAACTGGTAGCTAGATGAACAACTTGAGAATTGATTAGCTCTCATTGGGGCCTGTGGCCTGGACGCGTCGCGTTAATAACCTCATTTGAACATACACGTTGGCATAATTTATGATAACTGGGCTTTCGATCTGTTCTCAATTTCGTTTTGTTTTTACCTGCAGGGAATGACTAGAAATTCACTAAATCTGATGAGTGAATGCACGACGTTAGGACTGAGCAGCTCTCAAGTAGCGAGGCCGTACAGCTCACACGCGTCGCGTTAATCACCTCTCACGTGCGCGCGTTTGCCGCGGATCAATGATGACGCGGCCCGACCCGATCATACAAATGGCCATCCACTATCGGAACAGTCCGGAGCGACACCAGACAACTTTTCTTTCCTAGAACCGTCTCGTAGACCACTCTAGACGACGACACAGATGGCCTCTGCACTCACACCGAAATGGGATGCTAGGTAAGCATTCCCCGTCGCGTCACTGCTCGATTCTCATCCCTCTTCCCCCCCGATAGAAATATTGGCCCTGTCCCCCATGACTTGAGCTACTACAGCAAGTGCATGTTGGGCGGTGCCCTCGCATGCGGTGCTACCCACGCCGGTATCACTCCCCTCGATGTCGCAAAGTGTAACATGCAGGTATGTCGCGCGATGCCGGCTCTCCTCTGCCCCGGGCAGTTTTTTTTTACTGACATTTTACTTAGGTCAACCCGGCCAAGTACAAGGGTCTCATGCCCTCTTTGAGCCTTCTGCTAAAAGAGGAGGGTCAGACCGGTATCTGGAAGGGCTTCGGGCCCACATTTGTCGGCTACTCTCTGCAGGGCATGTTCAAGTATGGTCTCTACGAAGTCTTCAAGGACACCTACATGAACCTCGCTGGCGAGGAGATGTCCAACAAGTACAAGCCTGCCATCTGGCTTGCTGGTTCGGCCTCTGCTGAAGTCTTCGCCGACATTGCCCTGTGCCCGCTCGAGATGACCAAGGTCAAGATTCAGACCAGTGCCACGGGAACCTTCCCCACTGGCTTCGGTGCTGCTCTCTCAAAGATGAGCGCCACCAAGGTTGAGACCCGGTTCCCCTTCGGTTCGCTTGTGCCCCTCTGGTCTCGTCAGGTGTGTACGCACATTCATCATGTCTGCAGCTCACTGACTGGGAGCAGATCCCGTATACCATGGCCAAATTCTTCTTCTTCGAGAAGATTGTTTCGCTGTTCTACACCCACGTCTTCCCCGAGCCCAAAGAAACGTACAGCAAGCCCACTCAACTCGGTGTCACCTTCGCCTCTGGTTACCTCGCCGGTGTCGTCTGCGCTGTTGTCTCTCACCCAGCCGACTCGCTCGTGTCTCTGCTCGGAAAGGCTGAGAACAAGGGCAAGTCTGCTGGTGCTATCGCATCAGAGGTCGGTCTCGTCTCGTTGGCCACTAAGGGTCTCGGCACGCGTGTGATCATGATCGGTGCGTTTCCCCTCACTGTTGTCGTTGCTGCGCCGTATTGACTGGGCCTCCAGGTACTCTCACTGGTTTCCAGTGGTGGATCTACGACTCGTTCAAGTCCGCCATGGGGATGGGTACGACCGGTGGAAAGTAATCGGCAAAAGTGTGTTGGGCAGGCCTGCTGACCCGACGAACGTGTGTCTGATACATTCTGCAGGAATAGATAGCGCTAGTTTACATACCAGCTGTCTCTCTCTCTTACTTTTAGAATGGATCATTAATGACTTTGATGACGCAAGCGATAGCTATACAACAAGCCGGTCTACTACTGGGCCTTGGTCCCTTTAGACTTTTTCCCTTCGCGGGATTCGCCTACGAGCCATCCGGCAGAGAACAAGAAAAAGGCGACACTGGTGCTGATGGCCCCAGCGTAGTACGGCCATGCAGCCGACAGGAAGCGCGGATACCCATCATGTCGGGGAGGTGCAACGGAGACCGTCGTCGAGCTGTGCAGATGAGTCCAGCTGCGGTGCGATTAGCATAGGGACCCAGGAGGCGGTGCAGCCGTGAGCTCACCCTTTGCGCTTGTAGTTGATGACAAACTTGAACACGCCGTGACGGTCAGGTGCGCGGAAAGTGACCGAGTACTCGCCCGGCGAACCAGCCACAGGCAGTAAGGCGGTGCGGATATGGGGGTCCAACATCGTGAACTCGAGCTGCATGTCGTCAATCCCGGAATAGGGCACCCAAGTAGACGTCTTGGGGTTGAAGCGGGAGATATGAGCCGAGTAGACCTGGGAAGTTGCGGTCAGGGCAATCCCGCAGACTGGAAAAGCCCAAGGATCAACGCACAAGGTTATCATTGGTGGTATACAACTCGAGCGGCTCCGACGCGTTGACGAGATGATGGCTGGTGCTGTCGATACGCAAAACCAACGACTCTTGGAAAGTCCAGGCAACCAGTTCACGGAGGAACTGGGCATTCCCAGACTCCACGCCCCTGCAAAGTCAGATTAGCGGCGAATATACAGCAGAATTGGTGGAGAATATACTTGGTAACAGGTTTCGTGGCAAAGTCGTTGCTGAACATTTCAGCACTGCCGACCCAGCTGACACGAGCGCCGCCCGCGACCTGGAAGCCGGTGACAAGCCCAAGTTGGCTTCCAGCCCACAGGCCTTCGCCGCCCTTCTCTACGGTGTCAGCGATAGCATCTGCGCCGCTGTCTACGTCGGCAGCGAAGCTCTCGGCAGGGGCCTTGAGAATGGGCACGAGCTGAGGGCTGTTCCCCAGAGCGTGGGGGACCCCGGAGAACCACACAGGCGTGTTCGAGGAGACGATGTGCGATGCAGGAACCGGGACGGGGACGACGGTCAGAGGCTCTTCGCGCTCAGGGAAGAACGAGACCAGTGGGGTGCTGGGCGGCGGGAGAATGAGATTGAACTCGGCTGCGAGAGACGCTAGAGGGGTCTGCTTTTGGGAGAGTGTGAGGATGAGGTTCGTGCCGCTCGACGCAAGGTCAATCAGCGACTGCGGGGTGATGTCCTTGCCGTACGCTGAGCCACAAGTTCAGTTTCGTCTCAGGAATCAACGCGTCGGACAACACGTACTTTTGGTTTCAGATGAGAGCACGATGATATGAGAGAACGTAGGAACGTCGAACTCAAAGACGGGCGGCGTCTGATCCTTGGGAACGCGGAACGTCAGTTCATATCCCTGATCTGTATCCTCTGGTCAGCAAATGCGAGCACACCATTTGCCAGTTGAGCGTACCTTTGAGACTATCGAAGAATATACTGTAGTCCTTCTGCTTCGCTTCCTCAACTACGACGAGCACCGAGTCTCCGGTGCTGGACTTGGCATGCAAAAGTCCTGACAGGCCGAGGCAGAATACGACGAAGGTGAATAATGATTGCATGGGTCCGAAGTTCCAGCCAGCACGACAGACCGGATGTCGGAGGCCAAAGAGAATGGAGGGTTCCAACTAGAGGATGTGGTCGCACAGAGTTCCACGTCAGGATGATCTATGTCTATTTTGGGCAATGCTCGACACGACGCGTCACGCGTCACACGGTATGTACACGAGACTGAATAAAATAAGATCGACAGAGATTCACAAATTTATCTGCGAGCTATCCAAACCCAGAGCGTGGAGGAAAAGGTTCACGTTGGCGAGTTTTGTGCGACGTTCGTCTTCGTCGGCGACCCAGCCCTTGTTGGCGCTGAGCACATTTTCGAGCACCTTTTCTCGCAGAGACGTCACGAGAATAGAGTGCTGATCGGGCACAGCCTGCAGTGCCAAAGCGGCAAGGAATTGCCACACTGGCTGGTCCATGATGTCGATTTCAAGCGCGGCGGTCGGCGCAACCTGCGACGGCAAAATAATGCGGCTCGATGGGAAGAGCAATGCCAGATTCGGTGTCAGCAGCACGAAAAACTGGTCAAACACAGTTTGCCTGGCCCCCAGTTCAGCTGCGTGAAAAATTGCACCAGATGAACTCTTACCACTCAAACAAGGCCGCTTCAGCTGAGCTGGGCTCGATCGCCTCTTGGCCAGTCGTCCATGACTGCTTGATGATCTCAACCCGACTCAAAAACAAGGTCAACAGAGCGAGTCCAGGCTGGATGAATACAAAAGTCAGACAACGCATCCCAGAAAACTAGAACACAGACCTTAGTCATAGCCAGCGCACCGACATTGGGGCTGCGGTCAATCAGCAACCCCATCAACGCAGTGACGACGTGCAGCTCCAACTTGGCCACGATCGGAAGGATGCTCTGTAACACACTGGTCAAAAATGCTTGGGTTTGGCGGTCAGCCTCGGCCCGTTCAGGTGAGTCGTCGAGCGAGTCTAGCAATGGGGCGCTTCTGACCACATCCAGTTGATGGAAACACGCAACAAGCAAAGTCATCAGGGTAAGCATGCGGCTAGGTCCGATGTGTCTGGTCAAACGCGGAAGAATCTTTTTGCCTTTGCTCGGACCCAAGAGCGAGACGAATGGGTGCGGGTTGCTAGTTTCCAGAGGGACCATCACTCGCAACCCTTCCCAGAGTTGTTCGACAAGTTGATCATATTCCACTTGCCTGGGAACAATTCAGTGAGAACTCCAGTTGAGCCGAGAGAGGACAAACCACCGCACAAGGGCAGCCTCGTCCTCCTGCGGATCTGGCTGCTCTCGTCGTAGATGCTCTACTTTGAGAACCAAGTCGTACAAGGACTCAAGTATGGTCAACACCTCACGGCGGGTCAGCGGGTCTTGGCGCACAACTCCAGCCTAGAGAACGATGGGCATCCGAGTAAGAACGAAAACAATTACGCACATCACCCAGGGCTTGATTCATCCGCGCTGTTTCCAGTGCAGCCGCTTCGTTGGGTTGGGCGTCAACAGGCGGACTGGCGTTGTCGTCCACTTGCAGCAACTGCCGAGGAGCTGCTTTGTAGCTTCTTCCAGACGTCTTTCCCAGAGCCCCTTGCAGATTATGCACCGCTGCCGATCAATGAGCGACAATCCATAAGCAAGCAAGAAACAACCCCACGATTGGTGCCCTTTTCCGCCTCCCTCTTCCTGGCCGCGCTAACGATTCTCTCGACCTGTTGCTCCATTCTCTGCATGGCGTTGGGCCGTCTCGTTGGTCCTTTCTGAGGAGCACCCAGGCTAATCCCGCCGCTGGAGCCAAACTTGAGGATTCGCTCATCACCTGACTGAAGACCCATTCGTGACCGCTGGATCGCACTGTAGACTTGCGCATAAAAGTCGTCTGCATAGGGATCGGGCGTCACCAGCTGTGAGACTTGGATGCGCGTGATGAAGTCCTTGTCAGACTGGGTCATGAGGTCGTTATACCGGGCCTGCCGACTCTAAGATGAGAGTGAAACATTTCCAATAGAACTGGACGAACCATATGCGCAATTTTAGCTGCCTTCCTTCGCCTCCTATCTTCCATCCTCTCGGCCTCTACAATCTTTCGCATAGCCTCGGCTCTCAAAACCTCTTGATCAGCATGCGAAGTGCCTTGGACTTCTCTAAGATACTCGGCCTGTGCTGCCATCTCGGCCAAAAGTCGCTGCTGCTGGATCTGCTGCGGTGTACCGTTGTGCTCTTGGAAGCCGGGCGACTGTGAATGCTGTCGCCGGTGCATTTGCTGCTGCTGCTGCAATGCCTGCATCTCAGCCAACGACGGGCCCGAGGGCAGCCGTCGATGAGGAAAGTGTGCCGGCCCTTGGTTCAGTTGCGAAATCTGCTGAGCCCGCAACTGTCTCTCCAGATCCTCGATTTGCAATTGCTCCTGCAACCTCAGCTGCATCAACTCATCTTCCCGTTGCTGTTGTTGTAACAGCAACATCTGGCGCTGATCCAAGAATCGAGGCGACTGAGACGCGGTGATCATCCGGGGTGGCGGCGTGCGCTGATGTGCATGATGTTGGGTCGCCTGCTGTCGCATCTGCATCATTTGCTGTTGCTGGAGGCGTTGCAATGCTTGCAGCTGCAGCTCCCGATTTTCCCGCTCACGCTCCATGGAAAGGCGCTGGCGCTGGTACACTTGTTCTTGCAGCATCCGCTCCTCATCTTCCTGGAGCAGACGTTGTTGGCGACGGACCTCCTGTTGACGTGACTGCGATGCACGAGCGATCATGTCTGCCTCGATATCTTGCAGCGTCCGGCTCTGACCGGAGCTGGGAGACGAATCGAGAAAGGGAGAGAATCGGGGGATAGCAGGCGAGGCTTGTCGGTCTGCAAACTGGTGCAGTGAGCTGTCATTCCAGATAGACTCCAAGGAAATCGGAGTGTGTCGGACTTGTTGATATTCTGGCTCTTCGACAAAAATGAGGCTTGCGATTAAACACAAACGAGAACGAACTCACGGAGATGCTTGGATTGCGGATCGGGTCCGAGTCGGTTGCCGACAGGGTGCGCAGACCGTTCCGACTCAAGTAGACCCACGCCTGGCTGGCCCGCGAAATCGAAATCCTTCCCTGTCAAATTACTTAACAGTGCTGTGTGGCAGAAGTGCGTGTAATCCCTACCAACAGTCCCACTGTCACCAAAAGTTTCGTCGTTGAAATCATCGCCGCCTTCCTGTAACGCGTCCCCCAGCCCATCGTAACTCTCTTCGCCCCACGTGTAAACAGCTACATCTTCGGACAGGCCACCGCCTTTGCGTATACTTTCGCGCTCGGCTTCTAAGTCGTGTCCCGGGAGGCCAAAAAATGACATGGGTGCATTGGAGGAAGAAGGATCGCCAAACAAACCCCACTTATTATCGGTAACTTGATCCAGATTCTAATCTACTGTGCTGCTGTTCCTCTCTTGGATATTGCGCTATGTGCATATTTACCCTGTTGTGTTTTTACAAGATGACTCTTCGAATTTTTCAAAAGACTAGGTCGTTCTGCTTCATGACCCAGATCGCAATCAGCATCCCTGCGCATTCAATCTAACGCCGCAGTCGCGTCAAGTATGATGCAATGGAAAGGATACTAGCTCGACCAGGCTCGGTCTGCAGAAGTTAGCTCTGATCAGGAGAGGCTGCTAAGAGGTTCACGGCTGCGGCTGCAGATATTGTATAGATGGCGCGAATGAAACCGTGGCAGCCCGTCACTTATTTCGGAGAAACATGTTTTCCTAGTGACTTCTCATGGGGAATAGCTCGTCTCTTTCTTGCGTTATGTATCAGTAGGGTGTTTCACGAAGCGTTTTTATGACGTTTTTACGATTCCTTTTATGTTGCTTTTACGAACAGAAAAAGACCATAAAAAGCGCATAAAAGGGTCCCTTCGTGAAACCCCCCCAAATTTAAGTGTCCTTTTATCCTCTTTGATGCTGAGGTAGCTTCGTCACATGCCTCGATCTCACGTGGTTCCCCGATTACAGGCGACCGGTCGAAGGTAATGTGACACTGTGTGACACTCTTCCCTCTCCCAATCCATGCCCAAGGTCTCGCTACGGAAACGACTTATCGATGGCGCCTACGCTTACGCACGACGTTTACAAGCATGGAGAAAGCGGGAAAGGGACCGGAGGGAGAGACGGGAAGAAGAGGTCGTTTTGGGAAAAGTGGGAGACGAGCACTGGCAGGAACTGGTAGAGGACGTTGGTCGCCCTGGTAGCCCTATGGACATCAGTGATGTTAGCGACGTATCGTCAATCTCATCCGTATCTGCATCCACCGGTCCTGAAGATGCCGCTGACTCGGAGGATGAGGAGACGCGGCGGTATCTTGGAAGATATGCGGCAATACGGGAACGCATTCAGCAGCTTGAGAGCGTGCGCACTCTGAAGCCAAGGACCAAGGTTCCGAAGAGGTCTCAACTCAGTCTCGTTCTTGTTCTGTACCGCAAAGATGACCCTGTTCGCTTTCGACGCAATCTTCGTGTGGCACCCAATACATTTGATGGGATCGTCCGACAAATCGAGAATAACCCGGTTTTTGGAGGGGAGGAGGAGACCGGGAAACGTCAGCTCCCTGTGGACCGCCAGCTTGCCATCGCTCTGTTCCGATTTGGCCATTACGGCAACAGCGCATCCGTAGAGTCCATCGCTCAATGGGCGGGTGTGTCTGCCGGCATGGTTGTCAACGCTACGCGGCGGGTTATCATCGCCTTACTGGATCTTCACGACACTGTCATCCGTTGGCCAAACGCTGAGATGAAAGAGGATGCGAAAGACTGGGTCGAAGAACAGAGCTGTGCAGCATGGAGGGACGGGTGGCTCTTAGTGGATGGTACTCTCGTTCCTCTGGCAGAGAAGCCTGCCTATCACAGAGAGGCGTATTTCGATCGCAAAAGCAACTACTCGTTCAATGTTCAGGTGCGTTCTGAACGTTCATGGAACCGGACGCAGTCTGATCTGTCTCACAGCTGATTACACTGCCGAATCTCCGCATTATCGACTACGTGATTGGACACACAGGCAGCACCCATGATTCGACTGCATTTGCTGAATCAAGGACTTGCAAGGATCATGCTCAGTTGATCGGACCGAACGAGTGGATCTGGGGGGATTCAGCGTATCCATCGGAATCATGGTGTGTCACGCCTTTCAAGAAACCAGCAAACGGCCTTGCCGAGAACAAAACCTTCAACTACTGGGTCTCACATGTCCGCATCCGATCTGAGCATGCTGTAGGCTTCCTCAAGGGTCGATTCCAATCACTGCGCAGACTTCGTCAACAGATCAAGAACGAAACAGATCATCTTCGCGCGCTAGAGTGGATCCGAGCTTGCCTCGTTTTACACACACTCATTCACAACATCGAGTCGGAGGAGGGCACCCTGGATCAAGAGTGGGAGGAAGAACTCATTCGGGACGGAGCAGAGGATGATGGGCATGACGAAGATGACGAGGACCCAGCTCCTGCGAGGCGTAACAGAAGGGGCCGAGAGTCATCTGGGCAGAGGAAGCGAAGAAAGGTGAAGGAAGCGCTCTTTGCTAGCGGTGTTACTCGACGAAGGAATCATCATGTTTCATAGATAGAATATGTGCTAATCAAATCGATACTGGCTTGGAGAACTTGAACCTGAGAACTGACTGTTACCCGCATCGCCGTAACTGAATCCAGAGAGGCTGGACGGTGACAGAAGTCCATCAGTATGATATCCGGGGTTCTGCTGCTGACCTGTGTTCTCTCCGGCATCATAGTTCTGCGGCTGCTGCCCCATGTTCCCTCCTCCATATGGCCCTTGGGGCGGGCCCATCTGTGCTCCCACTCCACCATTCCTGCGATTGAAGCCCATCATCTGCTGCATCATGTTCATCATCATCTGATCCCGCTGCAACTGAGCCTGCCTCGCTTCTCTTTCCATCTTCATTCGCTCCTTGTCATTGTCAAGCTTGCGGCGTTTGTTCTCCTCTCGCTGGAGCTCGAGAGCGAGTCGTTCGCGGCTCCGATTTGCGGATTCAGCGAGCTCTTGCTGATGGATCTCATCCAGAGATTCGATATCAAATGCAGCGCGGCGTTTCAGTTTGTGCTGTTTCTCAGGTTTCTGGTAAGTTTGTCGGTCAATTCAGAAATGACAACTCAGAAGCTGACTTACGGACTTGATGGGCTTTGTGTCCTTTCCCTCGACAACCACTTCTCTGTCATCTTCATCAGCATCTATCGCCCCGGCTTCTGATGATGCTTCGGATCTGGAACGGGGCGATGAAGGTGTATCGACACTGAGTTCCTTCCATACAGACGTCTCCTTCCTATCCTCTGAATTGTAGATCGGCTCCATCCCAAAGATAGTGCCTGCTCGTTTGGCATGATTGCCACCAGACTTCGCATTTGAGACCCCGACAGGGTTGTAGTTCGGCAGTTCTCGCCAGAACGCATGCAGGTCATCCCAGTGAACGAACTGCTCCCGGATCTTCTCTGGTTTCCGGTCAGAACACGGAACAGAATCACTCATGGTATACCTATCAAGTTGGCCTGCTCCTCCTCTGATTTGACCCCGCCGCCAGTGTCATACAACGTCTTGACGTGTGTGCCATACTGCTTCTTCATCCTGGATACCGGTAAGCAAGTCCGCTCATGTATATCAGCCATGGCAGCTCACCGAGAGAACTGCTGCTGTAGGGACTTCGCAAAGCGTTCACGATTCCCCAGATACATGGCAACATTTTCGGGACTCAGCACTCCAGTGTTGTTGGCCTCATCATCCGTATCCTCTCCACCGGTCTCCTTGTCTTCAGCCACCAGGCCGTCCGAGTCCTTGCTCCCACTCGCTGCCTTGGCCGCATCCTCTTTCATCTCCTCCGCCGATTTCACGCCAGCAACATAGTCCATCATCATCTCGTACATCTGAAGCTTTGTCGTCTTGCCCTGGACCTTGACACGGCCCTGCGCGGTTGCATCGCTGGTGGAATCGCTGTAGAGCTTCCGGCGGAAGGAAGGGTTGTCGACGAGGAACTCGATAGCTTTGGCAATCCAGGCTGGGTTCTTCTCCCACGGAATGCTGTCACCCTTGGACCTCTTCCCATCCTCGACCTCGATGGTGTCGTCATCGTTCCCGTCCTCCGCTGCAGTCGCTTTGGCATCGGTCGCCTTTGTGGTCACCTTAGTGGTGGTCACTTTTCGAGAGGCCGCTTTCTGCTTCTTGATGACATCGCTGGTACCCTCGTTGGCGTTCTTCTTCTTCCTAGGATTGCCTATAGTGGATAGGAGAGAAAAGAGTGTAGAATAGGGGACAGTAACATGACAAGATGACATAACACGAGCTCATAAAAAGCCCATAAAAAGCTGACCGAAAAAAAGACCTCTGAGCATAAAAGGGCTCGAACGCTTTTATGCACCTGTTGCAAAAAAGGCGACTTTTTTATGAGACCCGTTTTTTGATGGACTCAAAAAAGGATCATAAAAGGATCGTAAAAACATCATAAAAACGCTTCGTGAAACACCCTAGTGTCCAGCGCTCAACGCTCCAAGGATTTCTTGCGCGCAATTGATCACTAATGTACTTATTCCATTACGTTAGCCGGCGCCGAGGGCGCTTGAGGCTCCCACCGACAAAACTCAGGACTTTCGCGCTGGATTTTTCTAGACGGATCAGCGACTGCATGTACGCCGGCAGGTTTTGTAAGCTCTGATCTCGCAATTACCAAAATCTGATTACTCAAATCGTCCTTACCTTGAGACGAAAAAGGAAACTTTGAAGTTGGAAGAGTGATCCACGATGGATTTGGTGGTTTTGAACGTTGATTATCCAGGTGCGAAGAGTTTCCAAGTAGCCAATAACTGGGTCAAATCAAATCGAATGGACCGTAGATTAGAGATGGCACCGCAGTGGGTGTCGGACAGCGGAGTGATCCGATCAATGGCGCATTAAGCGATCACAGAGTACCTCCACAGTCTTGGATTCCGAGCTCAATTCACACCCTCTTCTTTTAACTTGTCACTAATGCTCTCTGCAATTCCCACTGAAAATACGTGCACAGACTGCCACGTCGCCCCCGAAATCACGTATCAGTGCACTGATCAATGCATTGTCGTGGCATGCACGGCAAACGAACAGCAAGCCCCTGCTTGCAGCGAGGTATCCTGTGCGGGAGACCATTGCCAAGTCGTCTGTGAAGACGGCGAATGCGATGGACTCGACGAATTCGTGCGTATCATATCGCTTCTTCCATCCTGTACGCCCATCGATGCTCGACAGTTTCAATGCTGCACAGATTTCCACGCATACTACGAGGAACCCCGACATAACCCGGATGCAAGATGGGCCTGGGACCCATGTCTCAAGAATTTTATGTGCTCTTGTGAAGCAGGCTCTCATTCTGAAGCTCACACGCCTCACGGTGCCATGCACACTCATATTGACGAGCCTAGCGATACATCCACGCGGAGCTCTCCGATATCCTCGACCCCCTCCTCTCAAGCCGATCTGGATAATATGCTCACCTCGGCATGCATGTGGGGTGACTGTGCAGACCGATTCAACGGTCCTCTGGATCTCGCAGAGCACGTCAACGTCGCACACTTGCCTGGCAAGACGCACTACGATCCCCCTGCAATGGCGTGCCAATGGAAGGATTGTAGCGTCTATCCGACGCCCTATTCGATGCCTGGCCCTTCATCGGGTGACTTTGACACTTTCTTTGGATTGCTGTCTTCGCATCTGCTCCACGACCATTTGGGGCTGGGCTATGTCCCCGAATGCGGCGAGCACCACCACCACTCGAAAAGCTCTGTCGAGGAGACTGCGCCAGCCCCGACGGCTGCCGTGGCAGAACATGTCTGCCGATGGGCATTGTGCGGGGAATCATTTACTTCTTCTGATGACCTCACACAACATCTGGCAAATGCCCACGTCGGTTCTGGAAAGATGGCGTATGATTGCTTTTGGGGGGACTGTAGTCGACACGGAGACAACGGTTTCACAAGCAAGCAGAAGCTCAGTCGTCATCTCCAGTCGCACACCAAGCACCGCCCGTTCCAATGCCAGATTTGCATGCAGCACTTTTCTGAGGCTGCTACGCTGCAACAACACATGAGAAGACATACATTGGAGAGCGAGTGATCCCCCTCTTCTGCTGCTCACACTTGCTTATCCAGAAAACCAGGGCCGTTTGTGTGCGACCATCCCGGGTGCGGGAAATCCTTTGCGATTGCAGGCGCCTTGACCATCCACAAACGAACACACAACGGGGAGAGGCCCTTTAAATGCCCTCAATGTGATAGGTATTGATTGCTGTTGTTCTGACCTCGAGCCAAGAACTAATTCAGGACCAGACACTTTGCTGAATCATCGAACCTCTCCAAGCATGTAAGTCAATCGAATGTTTCGTGATGCCGACCGTCTAAAATACTGCAGCTGCGGACGCACACTGGAGAGAGACCACACAAATGCACGGAGCCAGGGTGTATCAAATCGTTTGCACGCGCAGACCAGCTGACGAGACACAAACGGGTTCACCGCAAAGTGGGCAACTAGTTGCTCGTACATCAACATGTGTATGTATGTGCTAGTGTACAGTACGAAAGAAAAGGCATAGTAATAGAGATTAAAGAGACATTAAATCGCACACTCTTCACCGAGGTGTGCTGTCGCACGAACGGCTGCAACCCGGTCGCTCACATCAGTGAACCATTCCTGAGCCTTGAGTGCGCGTTTTTCGCTGTCCTCAGCGTTCTTGACTTCCTTCCCCCTCTCTTCCATCGCACTCCGGAATCGTTCACGCAGATCCCACGATGCCAAGCGCAGCACCTTGCGAGTCTCGCGACCGATCCGGATGACGTGCTGCGACTCCCATTGCAGCTCGGTTTCGTTCTCGTCCTCAACCGCAGCCCGGATGCGCCGACCAATGGTCCGGGGAATGCTGCTCGGGAGCTCGAGTACAACGTAGACGACCGCGCCGATAGTCACAGCCCCGACAGCGGGGAGCGCCCATTTACGTGCTGTCTCGTTGGCGAACAAATCGCTCAGACGCACGAACCCTTCGATCGCACCTCGGAGGCCAACCGCTTGCCCGCCGACCATCGTCAAGGCACCCACACCCACACCGACGAGACCAAGCGCACTCGGCGAGGCATCGGCGTCCGTCGATTTGGAGTCTCCGAAGTGCACCAGGAACTGGTGGTTGACGTCAAACAGGTCCAGGAACGTCGTCTCCTGCATGTCGGGTCGCGAAACCAGGCCGATACCCAGGCCCTGTGCACCGCCGGCCACGACCACTGCACGATGCTTCTGAGCACCGGAAGAGCGGCCGCGGCGGACAGCAGAGAACATCGCCTCCGGCATAAAGACCCGACGGCTGCGCTCAACTCCGATAGGCAGGTGCACTTCGCCAAGATTGCGGATCCGAGTGACACCATCGGATGTTACGTCACGCGCCTCGTCTTCAGCAAGCTTGACGGAACGGTCGAGAGACTCCAGCAGACTGCGCCGAACGTCACGGGCGTAGTCGAAAACGGCGAGGAGGCCAGGGTATGACGGCAAGAGCACACCGGCAGCGGCCTTACCCGATCCGACAGCTGCCAAAGCGTCATCGAGAATCTTCCGGGCCTTGTCCGAAGCCTCAGAAACACCGGCGTCCTCGACAGCCTCCAGACCTTCTTCCAGATGATCGCGGCCAGCCCGCATCTTGTCCAGTACAGGTTTGGCTTCCGCGAGATTGGCTCGCGCGGCCTCGAGTTCAGCAGCGGCAACGAGCTTGTTCGCCGAAGAGAGAAGTTCGAGATCGCTCAGCAAGTTGAGCAAGAAAGTCTCCACAGGCTGCAGCTTGGACTTGGCGCGCTTCGTGAGCACAAAGGACCGCAGCGCAGACTCCATCTCCTTGAAGGCAAAGGGGTCTTTGGGCTCGGCGCCCTCGGCAGCAGCCGCGGAGTCAACGAAATGCACCAGATCCTCGGCGTCTTCGAACGTTCGAGGACTGAGGCCCTTGATCTGGTCCAGAACCACCCGCCGACATTTGTCCTTGTTCCGGATCATGTCATACTTGTTGACAACGATGAACAAGTATGCTTTCTCGTTGCTCGCGGTCCAAAGGAACTCCTTGGCCGAGAGCGTGAAGTGGTTCTCAGCCGACACGACAAAGACGACAACGTCAATCTCCTCCTGTCGAGCGAACAGAGCGGTTGTCTTCAGCGAGTCGCGGTTGAGACCCGGAGCATCGATAAGGGAGATGTTGACGGTCCCGTTGGAGAGAAGCGAAGTCTGATCCTTGCCGGCCAGATAAACCTTCACGAGCTGGTCGGAACCTTTGGCCTCATGCTCTGCGACCAGTTCCTCCAGATCCTCCAGCTTGCAGGTGTCAAAAGTGCTCTCATCGAGCGGGTTGTACGAAGCGCCGTCCTTGACGATATGAACGGCTTCGACGCCACCGTTCTCCGTAGCATCATGAACTTCGGTGAATGCAGTGGTGCAAGGCTGCTGATCCACAGGCATGACCTCACGGCGCAGCAGGGCGTTAACGAGTGTAGATTTTCCAGCGTTCAGGTCACCGGTGACCAACACTTTGGAAGAAGTGTCCTGAACTCTCAGGCGGAGCTTGTCGATATGAGCGATAGATTTGCCCAGTCGCTCATCCAAAAGGTGGGCAATCGACGACTTCTCAAGCTGAGAAACGAGCGAGCTCGCGGAGCTGGCAGATGAGGAACCAAGCTTGAGGTCCAATCGCAAGACATGGAAGTCAGAGGAGAAAGGTGCGGGGTCGGCTGATTCTTCATCTAAGCACTCCGGTTCGTCCGTCTTCGCCTCGAGCACGGAAGCAAGAGTAGTCGAACGGTTGAGACCCATACGAACGGGGGTCGTCACGGTGGGATCATCGGCGAACGAGAGAGAGCGTCGGAGAGAACCGGGCGGCCGAGTGGTGTCCTCTTGGAGCTGTGGGTAGCGCATTACCCAGTGCTCCTTGTTGAAACCTCGGACATCGTTGAGAATAGTCTTGGTGGAATCTATGGCGTCTACAAGACTAACAGCCGAATAAATAAATGTCATAACAACGGGGAGAGGCAGGCTTACCGGTCTTTATGTTGATTATAGGCGCCTTGCACATCATCTGCCTTGGCCGTGGGACCCGGAGATAACGTAGAATGAGACATGTATATGTTTGAGATAGCCTGAAGGCCGCCACTTGGGACTGCGTTCAACTTATTGATCGTTTGTGGTGGGAATGAGAAAAGCGTTACTAGTCATCAATATTGGTAAACAAAAGTGTCCAATCGCATCAATGATGATGCTAGTAGCACACCAGCACTCGACTCTCAAATCAGCGACTCAAGTCATTCTCTCACACCACTAATTTAGCAGCGTTGAACATATACTGAAGTGACTTATATTCAATGGCTGTATGTTTCGCCGACTATTCCGCGGTGCTTTCTGGTTAGTGTAGCTGTCATCTTCGTGTGGTGCTCTCAGCTCATATACCCATTGCTAGCTTATGACGCCGTCATCAATAAAGAGATAGATTGGTGTGTTGACCACACTCTTTCTCTGCACCTGTCTCAATCTATTACGAGGCTTGCCCTTGCCTACGACCGATCCTTGCAACCGGAAGGCTTCTACCTATTTGCAACTGGCGCGAACGGTCTTTCCGGACTCGGCACAGCACTTTCAGATCTGTCCCAGGTTTACATCGCTTTATATCGAGCAGGAGACTCGGACGATTCGGTCATTGTCAACATCATTCCCGCGACCGTATCAGGAGTGAGAAGGGCGCGTGCTTTGGTTCATTCGAGACGGATTGGGGCAGTGTTCCAGGTGTGTTACAGCCGATGCATTCGCTCCCGCATCAACACTGATCTGGCTCACGCTAGGCTCACAAAACAACCCTCACTGTTGATCATCTCTCCAACCTCACGCCGAATAGCATATTGCAGGTGTGCGGGCTTCGACGACCACATTCCGCAGGCTGAGTTCTCAGTTCTTGTCCAGGCTCTTGCTTCACCCGACGCGATACACATTATCAACTCAGACCGTGCTACTGACGAGATGGGACAATACGCTACGCCTCTGCAGCCTTCCAACGAGCCTCTACCGAACTCCCCGGGAAAAAGCAGCATGTTCTCGTCCCTTCTTCGCCGGAAAAAGAAACTGGGATCTGAAGCTCTCACCATCGAACCGTTTGATATAAACCAGACGTCGTTCGATACGTCAACTCATCTTTCCGAAGAAGGTCAGCCGCCATTGCCACCACCTAAAGACCGATTTGGCAAACATTCGGTCTCGTCGTCTCCAGCACCGCTCAATCCCCAACGATCGTTGCCGCAATCTCACACGACGCGGAATCGAAGCAACTCGGAGTATACCATGATCAGTCGGCCTCCCTCGATCAGCTCTGAGGATATGGTTGTCATCAGGCCTGAACATGTGCCCCGTAGTCCAGCAATGAAGATGCGATCTCTAACTCTGCCTTCCAAGTGGGCCAAAGATAATCTAGACCCCACCGAACGTGCTCGACAAAGAGCAGAATCTCGGCGGCAACGCGAATTGGAGGAACAGCAGGCTGCAGAGGACGATGCTCAAAGATTGTTGCAAGCCAAACTTGCCAAGGAGGAGCAGCGTCGACAAGAGCAATTGGAAGAGGAGGCAAGAAGAGTTTCACTTGAAAAGGAGCTGAAACGTGCTGCATTGCAACGCAAGAAACGTGAAGAGCGAGAGCGACTGGAGGAGGAGGAGAACCGAAAGCAACTTGAAGCAAGAAAACACGCTGATCGGCTGAGGCGGATTGAGGAACACCGCCGGCTGGAGAGCTGGCGTCGTGAACAGGAGGCACAAGCTGTTGCATCAGCCCGGCTAGCAGAGCAAGAAAGGAAAAAAGAAGAGGAAGAACGCCGCAATCGTATCCGGCTGGCCGGTGCAAAAGTACGTAGCGCACAGGCCGATGTTGAGCTCCTCACTGGTTGGGTCACTATGCAAATGGGCCCGACACTTGTCTGGAGACGACGATATTTCAGTTTCGTCGGCTCTACTGTGTTTTTCTATCGAAGTCCCAAAGAAAAGGTGGGCTCCGCCCTCTCCCATCCGTGACATTGGTCCTAAGGATTCACAGGACGCGAATCAAGTCATAGATCAGGTCAATCTTCGCGGCCAAATCCGCGCTGTGCGTGAATGGAACGAGGGCTACGAAGATCTCAAAGCCATTCCATTCTCTTTCGCAGTCGAATTCGTCGGAGATGATCAGCCATGGTCTCTCTTCTCTGACACTGAAGAAGAAAAGGTCAGTGTCCCGCACTTCGCAGTGGGAGCGGTCACTGATCTCTCAAACCAGTACAAGCTCTTAGGGTTGCTGACGGCGGCAAACGGCACCTCTGTCTAAGTCCTGGCGACTTATGTATCTAGCTTCAATACTATACCCTCTCGCACACTATACCTGACGAGCTTCTTGTATCCATCACTTCGCGAGTGTACGAGTCATGCGCCCGTGAGCAGAGATGGTGACGACGTGACGACGTGACAACTTACGAAAGGCAACCACGCGCCTCGACATCGGCCTCGTCGATGGGGAGCCACCTGCCTCTACAGAGCCCCTACTCACGGGGGGCTCCCGGTCTCTACATGCCTGAATCCCCAGCGTCTGCCACTCTCGTTCATCCCATCCCTCAGCAAGGCGCGCAGTTCATTCCCAGTGCAACACCACACCCGGTCCTCGGCGGAGTTCCTGAAGATGCCAAAATTCACACTCTTGTGATCGAACTTATGGATCCTGCGGCGAGGGAGGGTGCATTGCTGGAACTGAGCAAGAAAAGGGAGCAGTATGATGACCTGGCGTTGGTCCTTTGGCACTCTTTTGGTGAGTATTTTCACGTCGCCCCGCCGCTGCAGAATCGATCACCTCATCTTTCGCCTCGTAGGGATTATGCCTGCGCTCCTGCAAGATATCGTATCTGTCTATCCGCTACTCTCGCCCCCAAATCTGACCGCACATGTATCGAATCGGGTATGCAATGCGTTGGCTCTTCTGCAGTGCGTGGCATCGCATTCCGAGACCAGGCAGCTGTTTCTCAACGGTCAGTTAGTCCTTTTCCGAGCTCATCTTTTCGTTAATCCACATCCGATAGCTCACATCCCACTGTTCTTATACCCTTTCCTGAACACGACATCGAAAACTCGACCATTTGAATACCTTCGGCTCACTTCACTCGGAGTCATCGGTGCTCTTGTCAAAGTGAGTTTTCTCAATCGATACTTTAATCCCACGTCTGAGGGCCGTCAGCAAAACGATAACAACACAGTCATTCACTTTCTACTTTCCACGGAAATCATCCCGCTCTGCTTGCGTATCATGGAGACTGGTTCAGAGCTTTCCAAGACGGTTGCGATCTTCATTGTTCAGAAAATCCTTCTGGACGAGACTGGATTGACCTACATTTGTCACACCTATGAGCGATTCTACGCTGTTGGAACGGTCTTGAGCAACATGGTCAATCAATTGGTGGAGACCCAGGCTGTGAGGCTGCTCAAACATGTCGTGAGGTGCTATCTGAGACTGAGCGACAATCTGAGGTTTGTTGAACCCATTCAATTGTCCGCTTACTGATTTTGTTCCAGAGCGCGCGAAGCTCTGCGTGCTTGTTTACCGGAGCCTTTGCGGGACCAAACTTTCAGCGTACTTCTCAAGGGTGATATGGTCACTAAACGCTGCTTGACGACCTTGCTCAACAATCTGAACGAGCCGTGATTTCGCAATGGCCAAATGGGAAGCAAACATTTTTGTATACGTACAGGCTCCCTGTAGTAATATCTGCCGCATGTACAATCTAAAGACATCCATAATTATTGATCATGATACGGACCAGCCCAGGACGGCCTTGGGGAATGAATCTTCATTAGCGTAAGTAGGCTGGACGGCACCTGGAACGAGTCTAGAGATGCCACGCTCGGGGTCTCAGATTAGATGTTCAATGGATGATGACATCGCTCGGTTGGTCATCGGCACCCTTTCTTGACCGATTCCCACAAGGTCACCCATGAACTTCTCAGCGCCGTGTGCGAAGTACATCGACGGGGTCTGTTCAGAGTCTCTGAATCCTCCCTGGTACTACTCGCACAAGAACTCTCTCATAGATGGTATTCCAGATGAATATCTAGCGCTTGCAAGCCCCATCATCGCATACTGGGTTCTCTCGCTGTTTTTCCACTACCTTGATATGCAGGACTGGAAGTCACTCGAAAAGTACAGAATCAATGAATCTGTGACAGCCGCTTCCCGCAATCGAGTCTCCAAGTCAGTCGTTGTGGGCGCCGTCATCTTCCAACAAATCCTGCAAACTGCGCTGGGTCTCGTCTGGCTTAGCCATGACGGTCGTACGAAGAGTCTCGACCACGCCGGGAAGATACAGAATATCGGAGGGTATCTGGCTTTACTGGGGCTGGACGAAGCAACGATGTTACGACTGGGTCATTTTGTGTATTGGTGGGCCGTCCCAATATTCCAATTCCTTGTCGCCATGTGTGTGCACATTCGTCATCTCGTCCTTGAAATGAACTGATCGGGGTTTCTGCGCTTGTTAGCTTCGTGATTGATACCTGGCAATACTTTCTCCATCGTTACATGCACATGAACAAGTTCCTCTATCGGCATTTCCATTCATGGCACCACCGACTATCGGCTCCATACGCTTTCGGTGCATTGTACAACCATCCGGTGGAAGGCTTCCTACTGGACTCACTCGGCACCGTCATTGCTGAGTCGGTCTCGGGGATGAGCACGCGGCAGGCTGCATTGCTGTTCTGCGTTGCCACCTTCAAGACAGTGGACGATCACTGTGGCTACAGCCTGCCCTGGGACCCATTGCAGATGTTGACTCAAAACAACGCTGATTATCATGACATCCATCACCAGGCAATATCCCGTCGTCCGATTTCTTGGCTTCCACTGACCAGAGCGCAGACTATCGGAATCAAATCCAACTTTGCCCAACCGTTTTTCGTGCACTGGGACACGATGCTGGGCACCCAGATGACGCGCCAGGAACTCGAAATACGCAAGAAAGCCAACAGGGAAAAGAGGGCCTGATCTCTCAGAAAAACCTGGCGGGCTACCCATCAATTATTGTACTTTTAACAGTCCGTCAATACTGCTCCGTCATAAGTATGCTTACGATAATACACGACATAATGAGTCAGCGACATACTGAATCTTCCGTGCTGGTCTACCAGGACGCCAAGGCAGAACGCGTGAGGGGAACCGTCTCGACTTCGTTCTCGTATTCGACTTCGACTCGAGGTCCCTCTGCCCATGCTTTCAGTTAATGAATAAGATTAGCAAGAGGAACTCACTCTTGGATTTTTTGTCCGGACGTCTCGTCGGTGTCTTGGACGGCCCCGTTTTCCGCTTGCCAAGTGCTGATTTGGGTTTCTTCGACGGATCATCCTCACCCTCATCCTCGTCTGACGCTTCGTCGTCATCATCTTCTGCAGCTTGCTCCGCATCATCTCCGACATCCTCTAGGTCACTGAGACCATCGTCCTCGCTGTCACTCATGTCGCTAACAAACTCTCGATCGCCCCAGCCTTCGTCATCGTCCTCCAACTCATTTTCATCCTCCTCGTCCGTCTCATCATCCTCCATCTCCAGCTCAACATCTTCCGTTTCTTTTCCGGCGTTCTTCTCCCGATCCAGGACGGCTTGCCATACAGTTTCGTTCACATTGAGAGGTGCATCGCCATATGCTTTGGACTTGAGGCGCTCAATGAGCTCCTTTTGAATCGATCGCTCCAATTGAGCCGCAGAGAGTGCTTTCCGCTCCCGAACGGCTTCTCGCCGGTCCAATTTCTTCTTGATTCCAACAAGTTTGGGTCTAAACGGTGCACGTGAAGATGGGCAACGCGCGGAGGAAGATATCGTACTCTTGTCGCAGCTTCATTCTTCGCATTTTAATCAGGTATTGCGTTATCTTGGTGATACGTTGCTTGCATTTGTGAATGAGGAAATTGGGCCAGTGGATGAGTTCGCCGTCGATCTGCGCATGGGACAACGGTAAGCAGCCGGGCGAAGACATCGAGCTTTGGCACACCTGCTCGAGGGCTTTTGAGTAGTTATTGGACAGTTTTATTCGTTCCCACATCTTCGCAGGCGAATGCGCACGCTCGATCGTCTTCACGTACAGATACAACACGCCTGCATTCCTTCATGAGCCCGTTTCACGTCTAGAAGCAGTGGCGGAACCTTCTTGTTCTCGGACAGTCGCATATCTCGAGTTGGCTAATGGACAAGACTGTCTGTTGCAAAAACCGGTAACGTTGTACTCGTTCCGGCAAAAATTTTGGGTTGTTGTTCTAGGGTAAGATATAGTTCGGCTTGTCAAAACGACTGGTGGACTGACTTGACTTTGTATGAGCAGAACTGGTGGTTGATAACGGACCATATAACGTCGTCGCTCTGCATCGCGAAACTCTTCCGCGCGCGTCGAGGCCAAAAACTTGAGATTCGATCAGAGCACTGATGGCTTGCCCCAACAATAGGTGCAAATATTGGAATGTACCGCGCCTGATCATCGCCAACTTCGACCGGCTTGTCATGGTCGCTCAGACGACTTCTCAGTCCAATGGCGTCAAGACCATCAAGTCCAAAAACCAGCTCCGTCGTCTCAAGCAGAAGCAGAAGAAGGAGCTCGCTGCTCAAAATCCACAGGTGCGTTCCCAAACCCCGTCACTACTCGGATTGAGCATTGTCCCCAGGAGACACCTCGAGATGACGGGGATGCCATGAATGTGGATGAGGAGGAAAATGTTGAGTACGTGACCGAGCAATTGGATGCCAACGGCTCCGTTATGGACTCGTTTTCCGATGTCTTTGCTCGTTTTCAGGCTCCTCCAGAGGAATCTGCCGTGAGTCTTGTGTTCACAGACTTTGTTGATTGATGGACGACTTTCGACCCAGGCTAAGGAAAGCATTCCGTCGAAAGGAGAAGTCATATACTCGGACGATGAAATGGCGTCTGAGGGCGATTCGGACGCTGAGAGCAAACCTCTGTCAAAGAAGAAACAACGGAAGCTTTCCCGTTTAACTGTTGCGGAGCTGAAGCGATTAGTGAAGAAACCGGAAGTTGTCGAATGGACGGATGTCACAGCAGCTGATCCTCGTCTTCTTCTGCACCTCAAATCCTATCGCAACACAATTCCTATCCCTATCCACTGGTCCGCGAAACGCGATTATCTTCAAGGCAAGCGCGGTATCGAAAAGCCTCCGTTCCAATTACCTGCCTACATTGCCGACACTGGGATCGGTACGATGCGAGATGCGGTGAAGGAGAAGGAGGCCAATATGAGCTTGAAACAGAAGACGAGAGAGAGGGTTCAACCCAAGATGGGCAAAATCGACATTGACTATCAGAAGCTTCACGACGCTTTCTTCAAATTTGCCACAAAACCTGTTACCACTGGTTACGGAGAGATGTGCGTGGAGAAGTCACCCACTCGAGCCACTGTCCCTAACTTCATCCCAGGTACTACGAAGGAAAAGAATTCGAGACCTCTCTGAAAGAGAAGAGACCTGGAGACCTCTCTCCTGAACTGGTCGAAGCCCTGTCGATCCCACCACTGGCGCCTCCGCCTTGGCTAATCAGCATGCAGCGTTTTGGTCCTCCACCAAGCTATCCCACTTTGCGAATTCCCGGCCTGAATGCACCAATTCCTGAAGGGTGTGTCCAGTCGCAGCCTTCCTTATCGCTAACGACTGACCGACTTGACAGAGCACAATGGGGCTTTCACCCTGGAGGTTGGGGTAAGCCCCCACTTGATGAGTATAATCGACCGTTGTACGGCGACGTGTTTGGTGCGTTACCAAAGGTTGGAGGCGGCGACACTGACGTGAGTCTTTCCGAAACATGTTTACTTCTGGACTGACCTTTGCACTAGATGGGCGAACCGATCGATAAAACGACGTGGGGTGAGCTTGAGCCGGACGAAGGTACGTGGCAAGGAGACAGGTTCAACGCCATACTTACTGGCGGACAGAAGAGGAGGAGGAGGAAGAGTCGTCAGAAGAGGAGGAGGAGGAGGAGGATGACACCCCAGCTCCAGGCGATGGCATGCAAACACCGTCGGGTATGGAAACGCCTTCAGGCATGACCAGTGTGGTGTCAACCGTGGCTGGTGGTTTGGAAACACCCGATTTCTTGGAGTTGCGCAAGGGCCGGACCGCGGACGTACAAGATTCCGGACCAAAATCTCTGTACACGGTTGTGCCAGAGAGGCAGGCCAGCGTGAGGGGATTGATGGGCAGCGAGCGAGGGTACGACGTCAGCGGGCTCGCGCATGCCAACGTTCCCGTGTTGGGCGAAGAAAGATCTTCCAAAGTGAGCATCATCACAGAACCTCCGCTTCCAGAGCTGATGGAGTGCAGCGCAAGAACAATGGCGTGGAGGTTTCTATTGATGCATCTGAGCTGGAAGGCATCTCTGCTGATGAATTGCGTCGGAAGTACGATGCCCATTCCAGAGGTTCTGCCGGCGTTCCTGGTTCCAAAGATGACTTCTCGGATTTCGTGGCCAAGGAAGCCGCCAGTCGTGCCAAAAAGCAGAAGGCACAAGAGCGAGATCGGGACTCTAAGAAGAAAGAGTTTAAATTCTAGTTGCTAGATGTGTATTTGCCTGATATGGTTCGAATTCGCTGCGGGACATACTCCTATGAACACACCGCGTCGGTATCTCAACGTGGCGTGTCAATTCATGCTAGAAATCAGAGAGTACTGGAGGGACTGTTTGATTTCAAGCGCTTGCCACCGGCTGAGCGCGGTTTCGATCAGTCACATGTTTATTTCCTGTTTCACTTGCCTTGAAAGCACTCCTTATCGGGCTACCTACTGGTAGGCAGAGCAACGGCACAGTTCAACCCGCTCTGCGTTCAGCGGACGAGTCTCGTTCTAAATGAGTACCCAAAGCGAGGGCGGGATCCCTGACGTCGGGACGCCATTGACGCCTTCTCATCTTTCTGGGACGCGTTCCTCCCGCAAACCTGGAACTATTCGGACAGTCGCCAAATCTGGCGCATCGAAAGAGAGCAGGCCGTCCCGATCTACATCTTTGTCGCGGAAAAATAACGCCAGCCCGAGATTACCGCATGACGAGCAGGCGGTCGTTGCACCGAGTACGATGTTGTATTGGTCCAAAGCTCCGATCTTCGGGTACATACCTCATCGGGTGATGCGTGCGCATTCTGTGACGCTTATAGACACAGTGGGTTGGCTCTTCGGTGGATGCGACGACCAGATTTGCTCAAACAGTGTGTTCTCATTTGATACCGGTACGCTATTTCTCAGCTCAACTGTTTCTGCGTTCCTCAGTCTGCAGAAACCATGCTGTGGTGTCGTATCGATGTTGCGGGTGAATTGCCACCGCCGTCTCGTGCCCACACTGCCACTGCTGTTGACCGCAAGATCGTTGTTTACGGCGGCGGACAGGGCTCTACATATTACGATACCGTGTACGTCCTGGACACTGTGTCCCGTCGCTGGACTAGGCCAACAGTTACGGGTGCCACTCCGCCTCCTCGAAGAGCGCATACGGCGGTGTATCTTCGCGGCAAGATTTACATATTCGGCGGGGGCAATGGGATGACTGCTCTCAATGATGTATGGACCTTGGACGTCAGCAATCCCGCGAGAATGCACTGGGAAGAAATACCGACATCTGGGCGCAAACCCGGTCATCGTGGCTATCATACGGCTACCCTCATTGGGAACATCATGGTCGTTATTGGAGGGAGTGACGGCAAAGATTGCTTCAGCGACATCTGGTGTCTCAATCTTGGTGCGTGTGTCTGTCGCGGTGTCACTGGCGATGCACTCATAGCAAGCAGATTCTCGGCGGTGGACCAAATTGACCTTGGACACACCGCACCGGCGACTGTCACATGCTTGCTCTGCTGTCGGATCGTATCTGTTTATCACGGGAGGACATGACGGAACGCGATATTGCAGTGAGCTATTATTCTTCAATCTAAGTGAGTGTGAACGTTTCTCCGGCTCTTCGATTCTGATGGTTCAAATCACAGCAACTCTCCAATTCGAGACCAGAGAGACGATGGGCAAGGGACCAGGACCCAGGGGATACCACGTCACTTTGCAGGCAGACAGCAGACTGTTTGTGTTCGGAGGGTTCAGTGGCACCACGTCTCTGGACGAAGTCTATCTGCTGGACCTTGCTGGGGCTGCTTATCTACCGCAGGTCACCCAGTTTGACATGCAGACTTTAATGGAGTAATTAGGATCTGTATAATGGGATCTGTATAATGTAGCTACAAGTCAATGTATTGTTACTTACCGAGCAAACGTTACCATTCCCAAGATCAGTGTCTACGCTGCGAATAACACGTCGAAATCCCATCAACGGATCAACGATCAATGTAAATGCCACTTGAGTCCAACGCTTAGCATCCCTAAACAATGTCTACGCTCTCTTTCCGTCAATTGTGCCGGAATGTGAACTGGCGCGCATTCTCAACCACCCGTGCTCGACAAGAATTCCACTTCGACACACACCACTTTGTGCAACGGCTGGAGAGGGAAGGACTGAACCGCGCTCAAGCGTGCGTGCCCCATCCTCGAGAACAGCTATCCTCTTATTTCATCCAGAGAAGGAATCATGGCTGCTATGGCCGAAGTGATCGACGAGAGTATACGGAATATGACAAGCAATATGGTGACCAAATCCGAACAAGAAAAGGTTTGCCCGCAGTCTCTTGCCGTCAACTCGTCGTGGTTCTACTTCGCCCCCAGCACAACTACACCCAACAAGTTGATTTCGCGCAACTCAAGTCAGAACTGCAGCTCATGGAGAAGAACGACCTTGCCATGATCAAGGCTGAGAACGATCGTCTTTTGACCGACATCGAGAAACTTAAGCAGCGTTTGCGGGAAGAGATTACTAGAACACAAGCCGGAGTCCGCCTGGACTTGAATCTCGAGAAGGGTCGATTAAGGGAGGAGGGAGGAGCTCAAGAGCTCAAGATCAAAGAAACAGATACCCGCATTGAGCAAGAGATCGCCAATCTGAGGACTGCAATCCAAGCTTCCAAGGCGAGTATCTTACAGTACTGAAATGTGGACGTCCTCTCATGAACTTTAGGCAACTACGTTGCAATATCTTGTTGGATTCGGTATGCAATCCGTTATATTCTCCAAGGGCCCGTCGCTGATCACCAACAGTAACCGGCTGCTCAGCGCTTCTCATGGCTTATCTGCGTTTCCGGTCATAAGAGACTGTTACATTCATGATCTGGAATCTTTGCGCAATTATATAGCGAAACTACTAATTTCCCTACGTTTCGCACAGCGCCATAATGTTAAACTCCACGCTCTGCGATGCGCTGATGTATATGTCTTTGATGACTTTGACCGCGTCCTACATTGCCGGTGAGATATAGCCCCATGTCACGTAGAGACACGCACCGCCAGGAAGTCTTTGCATTCCCCGCGATCAATAGGACCACTACGACGTCCATCGAGCTCAATAATGCGCTGATGAGACCCTCCTGCACCGCTGATATCAGGTGCCCTGACGAAGGCAGTGAAGTGCAGGTTTGTGTCGAGATTTCTAGGAACAGCGCTTTGCCCGGTGGAAGCGACTCCTTCGTGGATGCTTGCAAAAAGCGGTGTAATCTCCAGCACTTCAGTCGTTGAGTGAAAAGTATGGCGCGAAGTGTTCCCACTCACGGGTCGCACGCTCTTCTGGTGTTTTAGCTGACCACAGTGAGTATGTACTATGGACAGAGGACATTACGACAGCTTACAAGAGCACTGTTCGATAAACTTTGCCAGAGGACTTTCAGGTACGAGAGTCACGTCGGACTACACAGAGTCAGTAAGACGAGCCAGTTCGAATATCTGCACACATTTGCCAACGCGTGGATTATGCCCATCGTGCCGCAGGCATTGGGGATCTGCAGGGTGCATGCTCGACATAAGACAGGTTCAAGGGGGATCGGATGGAGCTCGTACCGTCTGTTTGATCCAGATCAGAGTGGGATCCGTGGAGACTGCGCCCTTAGCAGCGATTTGCTCATCCTCCTCCTTGCGTCGCGCTTCTGATTGAGGAGTGATAGGGAAGAGCAAGACGAGGGCTTTGACAGGTTGAGGGACCATATCCAGAAGCTCGATTGTACCGTTTGATAGTGAATGGATGGACACAGTAGTGACTTACCTCTTGATCCAAGCCATAGACATCCTCGAATTGATCGATTGAAGCGAGCCCTGCCTGACGAGCCCAAGCATTGAGAACCTGGAGATGAGGCTAAGCACAGACAGAGGTGATTGCGCAGGATAGAACTCGCGTCGGGATTGCTTTCAAGTGGGATCCATCGCGAAGCAGGCATGTTTGGGACAGAAGAGGAATGACGCGTGTGATGATCGCGTGGGGCACCATCAAATGTGTGACGCAACGCGACTTTGTGTCACAACCGCCATCAACTTAGTCCTGTCCACGACTCGCCGCGCATAATGGTGAGCCTCGAACTTCCACGCTGCGATCTCGGCTAATATATCCTAATCAAGACCTCTGCAATGGACGAGGATATTCTGAGCGACGTTGTGCCCAGCAATATCGTTTCTCGCCAAGTACATTTCCGGTCACATTCCTCATCTATGTATCGCTCAAGAGCTTCTCTAGCCTAGTCAGGGCGCCGAAGGAGAAAGTGAATACGACGAAGAAGAGATGCCAGATAATGCAGAGGATGAGTTGGAAGACGACGTGCGCTGGGCATCACCTCCGTTCCGGCTACTTCGCTCTTAACATCTGCCCAGGACGAAGTGGTCGACAAGCCCAGAAGAACATCACGAAAGTCTTCAGAGGCTACACATAAAAAGACTCAGAAGAGGAAAGCAGCTGAAGGAAAGCTTCAAGTAAAACGAGAAGAGATGGACAAGGCTAAGGTATGTTCCCGAACACTCTCTATTTGCAGACCCATTCAAATCCTTTCCCCAGGTCAATGACGCTGTGAAGCGCTACTCCTATCTCCTGGGACAAACCGAATTATTCAAGCATTTCGTCGACATCAAGGCGGGTAGTCTTTCAAGCACTTGTGCGTTTGATAACACTAGTTTAGCGCGCGAAAGATCCCGAATATGCCGCCCTCATGGACTCGCAGCCTAAACCGAAAGGCCGAGGGAGGAAAAAGGCAACGTGCGCGCTTTCGACATTGTTGATTCTGGATCCCGCCTTCTGACCCATTGCAGGGACTCGAATGCTCGCCATCGAAAATCTGAGAAGGAGGAAGACGAGGAGATGCTGAAAGATGGAGAAACAGCAGCAGATGGAAACGACCAGCCCTTTGTGTTTGAAACGTCGCCAAATTGTGCGTACTTCTGTGTCTTGATTCGAATTCAACACTGAAGTCGAACAACCAGTCATCAATGGTACCATGCGTCCATACCAAATTCAGGGTCTGAATTGGATGGTTTCCCTGCATCACAATGGCCTCAACGGTATCCTCGCGGATGAAATGGTACAACGACTGCGTCATCGTATCTTTCTGGCTGATCCCCGTACAGGGCTTGGGCAAGACCTTGCAAACAATTTCGTTCCTTTCTTACCTGAAATTTCAACGGGACATCCATGGCCCACATCTGGTGGTCGTCCCCAAGTCGACCCTCCAGAACTGGGCGCGGGAGTTCGAAAAGTGGTCACCCGAGTTCAAGGTCGTTGTCCTCACAGGCTCAAAAGAAGAACGGGCGGAGACCATCTCCAATCGGCTCATGACTGAAGACTTTGATGTCTGCATCACATCATACGAGATATGTTTGATCGAGAAGTCTTCGCTCAAGAAGTTCTCATTTGAGTATATCGTTATTGACGAGGCTCACCGTATCAAGAACGTCGATTCGATTTTATCGCAGATCGTTCGCTCCTTTCTGTCGCGGGGTCGTCTGCTGATCACTGGGACACCGCTGCAAAACAGCTTGAAGGAGCTATTTGCACTGTTGAACTTTATCTGCCCGGAGATTTTCGTGGACTATGCCGACTTGGACAGTTTCCTTCACAAAGACGATGAAGGGACTGAAGCCGAGGAGGAGAAGAGCAAGAAAGTCGTTGAAGCATTGCACAAGATCCTGCGGCCATTTTTGCTCCGACGAGTGAAGGCTGATGTCGAGAAGACACTCTTACCGAGTGCGTATGTCGCTTTGGGGCTCGATCTCATATACTTATGCGGCGAGACAGAGAAGGAGATCAACATCTATGTTGGATTGACCGAAATGCAGCGGAAATGGTACCGGTCGGTGCTTGAAAAAGACATAGATGCTGTCAACGGTACTTGCGATTCATGATTGTTAGACTGTGCTGACCTGATTCAGGTTTGACTGGCAAGAAGGAAGGCAAGACCAGGCTCATGAATATGGTCATGCAGGTATGTTCTCTTCCCCACATGGGTGCATCTCTCTCAAGCAAGTCCTCAAGCTGCGTAAAGTGACTTGCCATCCGTACCTTTTCGACGGTGCAGAACCTGGACCACCTTACACAACCGATGAGCATTTGGTGGATAATAGTGGCAAGATGATCATCCTGGACAAACTGCTCAAAAACATGAAGGCCAAGGGTTCACGTGTCCTTATTTTCAGCCAGATGAGTCGCGTGTTGGACATCCTTGAAGACTATTGCTTGTTCCGGGAATACAGTGAGCCGACTTTCTGAATTGCTGTGCAGTGCTGAGGGTCCCTAGAGTATTGTCGAATCGATGGTGGCACTGCTCACGAGGACCGAATTGTCGCTATTGACGAGTACAACAAACCTGACAGCGACAAGTTTATATTCTTGCTCACGACGCGAGCGGGCGGTTTGGGTATCAACTTGACGACTGCAGACATCGTGGTGCTGTACGACAGCGATTGGTAAGCTTCGTAATCTGCACTTAACTGAATTCCGAATGTTGCTCCAGGAATCCCCAGGCTGATTTACAAGCTATGGACCGGGCACATAGAATTGGGCAGACAAAACAGGTTTATGTCTTTCGATTCATCACGGAAGGCAGTGTCGAGGAGCGAATGCTGGAACGGGCTGCTCAGAAGTTGCGATTGGATCAGCTCGTCATCCAGCAAGGTCGAACCCAGCAGTCCAAGGCTGCCAACAAGGATGAGCTCTTGGACATGATCACTCATGGAGCGGACAAGATCATCAATTCTTCGGACGAGTATGTTCCATTCTCTTTCTCTCTGGGACTGTGGACTGACAGAGGTGGCAGGCTCCTCATCAATGATGACATCGATGCCATCATTCAGCGTGGAGAAGAGCGCACCATGGAACTGAGCAGCAAGTACGACGGGCTCAATCTTGAGGACTTGAGCAACTTCAAGTCAGATGCTTCGGTCCAGCAGTGGGAGGGTGAAGACTTCAGGACTGGGGTGGGCGAACTGCTGCTTTGATTTTCACAAACTCAAATCTCGACAGCGCAAAGCACTCAACTTCAATATGCTTTCAATGCCTAAACGCGAGAGGAAGTCCAACTACTCAGTGGACAGCTATTTCAAGGATGCCATGCGAACTGGACCTGTCAAGACAGAGAAAGGACCTAAACAACCTCGCGCGCCGAAGCAAATCACAGTGTATGTCCGTCCTTCTGCCAGATACCAGCTGGGACTAACGAAATTCAGTCAAGACTTCCAGTTCTTCCCGCCCGAGTTATCTGCTCTGCAAGAACGTGAGCTTGCTCTTCACAGGGTTCGTAACACTTTTCGACACTGCGTTTGTCCTAAAAGATCGAGCAGCGACTAAATGGCATCGCCGCCACGGTCCGAGAAGCACAAGGTCCAGAAGATACTCCTGAGAAACTTGAAGAAGAACGAGTTGCGGCCCAGGAGTTGATAGACAATGGTCTGTGAATACATTTTTACGTTTATACGATCCTGACTCTGGTTTTACAGCGGAACCGTTGACAGAAGAAGAAGTTGCTCTCAAGGAGCAATATGTTGAGCAGGGATTCCCTGATTGGAGTCGACGCGACTTTCAACAGTTTGTCAAGGCCCTCGAGAATCATGGATGGTAGGTTCTGGCCATGACGCATGCTTTACACAGTTTCAGCATATTATCAGGAACGAGCGAATGGAAGTCTATGCAGCTGAAATTCAAGACAAGCCAGCCGAAGATGTCGAGAAGTACTATCGAGTGTTCGAAAAGAGATGGACGAGCCTCCAAGGTTCGTGGCCAATTTTGGTGGCGACGACAACTGAAATTTGCTCAGAGCATTCGCGAATTGACGCTCGTATTACCGAAGGCGCCACCAAACGCAACAAGCGTGATAACCTGGAGTATTTGTTGGGAGAAAAGATTTCATCTGTGCGATATCCGATGCAAGAATTGGAGCTTAACTATCCGACTACCAAAGGCAAGGTCTACAGCGAAGAGGAAGATCGGTATCTTCTTTGCCGATTGTACCACTACGGAATGCAGACCGATGAAGTCTACGAACGCATCAAGAAAGATATCACCGAGTTTCCTGTCTTCCGCTTTGACTGGTTCTTCAAGAGTCGGTCTGCTCAGGAACTGCAAAGGAGATGCAACACGTTATTGGGCATGATCGAGAAGGAGGCCGAGATCAGACAAGCAGAGGAAGCCAAGTCTAAAGGCTCCAAGGGGAAGGTCGGTGAACTACTCCCTCATGACAGGAAGACAATGACACTGCCAAAGAAACGGACAATTGAAGAGGTCAAGAAGGAGTCACGCCCATCTACACCTTCAGCGTCAACATCTGCAGCAGCTTCCTCATCCAAGCGGCCAGCCAAGAAGAAAAAGACATAGCACGCGTCTGTACAGGGTGTTTCTGCTGTTTCTATATGAATTTTGTATTGCGAGTGGACGAGCGCGACGGGCATATTACTAAAGACACGCTCTCTATTCCTCGTGAGCAGAAAGTGCAAGGTGACCCTCTTTGCTGTTCCTCCAGTGGTAGTCCTTAACCGCGGCCTGCCAGGTGTAATAGTCTGCAAAGTCACTGAGCAAGTTCGGCGAGTAAAAACATCGGATGCTTCACGTACAAATGGCAGAGGGAATCGCAATGGGAAGAGCGTAGATCGACAGACGGCGCACACCATTGAACAGGTAACTTCGCAGCATGTGAGGCGCAGCCTTCGATTGGTACGGAGACAGGGCTATTCCGGAAATGAGCAGGAAGACCCGGTTCAGAGAAGTGACACGCACTGTAGGTGTAGATGCCCTTCTGCTTAGCGGCGGTTTGGTCACCCCACCAAAGATTCTGCGTTGACAATCAGTTTCCTACAACCTTCCTTCGGACGCGCCGCACGTACATAGACCTTTGCTGTGAACAAAACCGTTAATTTCTCTCTGGAGGATACCCAAGTTGCGACATACGTCCGGGCATATCACTGAAAGCAGCTCTCGTCGGTCTCATCGTGGTGTTCGGAATGAATTGGAAGAGGGAACACAGCCACTGCGATCAAGTGGGTCATTGATTAACAGGACATCAAGTTCCAAATAGATGACGGCATCTCGGCTTGCATCCATCGTTAGAATAATTACTAATGCAAATCCTCCGAATCCCTCTCTTTCTTTCTTCCTACGACACACTTGCCCGTCTCCGACTAGTCGAGTGGGAATGGCACAGTGCTATGATGGGGAAGGATTCGCACATCCTGTGTCGGGTCTAAGAGACTTTGATTTGACGTTCTGCTTCCAAGAGGGTATCTTGCAGTCGTCGTTGCTCAGCCTGTTGCTTGCGTGTAGCATTATCAGCTCGCTCAAATTATGTCTACAAGTTGGAAATTTCAGGTCCATCAAAAGCCGGGGCATCCTGGCTGGCAAAATTGTGCGTACAGCTGGTAGCGCACGACCGTGAACTGACGCTGACATCTCAACCACCAGACCCTGCTGACAGCCGCCATCGGATGCAGCGTTGCAGCATACGTGATCTCACGAAACAAACCTACTGGAGTTCTTGAAGTCTTTATCCTCGAACCCGTCGCTTTCCTCAGCGCCGTCGCGTTAACATATTTCAACCACACGCGCAATCGCAAAAGCTCGACCGTTCTTCTTATCTTTTGGCCTGTTTACCTCTTCGTGCTCGCCGTCTGGGCGCGATCAGTCATCAACACCGACTTTGCCCGTTATCGGACACTGCTCTTACTAAAAGGCTCTGTCGCTGTCGCCGTCCTGGGAGCATTCACTTTGGAGTGCATCGGACCCGAGACGGGTTTACCGGAGGATGAGAACACGCGATACGAGCATCCCATCTTGACTGCGAATGTATATAGTGTCTGGGTGCGTTCTATTCCATCTTCCGTTTTCGGCATTTCGCATTCTGATTACTGTGCAAGACATTCTCGTGGATGACCAGCCTGATGGCCAAAGGTGCGACTCGTCCAATCACCGAAGAAGATCTGCCGTCTTTGGTTCCCTCGGACGAGTCTGAGCACTTGGGGAACCTCCTCGAGGGTTACCTCCACAAGTATGGTGTCTGGAGCTCCCTGTTCCGTGCTTACGGCGGCCCGTACGTGGCCGCTGTCGTGCTAAAAGTCATCCAAGTACGTGACATGTAGCGCACTGGTTGGACTCGTTCCTGACTTTCCGATTAGGACGCACTAGCTTTCCTGCAGCCCCAGCTTCTTCGCTTGCTGCTCGCATTCATTTCTCGATATCAAGACGCGGGTCCACAACCGAGCGCCGCGGAAGGCTTTTCGATTTGCGTGTTGATGTTCATCGCTTCAGTGGTTCAGACGATCTTGTTGAACCAGTACTTTGAACGTGCCTATGAGACGGGGTTCGTCGATCACCGATTTGGGTGCCGTGTACTGAGCTTGTGATCAGGATGCGCATTCGTGCTGGTCTCGTGACCGCCATTTTCTCCAAAGCTCTCGTCCTATCCAACGATGAGCGGGGCCGCACTACTGGAGACATCGTCAATCTCATGTCTGTTGATGCTATCCGCATGCAGGATCTCTGCACATACGGAATCATCGCGCTCTCAGGGCCACTGCAGGTGATCCTCGTTCCCCGCTCTTCGCCTCTTTGCCGATCTTAATATTGCTCAGATCACTCTCGCGTTCATTTCTCTATACAACATTCTTGGCTGGGCCTGTTTTGTCGGCGTTGGCGTGATGATTGCTTCGATCCCGCTCAGCACGTGTGAGTTGAAATGCATGCGCGCGAAGAATTGAATCTGACTCAACACCAGTGATTGCCCGGATCCAAAAACGGATGCAGGAGCAACAAATGAAGAATCGGGATGAACGGACGCGTCTGATGAGCGAGACTCTGGCCAACATCAAGTCAATCAAGCTATACGCTTGGGAATCGGCCTTCATGCGTAAGATCTTGTCTGTGAGGAATGATAAAGAGCTCCGGATGCTTCGTAAGATCGGGGTCGTGCAAGCTGCCAGCATGACCATGTGGAGTGGAATTCCTCTTCTTGTCGCATTCTCGTCGTTCGCCACAGTCGCTGCGACATCGTCCCGGCCTCTGACAGCGGATATTATCTTCCCGTCCATCTCGCTCTTCATGTTGCTGCAATTCCCGCTCGCCATGTTCAGTCAGGTGATCAGCAACATTGTGGAGGCCTTGGTGTCGGTCAAGCGTCTCAAGTCTTTCTTCCGCGCTTCAGAACTGCAGCCGGATGCCAGAGAAGTCACAATTAAGCCTGATTTGCAGCCAGGAGACGAGGTTTGTCCAGTTTGGTGATGACCGCACCCTCGTCTGAAACCTGGCCAGGTTGTGAACATCGTCGATGGTGAGTTCCGTTGGGATTCAACTGCGGTTGTGCCCACATTGGAGAACATCAACCTCGTCGCGCGGGCTGGTCAACTGACTGGTGTCATGGGACGGGTGGGCGCTGGAAAGGTCCGTGTTTCTTTTTCTTTCTCCCGCTGTCGGACGTCTAGTGACCGCCTCTGAAGACCAGCTTGCTCTCTGCGATAATTGGAGACATGTCTCGCAGCGAAGGCAAAGTGAAGGTTTTCGGCACGGTTTCGTATGCTCCGCAAAACCCTTGGATCCTGAGTGCGACGATCAGAGAGAATATCACCTTCAACCATGTGGTATGTGCTGGTTAAACAAGCTTCGAGTTGCAGCCTGATCCATAATTGTGCAGTACGAGGAGGAGTTCTACCAGACTGTCATCGAGGCCTGTGCGCTCGGCCCTGATCTTGCTCTTCTTGCCCAGGGAGATCTTACCGAAGTCGGCGAGAAGGGTATCACTGTATGTTTTGCCGCTTCTCATTCATGCCGTTTCTGATTTGCTCTCTAGCTCAGCGGAGGTCAACGCGCTCGTGTTAGTCTGGCTAGGGTGAGTGTATGCACTGTCATTTGATGCACCTGCTCATACATCCTCCAGGCCGTCTATGCGCGAGCAGATCTGGTCTTGCTTGACGATTGTCTTGCTGCGGTCGACAGTCACGTCGCGCGTCATGTGTTCGACAACGTCATCGGACCGAACGGCCTCTTGTCGTCTCAAGCGCGTATTCTGGTCACGAACAGTATTGCTTTCGTGCACCAGTTTGACCAAATCGTTTATCTGCGCCGCGGAATCATCATGGAGTGTGGGCCTGTGGCAACATTATTGGAGAACGAAGAGGGAGAACTGTGCAAACTTGTGTAAGCCACTCGAGCTATTTTGTATTGGGCGGCATTGATTGTATCACAGTCGAGGCCATGGAACTGGTCTGCACGCGTCCGGATCGTCTACCCCCTACGCTGTGACCAGTGGGTCAGTCACACCAGTCGAAGACGCGAGCGTCGTCAGCAGCGATCAAACATCCGATTACACGCTGGCCATCTCGGAAAAGCTGAAGAACCGCGGTCCATTCTCCAAGGCAATCAACGCTCCTGCTAAGTCTGTCCGGGCGGCCAACTCGGCGGGGCTGAGCACAGAACACCGGGAGCAGGGCCGAGTGAAGGGCCGGGTGTACTGGCAATACATCGAGGCTGCCTCGAAGATGGGTTTCTCGATCTACGTCGTGGCCACCATCGCTCAGCAGGTGCTCACTCTTCTTGGCAATCTCGCTTTGCGCAGCTGGGGCGAACACAACCGCGAGGTGGGAAGCAACGAGGGCATGCTCAAGTACCTGTTGGTGTATGGCTCGTTCACGTTCAGTGCGACCATTCTCGGCGCCCTGGCCAGCTTGTCCATTTTCATTCTGTGTTCCCTGCGGAGCTCCAAGTATCTTCATGATCTCGTACGTGACCCTGCTGGTTTGCTTGCTCAGGATCCTCATCGTGTCTAGATGCTGAAAGCACTGATGGATTCACCCCTTTCTTACTTCGAGCTCACTCCCACCGGCCGAATCCTCAATCTATTCTCGCGCGATGGTTCGCAGTGTTATCTTGCTGTGCCTTCGTTTCTTTATTTACGAATTTGCACAGTCTATGTTGTCGACTCTCTCCTGGCGCGTCTGATCCAAAATTTGTTCCGCACGGCCACTGTGTGTGTGGCGATTCTAGCAGTCATCGGATTCAGCTTCCCGCCATTTTTGTTGTCGGTCCTTCCCATCGGATGGTTCTATCTCCGGACCATGAAGTAAGCGGCGTTGTTTGATGTTTGGCGACTTGGTCTGAAACTGTCTGCAGATACTACCTTGCGACATCCCGAGAGCTGAAGCGGCTTGACTCTGTGTCCAAAAGCCCCATCTTTGCCTGGTTTTCCGAGTCGCTGTCTGGAGTTTCTACGTGAGCTGGTTTGCTGAGCACTGGCTTCATTGACCGACACATTCCCAGCATCCGGTCCTTCAATCAGCAATATGTTTTCATCAAGGCGAACCAGCGACACATTGACCGCAACCAAATCTGCTACCTGCCCAGCATCGCCGTCAACCGCTGGCTGTCGATCCGGCTAGAAATTGTCGGAGCGCTGATCATCCTGATGGTGTCTACGCTGGCTGTCACGGCGCTGATCACGAGTGGTGTGGATGCGGGCTTGGTGGGTCTGGTGCTGTCGTATGCCATGAATGCCACAAGCAGCTTGAATTGGGTCGTGCGGTCTGCGAGTGATGTCGAGCAGAACATCGTCAGTGTCGAGCGCATTCTGCACCAGTCGGACGCCACTCCCGAAAAACCCCAATTCATCGAAGAGGCTAAACCCCAGGCTCCGTGGCCATCCAAGGGCAGGATCGAGTTCAAGTACGTGTGTCTCCCACTCACGTGGTCGTGTGGGCTCACGTGCCTCCAGAAACTACTCGATGCGGTACCGCCCAGAATTGGATCTCGTGCTCAAAGACATCGTACTTGATATCGTGCGTTTTATTTACTCAACCGTCGGACCGTAGTCTAAACCTTGCTCTAGAAACCTGCTGAGAAGATCGGTGTCTGCGGTCGGACCGGAGCAGGCAAATCCTCCCTGTTGCTGGCACTGTTCCGCATCATCGAGCCAGCAGAGGGCACTATCCTCATCGACGGGGTCGACATCCGAAACATCGGTTTGCATGATCGTCCGTCTTTTCGTCTCTGTCAGTATTGAACTGAGGACTGACGGCATCACTTTCCAGTGCGGTCGTCGATTTCGATTGTGCCGCAAACGCCCGATTTGTTCGAGGGCACGATGCGAGAGAACATCGACCCCGTCGGACAGTTTGAGGATGTCGATATCTGGGTGGCGTTGGAGCAAGCGCATCTGAGAGAATACGTCGAGAGCCTTCCGGAGGGATTGGACGCTCCGGTGCGTGAGGGTGGACAAAGCTTGTCCTCAGGACAGAGGCAGCTCCTTTGCTTCGCCCGTGCACTGCTGCGGAAGGTTCGTTTCTGCTCTATCATCTCGATTCGTGGACTGATCGTATGTTCTTTTCTCTTTCAGTCCAAGATCTTGGTGTTGGATGAAGGTGCGTGAGGATGTAGAGCGACAGCCAGACTAGGCTGACCCGTCGCACAGCCACCTCGGCTGTCGATCTCGACACTGACCAGCAGATCCAGTCCATTCTCAAGTCTCCAGCATTCGAAGATGTGACCATCTTGACCATCGCGTACGCAATCGTGTCTTCTCTCCCCAAGCATGCGATCTGATCTGTGACAGTCACCGATTGAACACCATCATCAGTGGCTCGAAGATCCTCGTGATGGATCAAGGCAGAGTGGCCGAGTACGACGAGCCCCAGGCTCTGCTGGCCGACCAGTCCTCGATCTTCTTCTCCCTCGCAAACGAAGCCGGTCTAGTTTAATCAAGTAGATACTTCCACTAATATGAGTAGTCAGACGCCAGGGCATGCAATACGATAGATTGTCCAAGATAATTTGATATGCTTTAGATGATAGTGATGCTGGGAGGCCTATGCGTAGACTAGACGAGTCCTGCTCGGGTTTCTATTGACATGACTCATTGGAACCCGCTCATATCCGACCGGAAGGACCGGGCCGGCTGGGGCATGCTCATGCCGAATGAGCCAGCGTTCCCAAGATCGGGAGAGGCGCGCGCAGTAGGCGGGCCACCCTGCGGGAACACGATGGGCTGAGGGGGCAGCGAATACCGGAGATCGAGATCTTCCAGAATAGTTTTGAGATGGCGCATGAACTCGTTTCGTCTCGTCCAGCGGGCACCCCAGTCTTGCCAGTTGGCTCGATCTGTGTGGACGTCTCAGCCAGCATGCGCAGAGTAAGTAGATGAAGCGCGTTACGCACGTTCAATGGCCACAATGAGATGGATGGCATTTTGGAACTCCATCTTGTCGATGTTGAGTCCGGACCCGGACCATTCACGGCTGTTGGCAGCGATGTAGGCGCTGATTCTTGTCCGCAATTCCTCGAGGACTTCGAGGGGTGTTGTGTAAGCCACGACGAGTTCTGTGCTCTCCCACCTGCGACGTCGTCAGCACTTGACCACAACAGAGCAGATAGCGCAGAACGCACATCGAGTTACTGCGACGCAAGTTGTGGACAAGCTTGGATCCAGACAGCAGCGAGTTCGGGACGATGATCTCTTGTCCATCGACACGCCGGAAGGTGGTCGCAAACAGCCCGAATTCCCGGACAGCGAGGACTTGGTCGTCGATCATCACCAAGTCGCCCACGTCAAACACGTGGGTAGAGAAAATGAAGATGAGCGAGTTGAAGAGCGTCGCAGCGGAGTTGCCGAAAATGAACGAAAAGCCGAGAATGATCGTGCCCAGTGGAACAAGCGAAGTCAGCGTGTTCGATTTGTTGAAGATCAGCAAGCAAATGAAAATGAGGATGATCAGAGCGACGAAGAGAAGCACGGCATCCAGCTTGGCGACCGCAGAGCCGACGTCCTGCAAATATGATGAGCTGGAGAGCCAAGAGAGCGACTGCGCAAACCTTCAAGCTCGATGTCAGCGCTTGTCGTTCTCTGTAAATGCGTTGGACCGCTTCGCGCATCTCCTTCTTCGAGATGTCGCCGTTTCCATCTTTGTCAAAAAGTGCAAAGGCCTCCGTCTGTGAGAATGGTGAGCACGGGCCACACTACGATCCAGAATTAGAAAGATCACGAACAGCTTCGGAAGTGGTGGTAAAGTAAGGATAAAAGTCTGGATGGTGGTAAGCCAGCGAAACAACAGCAAGACGCTTGGAACGTCCACAGACCATCAACAATGAGATGCGACCGGGGTGGATACACATCGCTCAAGGCGCCGAATAACTTCTTCGCCAACTTCCTCGCAGAAGCCAATTCACCCAGTCTGCCTTCCTTGTTTCCTTTGAAGGCGACGTGGCCGATCGCACCCCCGACTTGGTCGACAATGATGCTGGTCATCGCCTTGCGCCGCTTCTGCTTCCGGACCGACTCTTTCTTCATCGGCTTGCCCGTGTCGACCTTTTCCTCGGGGATCGTTTCGGGGACCTGCTTACTCCCGTTGCCAGTGAATCGCAATACACTGGAAAAGTCGACCGAGCCGGTGGGGGTCTTTCTTCCCCGGCGACCGTAAGGATGCTTCTTCGGTGCGGGTTGGGCGTTGGAGAGTCGGTCGAGCGCTTTGAGGCCCAGTCGATTTTCAGTCAGACGGTCGGCTAGCGCCTTTTGGTGGAAGCTTATAGCAACAAAGCGAAGGAAGAGCTGCATAGACTGTGAAACTATATCCAAGATGAGACAGAATATACTACTCACCTTCTCCACGAGAAGAAGCATCGCGAATGAGAACAAAGCTTGCATGACCCGATTGATGATGGTCCAGTAAGAGCCCGGAGGATGGCCAACTGCACGGATGACCGAGAGACTGACCCAAGCCCAAGTCACATCAAGAACAAGTTTAAGCCATGCCTTGACCGCGAAAACGACCTCAAGCTGGACTTTGAGTCGCTCGACGTGACCTCCGAACAGTACGATGACCGCGATGATGAAGCGGGTGATGTTGTCGATAACCAAGCTCGTCAGGCATCCGGCGGCCCATATGATCGCGAACCAGAGCGACCTGAAGAGATGGTGTGAGATTTCGCGGTGGTACACGACACGCAAAGTGAGCACTTGCCAGGCATGGACATGTGGTCGCGCAGGGCTCTTCGTGAACACTACTTGGAAGAGGATGAAGGGTGTGATGAGGATCCCTGTGCCCAATATCCCTATGAGGAACGTCCGCACGGGTCGCGCAAGCTTCATGAACGCGAGCCACAGCGCTCGGCCGCGCTTCGCCTTGTAGTGCTTCTCCGACGTAGTCTGGGTGCTATCCTCGTCCTCCTTATCCCAGTCGAATTCTTCATCGGAGAACTCGGTGCCCGTCGAATCCGAATCTCCGTCTTGCTCGCGCTCGTGCTTGATGTGGCTCTGCGCTGGTAGCTGTTCGGGGTGCTCGTCAAGTTGTGCATTGTCGAGGTCGACATGGGGAGCAAAATCACGCTCTTTGACTGGCACAGGGTCAGTCATGGTGCAGGTCGAAGTTCACTACTCGGTCAAGTGTGGCAGTGGAGTTTTTAGGACCGGTGGGTGGAGCCAAGAAATTTCGGGGACCAGCCTACCGACCTTCGATCGCGATGACGTACTTGTCAAGCGTTTCGCGACGAATAGGGGTGGGATTGGTTCCCCCAGGAATCCACCAGCCTGAAATCCAACGGTACCAGCCTGCGAGTCATCTCTCATTCCGAAGCTTGGAGCGTAAACGAACTGGATTGCGGGGTTGTTGAAGTGGGCGGTTGAACTACGGACCAAGCGAGGCCAAGCGGGTCCTTGATGGCCGCGCTCACATCAACGACTAGTCGTCTATCGAAAATAATTGAATGTGTTACTCCTGGTTTGCGAATTGACAATGTAGGTAAAGTGGGTATGTCCTCCAGCCCTTTAATCAGCAGCGAGCTCAATCTTGATGCGTCCAATGGCTGCTGCAGGGTTGAGACCCTTCGGGCAAGTGCGAGAACCTATGGAACATGAGAACTGAAGAAAAGGCTAGCAGAAGATGGACGGACAGTTGAAGATGGTGTGGCACCGGTACAGACTCATCTCATTCTGAAGGACCTCCTTCCGCTCTTCGGTGTGCGAGTCCTGAGAAGCATATTCAGCGTCAAGGTAAGGCGGAGTTAGGAAAGCCTTATACCCGAGAGTCCGCAATCCACCGATAAGCCTGCATCAGCGTCGCCGGGCCAAGATACTCGTCTTGGTTCCACCAGTAGCTTGGGCAACTGGTCGAGCAGCAAGCGCACAGAATGCACTCGTACATTCCATCCAACTTCTTACGGTCCTCAGGGCTCTGCAAGAACTCCTTGCCATCTGCGGGCGGGTTCGGGTTCTGCAGATACGGCTTGATGGATTTGTACTGCTTGTAGAAGTTGGTGAGGTCAGGAACGAGGTCTTTGACGATGTACACTGGAGTACGAGCCGCTGTCAGACCGGAAGGCCGATGCGGGATGTCACGCACTGTGGGGCAAGGGGTAAATCTTGCTGTCCGCGCCCTCTGTTCTGTCGATACGGCAAAGACACGCCAATGTGTTTTGGCCGTTGATGTTCATGGCACACGAGCCACAAATTCCCTCTCTGCATGACCGACGGAAAGTCAATGTGGGGTCGATCTCGTTCTTGATCTTAATGAGGGCGTCCAGCACCTGGAGCGCGTGTCAGACGAAAATTGATGGCATGAACGAAATGAATGCGCACCATGGGCCCGGTCTGGTTGAGATCAATGGTGTACGACTGCAAAGCCGGTTTCTTCTCGGGCTCATCCGGATTCCAGCGGTAGATTTTGAAGGTCTTGTTCAACGCAGCCTTCTGGGTGACAGGCGTTGCAAGCGCACGCGAAGCAGAGGAGGAGAAAGAGCGAGAAAGACGGGGGAGGACGGACATGGTCGTCGTCGTCGAAAGCAAGACCTGATCTCCCCGGCTGGACCCGGCGGGGAGTGTCAGAACCAATCACAGGATGCGTGTTTGATTTATCACGTGGCAACTAATCACATGGCTACGGACTGGGCATGGATACCGATGCAAGGTGCTCTAATGTCGTCAGAGAACCAGTCAAATTAAGTACGGGTAGTGTATTCCATGCCGGCAATCTCTCGCCCGGCAGGTCCAACAATCGCCAAGATTCGTCGGCTCCAATGAGGGGCATGCTGAACATCCGCTGCTTCTCCTTGGACCTATCCTTGACATGGGATCCCACTTCGAGATGGTTGGTGGACAGAGACATGAAGGATGCGAAATTGGGGTAGAGCATAACATAGCCACGCAGGTAAACCATCTCGATGAAATACTTCTTCCAGGAGCGAGTCCAGGTGTTTGAGCGGACGCCAGGGACCACTGGCTGATTGATGTCCATCTTCGCTTGAGAGAACCGCTCAGCAAGATAGCCATGGAATTCGCGCCAGTGCTCTGGAAAGTAGACGGCTCCCCAGCTGCAAGGAATCTGGGAAAGATATGGTGTTGTTGGCTCGGCGATCCGATTCCGCGCAAAGTAACTGCGAGCATTGAAAGACTTGCGACTCTCAGGATGCAGTTCGATGTTTTTCTGTTGGTAGAGGCTGACACCGAAGAGTTGCTTCGTCAGATGACTCTGCTCGCTGTATCTACAGGAGAAATCAGTCTGAATTCTAGCACGGCGTGGGCGACCAACCTGTAACGGAGGACTGTCATTTTGATCCAGGCGTAGAACAGGGCAGAGACCTCGATGTCGTCCTCCAAAAGAACGCCGAAGCTGTCGTTTGAGCTAGGATACCAGGATTCAACCACAGCCGGCATCAATCCGGCATGTATGATTCGACGGTGAGCGAAGACAGGCCCATGTTTCCACTGGAACTCAGACAGAACTTGGAGGGTCTCAGTGTCAGGAGATTGTTCCATATTTGTTCGTAACACCACAGAGTCTCCAAAATAGCGAGCTTTAGAGAGTGAAGTCAGTAGTCGTTGAAGAGATCCCGGCCGATCTTGAGTGATGATGCTGAGCTCAACCGTTGGCATGTTCCAATCTGAAGCGGATGAGAGCAAGTCGTAAACAGAAAGAAAGACGAGAACTGACTGATCCATTCCAGATAGGACATGGAACCCATCCAGCTGGTGTGTGCGAGATCTTCACGAGGTACTCGGACTATGACAGTACGGGCAGAGTAACCAGCTGCCAAATCTTCAACGGCAAATAACACATCCGGCACTTGATCCAAACGGTCCAACCACTCAAGAACGGAAGCCGAACTGTCAGCCAAACCGTCCCAGGTGAGATCGCAAGCCATGTGGTCGTCTCCTTCGTTCTCCGAGTGAAGTAGAATCCTGACTTCGTGATGGGCAGATAACAGACGACAAATCAGGTGAGAGGCGGCCGACAAGTCACTTCGACTAGAAAGAACAAATACGAACGTCACGCTGAGGGGAGCGCCATCCGAACGGGACGTCGAACACCAATCTCCATCACCCTCCCAACCGCGCATTACTCCACCGATCCCATCTTGAGGGCTTGAGATCGCTCTTCCGAGTTCAGCCCAGTCTTTGTAAGCCTTCTTGATCAGTGCACGAGGTATTGAGAATGGAGGCTTCAGATACAGGGTAGCAGTAGGATCGGGTGAGGGCACCACGCAAGACGCGCTGCCGGACTGTGCAAAGACTCCTCTGGATCCTATGGGTAGTTCAAGGCTTGCCGGACAAAGGAGCATATCGCGAGTTCGCCCAGTCAATCCGCTGAGACCCTCCTCGTCAAGCAAGAGAAGCCAATCTGTCGTCATTTTTGAAGCAGCTTCAAGTATAATACGGCTTGAGGAGTGTTGTTCGACGTTCCATGAGTAAAGAGACATGTCAACGTGTTTTCGATCCTGGGCCGAGGAAAGAACGATCTGGCGCACAACCAGTCGCGCCTGTGGCAGCAGAGACTCCGGACATGCTATCAACACATCCGTAACGCAGCTACTCAAGGAGAAGAATGGATCCAGTAGGTCTTCAAAGTTGGAGAATGTTCGATCTGTTATGGGAAGGATTGCAGTGAAAGAGCTTTTGAAGCTGGAAGAGGATGTGGTGTTGAGTTTCATCGGAAAGCCAAGTCGAACCTCCTCGTCATTGAATTCCTTTCGGCGAGACTGGGGTTTTCCTCCAGGGATACATAGTAGAATGAAACAAAGCCCCGCGAGTAAGAGGGACACGCGTCGAAACAGCGAGCTGAGCAGCAGGGACATAGGACATGTGAACAAGCGCGATTGGGGAAATCATGATGGCCATCATTCGTCAGTGATAACGTGCAGCAAGCGATCGCGACGTGATCGCGACCTTCTTTAGCACCGTTAGGTCATTTGTTGGCAGTCGCCAGCCTACCATGTGCAGCATGCGCCAGGAAGATGTCGCAGCCCTGGACTCATTCTGATCTGATTAGCGGAAATCACATGTTGCGCTCAACCATGCATGCGTGGTAGGAAAGATCGTCGCAAGGTATGGTAATGGTCTTGTGTGATACCACGCGTTGATTCTGTGCATGCTCTCAGGATACGAGGATACATAAACTGTTCCAGGTAGCAGTGGATAACAAGCCCATACTCTCGGCATGCGTTTTGTTACCTTCGTGAGCGCGTTGTCACTCGCTGCGCGTCAGGCGGCGGCATCTCTTGCTACTTGCCCGGATACCTCGAGTGCCGAGTATGATTACATCGGTGAGTGTAGAATGGATTGCGTCTCTCTGATACTTAACGTGAATCAGTGGTTGGTGCTGGCGCCGGAGGCGGACCCTTGGCGTCCCGTCTGGCACTGAATGGGTTCAAAGGTCGAATTATTCCTCTTTCGCCCTCCAATTCTAACTTTTCATAGTTCTGCTGATGGATGCGGGTCACAATGTCTACAACGACAACACCACTGTCCCCCTCTACCTCGCTCGTGCGAACGAGGACCCTCAGATGACTTTGGACTACGAAGTGACACATTATCCGCCTACGGGTCCCGGAAATGTGACCAAATGGTATCCCCGCGGCTCGGCCCTGGGTGGCTCGACAGCCATGAACGCGCTCATTCATCTGCGACCACATGACTGGGATCTGGACACGATGGCCACCGAGTTGAAGGACCCTAGCTGGGGATCGACCAAGATGCGCAGCTACCTGACGAACAAGATAGAAAACAACCTATACATTCCCCAGATCATTGGCTCGTTCCTGAGCTGTGCGTATTTCGTTTCAGTCGTCCGAGTGTATGCTAATGCCAGCGCAGACGGTTACGGCGGATGGCTGAACACCGATTTCCCTCCTTTGAACCTCCTACTCTCGTTGAACAATTTGGATTTGCAACTTCTTGACATTCTTACGTCGGTCATCACGGCCGTGCTCCCTGTTGCTGGAACCGACTACAACGGCGACCCGGCAAACGACGGTGTCGCGGGTGGAGCTGCTGTGATCTTGACGAAAGACTCTGCGCACAACAGGTCTTCAGTTCGCGATCATATCATGGCTACGAACCAAGCACACCCGAACAACCTCATTCTGCAGACGGACACCTATGCGACTAAAATTCACACCTGCACAACTGGCGGCAACAACATTGTTGCCTATGCAGTCGAGGCCGCCACGGCTCCGGCTTTGATTCCCGTTCACCGCTCGTTCACGGGCAAACCAGCTGGGGGCTTGCAGACCAAGCTTTACACTGCTAAGCGCGAGATCATCGTTTCCGCCGGGACGTTCCAGACGCCGCAGTTGCTCATGGTGCGTTTTCTTCTGCGGCTAGATATGTCACATCTCATGTCTTCTTGCAGCTGTCTGGAATCGGACCTGCGGCTCATCTTGCCCAACACAACATCACACTGGTCAAGGATCTTCCCGGCGTCGGCTCGAACTTGCAGGACCGGATTGAAATGACCGTCATTTGGGAGATGAAGAAGAACTTTACTCTTTTCAACGGCTGCAAATTCACGGACAGTATGGCTGTCGATCCTTGCCTGGACACCTGGTCGCAGGATGGTCACTCGAACATCTACTCCTCTGGGCCAGCTGTCTGGGCTCACACTTACCGGTCGAATGAGTCGTTGCCCTATCTGTGAGTTCTTTTGTTCCATGGGAGCCTCGTCAGCTGACTTGTTTTCCAGTGACATGTGGTGTGAGTGCCAGCTTGTTGGCGCGGTCTGCTCTGCCTGGGCTAACTCTTTGTAGCCATGTGGGGACCTGGCGCTTTCGAGGGCTACTACAAAGGATATCCCGTCATCCTAGCCGAGCAGAGCGTGAATCACTTTAACAACGTGCTTCTTAAAGCCCACACATCCTCCAAGGGTACCGTGACGAGTCTCCTTCGTTGTCACCCGATCGCTAACGGAGCGCAGGATGGGTGCGCCTGACTGGCTCTGACCCGCAGGACCTGCTCGAGATCAACAAAAACCAGTTCCAGACGGCTGAAGATCTCGAGGATCTACAGGTCATGGTCGACGCAGTCAAGAAAACTCGCGCGTTGTGGGCCGCTAAGTCTGGAATGAACTCGAACTCTCTGGGCGAGACCTGGCCCGGACCGAATGTGCAGACGGATGACGAGTTGAAAGAATTCATCATCCAAAATGCATGGGGACACCACGTCTGCTGCACTGCTGCGATTGGCGCGGATGGAGGTGGGCAGCATGCTCGCTCTTGCGCCCGGATCTTGCCTGACTGATTTCATTCAGATCCAAACGCAGTTCTTGACAGCAACTTCAAGGTCCGGGGGGTCAACAATCTCCGGGTGGTCGATGCTAGCTCGTATCCGTGGATTCCGGGTCAGTTTCTGCTGTGTGTCCCTTCTCGTAAACGCTGACTGGATTTCGCAGGCATGTTTATGACCACTGCCACATACCAGATTAGTGAGAAAGCTGCCGATGTCATTACAGCTGCAGCCCGGTCGTAGAACTTGTAACATACCACACACACAATGTGACCTTGCTGAATCATCTAAAATTAAATCATTGAGTGGCGTCCGAGTTTATCTGAGTGCGCGTTCTGAAGCCCGGCCCCCGGGAACACTGACCCGATCTAAGCCTCCGTTTCCAAGTACTCGGTGATTCTTAGCATGGTCATCCATGTGGGCAACTTGCAAAATTGCCTCACGCGACACGATGATCGTCGCAATTGCCATATGGAGAAACGGACCGCCACTGATGAGAAGAGCCCGCGTTGACAGTTGCATATGAGCTTGGCGCTCACATCTTGAGCACATTGCGTGCCCGACCAGCTCATTTGCTTTAACACGCTGCATCACCCATGCGAGATATCGAAAGATGTTTGTCCCACAATGCGCAACAGTTCGGTATCTAGTGATCTCGCTTTAAAACTTGGCTTCGCAGACAGTGGATGAGGTGCTGCGATGGTTTACTTCATCATCCCCCAGTGGTGGACTGTGAGTCGTGTCTTCCTCGGCAGTATCGATCTGAGTTGAAAATTTCGCAGCTGCCCGTGTACATCGCTCTCATCTACCTGGGAGCGACGAGAACTCAGCTTGAGGCCAACAATCTCTTCGACACGTACGAGGATGGCGAATTCCCTGTCATGTCATGCGCTGGGGTCAATACAAGCAAGCATATCTATCGAGCTCTTTTATGCTGACGCTGACCATGGGACACAGACGCTCGGACGCTAGACGGGCTATGCAATAACTTGACTGTGCCCGGAATGGGGTCCATTAACACTCGTTTCCATCGGTTCATCCCTATCAACGACAGTTGGTCTGAGACGGGGAGCACGCTTTACACCCCCAACCCTCGTCTCATCAGCCAGAAGATTCTCTCGCGCCAATCCTTTACCCCGGCCACTTCAATCAACATGCTTGCTGTCGCATGGATCCAGTTCCAAACCCACGATTGGTGCGCCCATATCATCTCGGATCCCCGTATATGCGAGCTGACAACTGTCCAGGTTCAGCCACGGAATTGAGAACGACCCGAACAACTTCCTTGTGTGGGATGTACCCGCCGGCGATCCCCTGCTGGCGACCGGACAGAAGAACATGTCTCTCCGGCGCACTGTGTTCGAAACCCACGATGGCCGGCCGAACACTTACACTAACGTCAACACTCACTGGTGGGATCTCAGCCAGATCTACGGCGTCGACAACGCGACCCATGCTCCGCTACGCGCCGGGGTTGACGGCAAGATGAAGGTTGCCGCTGACGGCCTGCTTCCGATGGGAGCGAACGGCCTCGATGCGACGGGTTTCAACGACAACTGGTGGGTCGGTTTGTCGATGATGCACAACATCTGGACGAAAGAACACAATGCGGTGGCCGACATGTTCAAAGCAGCGTGCGTCCGGTCTATCTCGTGATCAGGCCTCGAGCGAGGCTCATGTGTTGCAGCAACCCTTCGTGGAACGACCAGGAGATCTACGACCATGCCCGTCTCGTGACCACAGCTCTCAATGCCAAAATACACACGGTTGAGTGGACACCTGCTCTGCTCCAGGACCAGACGCTGCAGATGGCCATGAATGCCAACTGGTATGGTCTTGCTCCAGCATGGCTGCAGAGCTTCCCGGACATCTTTGACCAGCAGATCTCCGAGGCCTGGTACGGCATCATCGGTGGCAAACCAGACTTTGCTGGGGTACCCTTCGCACATAGCGAGGAGTTCGTCAGTGTCTACCGGTTCCACTCGCTCCTCCGCGACAACATCACCATTCTCAACCACGCCGACGGGTCGAGCACCGGAAACACGTACGATATCGTCAACTACACGTTCGCCAACGCCTGGAATGTCATCCACGACAACGACTTCAGCGATGTCGTCTACACGTTCGGTGCCGACTACCCTGGCGCGCTGCAGCTGGGCAACTACCCGAAGGCGATGCAGAACCTGAATAAGCCTGGAACCCCATACATGCTTGACATGGCCGCTGTGGACATCATGCGCGACCGAGAACGTGGCGTGCCGCGGTATAACGAGTTCCGCCGGCTGTTCTCGCTCGTCCCGGCCAAGACCATGGACGACATCTCTGACGACCCAGCTGCAGTCGCAGCCCTCCGGTCCATCTACGGCAACGACGTCGAGAGCGTGGACATGCTCGTCGGATGTCTGGCCGAGAGCCCGCGTGCTACCGGATTTGCGTTCAGCAATACCCAGTTCCAGGCTTTCATCCTCGCTGCCTCCCGCCGGTTGATGACGGACCGCTTCTTCACTACCGATTACACTCCTGCTGTTGTAAGTTATCTCTGATCCCGCTCGTGCCTATCCCTGACAATTTCTGCTAGTACACCCAGCAGGGATTGGACTGGATCGCCAACTCGGACTTCCGCACAGTCATTGGCCGAAATATGCCGGAGCTCAACGCGTCGGCTCACTCTGTAGATAATGCGTTCAAGCCCTGGGCTGTCCCCAAGTAGACATCTGGAAGACATATGACAACAATGAATTAAGCTCGAGGCCTTTTATACTGTATTGGTCCAAGTAAATAGAGCATACGTGGAGGCATCCCATCGATCGACTAGAGCAGAGAATCGAGATGCAAGCCAGCACGCCGGCCTAAGGCGAATCTGCTCTGATTGCAGACTCTGTCGATGAGATCAGTTTCCGCCGCGGTAACCACCAAAGGCTGCTATACGCACTGAAGAACTCGTAGCACATCCAGCACAGTGCCGTGCTAGGCATGATCGTCACGACCCGGGGCGTCAATCCTCGTCCGAATCCCTTGATCCCGTCTCTGGCCCATATGATTCGCAAAGCATCCATCATTCCCCGGGCGTTCCGGATCTCGGCATCTTGTGAAGTCCCTCGGGTCTGCAGAAGCGTTTTGGCGACGTCAAGCGGCGTGGTCAAAGCACCGGCAATGGCACCGGCTGCACCACCAGCGACGATGTGAGACGAGGGCGAGTACTCGTTCCGGGGGTTCAGCACACGTTTCAGCTGGTCGTATAGACTGAATTGGATGGCGTTGAAGGGTATTGATATCGCGAGGGTTGTCGGATAGGACACGTAGAGGGCTGAGAATCCCTCGTTCCGCAGAAGGCTTTGCGCACATTGAAGAACGCTCCGGTACTCGGACTGGTGCATCTGCATGCGTTGCTTGATGACTGCGCCGACATTAATCGGCATAAGTAAGCGAAACGTGACATACCATCGAATGGATTCATCAAAGCGTCACTGACGATGGTGGCCGACGCGCCAGCGAGACCTATCGTTGCGGTCAGGAACATCGTCCGTACATGTGGGCACACAGTGACGCACCTGATGATATCAATTGTTGACTGCTCTGCGAACTCGAGTTGCCGCCCGTCAGTTCTTTCACGGCCTCAAACGTTCCGAAATGTAGCGCATGTGCCGGACCGGCGCCCAACGCGACCGAGGACACGCCCCGCCAAAGAGCCCGTATCCCTTCCGTGGAAGAGATCCGAGAAAACGCGTTCCCCACACCCGTATACATGGCCACAGGAGACGTGGTGAACACTTGCATTCGCGTCTGCGGTGAATAGTGCTTTGTTGAGAAGACGTCGCGTACCCGACTCGAAAAGCTCACCTTGATGCTGTCCACAGGATACATGATTGCATGCTCAGAGATGCCGGCCTACACGCGTCATTGTCAAACAAGTTGGACTGAATGAAACGGGAGCATACCAATGAGCCTGCAAGCATGTTTACCTATTGTCCGTTCAATTACGTGGAGAGGCATAAAACAGCATTTCTCACCATGAGACCGGCATTAGGTGGGAGTGCCTCGTAGTCATCGATTTCCTCTGCCATACTTTGTATCAGGGCTCCAATAAGGACTTGGGGTGTTTGAACTCTCTAGGGAGTTTGGGTCCAAGGGCGGAGGAACGGAAACGCCAACAAAGCCAACGGTGAAGGTGAGGGAACCAAGATTTTTATTAGATCGGCTACACGGGGGGCAACATAGCCGCAAACAAGCCGGACTCCGAGCTTCCAACGAACCTACTTAGTAACCCGTGAAGCATCTCTGCGATCGAGCTCGTCATGCATCGAGCACATGAGTGAGCACTCGAGAGATGAATTCGTCGTCCTGCTTGTTTCTCTCGATTAAAAGTTCAGTGTTCGCGCGATCAGTCTAGACTCTACAAACGAAGTCCAGGTCCGGCCTTGTCCGGCTGGATACTGTTCAATCCCAACTCTCGGTAGACAAGAATAACTTTATCAGAACAATCATCAGCAAATTGCGTCGAGTAGTGGTACAAATGTTCCGAAAGTCCAACACGATCAACTGCGGGCCATTCCAAGACTCGATCGACCGGCGATACTGCCCATTCCCATTCCCATCGACAGATTGCTGTTCGAATTACTCAGAGCACCCACGAGAAGATCACGGCAGCAGCGCAGACGCTCTCTCCGTTGTACAAACCATGCACTCGCATCACAAGGGATGGCCAAAGGAGCACCGATGATGCCCTTCGCAGTAGCTTCTCTGACTGAATGCACCAGTTCATCAAGCTCTGCCTCCGAATCTATGTCGTCCAAATTCTCTGGCGCGTCATCTCCTGCAGCCATGCGGATCGCCGCAGAAGCTTTCTTTCCGCTCTTCTTCGTTCCCGTACCCGAACCCTTCTTGTTTGTCGAGGGATCGACGCCGAGCGCAACGCCCAAAGCCACCGCTTGCTCCTCCGCCAGCTTCTTTTTCTCAGCTTTCTCTTTATCCCGCTTCTCTTTCTTCTCCGCTTTGGTCTCCCGCTTGACTGGTTCCACGAAATTGGGGTTGTGAGCGCGATTCCAGTCAAGTAGTAGGTCGTCGTATTTACGAGAGCGGCCTTCAACTGCACGTTTCGCACCCATGGAATGTGATTTGCAAGTCAATGAACGAGAGCACGGCAGTCCCTTGTCGTTGATCACACCACAATGCTGGTCATAATCAATAGGCCCCTTCATGCGACCTTTCATTATCTTCGTAGCTGGCTTGGATTTCTTCTTGGGAGGCAAGGACGGATCCGAGGGTTCTGCCGAGGCTTTGCGTTTCTTCGACCCTTTCTTCAAGTCTAATGGTTTTGAGTATTAAGACGAGCCGCGTGAATTGAGACCCACCATCCAAGTCTGCCCCAGACTTGTGTTTCCCCGTGTTCTTGCCCCCGACGCGTAGCTGAGCACAGGCCACTACAGCCACTCAGCATACGGTGTGGATGTGGAGAAACAAAACAACCTGCATGCTCTGCCATGAAGCTGCGAAGTATGGGCTTGTCGCAGTCGTTACATTTCACAAGGCCGATGTCAGACGTTGCGGTCATAGGCTGAGCGCCAAATAGTTTCATGTCCCGCGCGGATAGCCACGCGGTGGGGGGCGACGGGAGGGAAGAAGAACCCGTCGACGAAGATGGCGAAGGGATTTCATCCCAAGCAAATGGCGTCGGAGAAGGTTCAGATGGTGGTTTGAGTTTAAGAGCCATGATTGTCGCTTATGATGTTGATCGCCGTTCGCGTTAATGATTGAGTGTCATCAAAATTGAGTAAGACATTCAACAGGTTGAAGCCGCGCAGTGCGCACTCTCAATACCGCAGGCTTCTCGTTGGAAGTCATCGATCGGTACAAAATACGGGACAGAGTACAAGAAACGAGAATACGGGAAATCTAGGTGCGCTACGGCCGCCAATTACTGACTATAGGTAAAACTCTGGCTTTCTAGCATTGATACCGTATTCTCCGAGAGCCGCACTCAGGTCTTCCATCGTGAGGGTGGTTCGGGTTTTATCCTGAATCAAGTCAATCAACGCTGCGAGACAAGATATGTCAAGGCCAAGACCTACTTTCGCGGAACCAGCTCCGCCAAAAGGCTGATTTGCCCTCGCACGTCCTCCCGTTGCGTTGGTACGAATACGAGCATGCTGATACGCGTCCGCAGCGATATCTGAGACGAATTTCTGAGCGGCCAAGGAAAGCAATCGCTTTCTGGGCCACTGCTGAGCACGGCTTCGGCACGGTGGTCGTCGAGACTCACAAGCGGACATCTTCGCATTCGAAACCGACCCGTTGAAGGTAGTAGTCGGTTACTTCGTTTGGAATCTGAGGAAGTGTTCAGCTTTGATCGTTGCAATGAGAGAAGGTGAACGAACGAGAGGATCGTATTCATCCAGCATGAGCATGAACTCAGCCAAAGTCCGATCCTTCCTTGCTTCTTCTGCTGCTTGCCGTGACTGGGGCGGGTTCGAATTGTTGTCGGAGCTGGATCCAGGCTGAGAGGCGGAGATAGGGTAGGCAGCTTGTTGAGAGGACATGATTGTTGAGAGCGTGTCGATGCCACGGATAAAGCGTGCTCTGATCCGGGGAAATGATCAGATCAGACAGCGGAGTCTAAAATTTTCTATAAAAGCGGTCGCTTGCGTCCGCAACTGCTGCTTCAAACCAAAGTGGTGCGTGTTTTTTCTCATGAAAATCGTTGTGGTCTCGTTCCCTACACCTCCATATGATGTCTGAGGCATTTGGCTTTATGCAGGAGCGCACCCTGCACTGCAGAAAAACAACTCGCTACCTTCGGGCGAAAGCCCGCTTTTCTGAATCCCTTCCTTCTCGTGTTCATGTTCGGCTATCCCAACGTGCATGCTGACGTCCTACCAGTTGTGTCGATTTGACCGACTCAGGAGCTCGTTAGGTGTCTTCGAAGGTGTATGCATCCGAATTGGTAAGTTTTTTCTCCATTCTATACACCATTCCCTTTCTATGATGTCTTGGAGGCATTTGGCTTTACGCAGGAGCGCACCCTGCACTGCAGAATTCTATTCCAGCTACCTTCGGGCATAGCCCGCTTTGTCTGACTCTCGTTCCCTGTCTCGCCCACGTTCACAAAATTTGAGGCTAATCCATCTCCAGGTGTTCGACTCCAATAATTGGTCAGATCTAGTGTATTGGTTAGATCTCGTAAGTAGTGGTCCATAGATCTGAAATATCCAGTCTACTGTCACGAGGCATCTGTCGCTGATTGTTTTCTGGTTGGACGCTCCGCAAGCTCCATTGCTGTAAGCAAAGTCTCGACATCTGGAGACACCACAAAGCGCTTGTTCACTTCGCCAAGGATAGTCAGATGTTTTTCCTTCAGGTCAAGCAGGGTAGCATGCTGAAGGAACGATGGTTGAGTCGCAGCTGCAACCTGAGACTCTTTTCGTCAGTGAACATGATTGTTCCTGGAGAAAGAATCTCACATCGAGCAAAATTCCGTTTTGCAAGCGCATTTTCACTGCCCCGCTCCTGTAAACCTCCAAGGTTCCAATCATGCCATCAACAGTATCTCTCTCCGCTTTGGAATCTGAAGCATCAGACGATACTCGAGAGGAAATAGCGGGCGGCAGTTCATCTTTGACGTCGTCCGCGAATGTGACTTTCTTCGGCGGAGCTTCAGGTGCATCGGGTGTGGCATGAGTTGGAGAAGACGCCGCAGGGGCGTGAAAAGTCGGAAATGGACTAGGAAATTGAAAGAAATAGAGTCTTTCTTCTCGCAGGGATGAATCCTTGCTCGAAATTGAATTGGTAATACATTCGTACAGGCTGGCCGGAACGCACCTCCGAGTCAGCTGCAGTTTCTTGGTTTGCAAAATGTTCAATCAGGTCCTCGTACTCTTCTTCTTCCTCGCTTTCGCTGAGATCAAGCGCGTTGGCCGCATCAACCTCAGCTGCTACAAGCAACGGAATCGGTTATGCTGACGACATCAGGATGAAAAGACAAGCACCATTCTCAGCGACTTCAGTATCAGCATCGATATCCATGGTTGATTCTTCTGTCTTGACTTTCCTCTTGGGCTTTTTGGCGGAGCGCTTCTCCCTTTTGATAGTTTCAGGTGCCATCCAGTCCATCTGCCGGACATCCTCCATGTCAATGATTTCCACGCCTTCATCTGGCTCAGAATAGGCGTCTTCGTCTTCCTCGGCTTTGTTTTTACCCTTCTCACTCTTCACAGGATGATCGAGACGCTTCAAACCGGCGCCCAGTGAGGTGCGATCATTGGCAGGAGTAGGGATGACGAAGTTGGACTTCGGGATGGATCTCCGCGCAGTCCCCATTGCCGGACCCATAGCGAATGGTCCACTGGCGGTCATTTCCACGGGAGCCCGAGGAGCACCGCGTCCTCGGCCTCTTCCACCTTCCCCTCGGCCTCTGCCTCGTCCACGGCCACGTCCAGATTCTTGCAAGAGGACGTCTGGTGCTGGCTCCTTCGAGGAGAATCAATACGAGAAGCGACAGGCAGAGGTCAAAAACTCACACTCTTTACTTCCCTACGCGCATATCAACTGGGCACACTGACAAGCAATGTAGATGTGGCACGTACTCCTTTTTTACCTGTCTGCGAACTGGGAGAACAGGTGTGAATTTAAGTTTTTGTGTTCCCTGGCGCGTCACGTCGGACGACTTCTTGGCAAGACTGCCAATAGCCTTGGGCAGACCAGAGCCAGATGCTGACGCGCCATCTGGATATGCATCATTGAAAGATTTTCGCAGGTGATGGCTTCAAAGCGCTAACCGGCCATAATCCCTGCAGCGTAGACAGTCGTTGGTTGGACAGAGAGCAAGTCGTGCTAATCGCACTGCCACACCTGCCAATCTTGGCACGAAAAATAGATCATCATTTTTAGTTATCCATCTTTCACTTACCCTGCTACTACTACAATGACTCTCGGAGAAGGTGTCGAAGTTGAACATCTGCGTGTCTCGTACAATGACAGTGAGGCTTTGATCATTTCAGCTATCGAGCATCAACAGACTTCTTCCAGTCCACAATCTGATTAAGTGGGTGCACCAAGATAACGTTGAGATTGGCGAAAAACGAACGAACCGTAACGCAGAAAGAATACCCCAACGATCGCAGCCGAGTTTGACCCGGATCTTCTTGTCGCTATTGGTGGGGGGTATGTCGCCTCCCCCCTCGCCCTATTTCCCATGTGTCGAATCTTTGTAACAGAGGTTTCTTCCCGGCCCGGGTCATGAGGACGTTTCTTCGCGCACAGACCGAACACAAGGCCCTTCAAATCCAAGCCATCGGACTATCTCTCTATGAGCCGATCGAAGGTCTTTCATTCCTGCAGCTCCATGAGCTTTTGACGAGTGCGTCTCCAGGCACGAGCGTGAACCAAATCGGACACGAGGTCATCCGCACCCAATGGCTGTGAGTTCTGGTACCTATAGATCACAAGGATTGTCTCCATCTCTGCTTTAGTGGTGCTGACTCGGGGAAAATGCTTCTTGGTGCTTTCTCTTCCCTTCTCACGTTTTTCTACCACTAATATCACTGAAGGCCGCAAGATTCTCATTGTGGTCTGTAAAGCTCGTTGTGCTTATGAAACAATCATCCGATACTCTTTTGTAGGACGAAGTGGATGACACACGCAAGACATTACAGTGCGTGAGAAACTTGTCTTTTTCTGGTGAAAAACTTAGATTTGGGGAAGCTACGCTCACTCTGAACTGCTGAAGGATGTCGAAGAAGAACTTGCCAAGCACCCTGAGTCTGAGCAACCAGCACTTCGGGCAGCAACGAAATTTGCTGTGTTTGTTGTGCATAATAAGTTGAAGCCAAAACTTGCCGAGCTGCCCGCCGACCTTCAGTGAGCATCCAGGGCTTCGAGCGCGTCATATCACTTGAATATTTGCAGATACTTCGCAGGTCAAACGGTTGAAGATGTGTGGCTGGACTACCCTTGGGAATCGATGCACGTGACCTTAATCGTGCCTTGCCCTCTTGCTGAACTCGTTCGTCTCACCAGGGATATCGAAAGTCACGACAGTCTAGCTGCTGCTGACAAACAACAGAAAGTTTAATTCACAAGGATTGTCAGATGAATAAAAGCGATGCACGTGAGTGGGGTGTAGATTAGAAGATTATGATTGTCAGTATTAGGATGTCGACGCAGGCTTGTCTTGTTGCTCCTGCTTGGGCTCCGGGGGTTCTCCAGCCAATTGATTAAGCGCTCCGAAGAGAGTATTGGGAACGGCGGCCATCGCCATCTCCTGCTCCTTCTTCAGAAGACTCTCTAGGTATTCTTGGTGCTCCCGGATGTATTTCAGCTCCTCCATGTAGTTCTCTTGAGCCTCTTTGCGCTTAGCCTCGAGATAAGTCGGCGGAACGGACGGTCGAGGCGAGCTCTGGGTCGGTCTTTGAGTAACCGGTGGTAAACAACTCAGATCAACTAACATCACCCGTGAGACCAAGCATCGAAGCAAATCCTCCCCGCGCCAATCCGTTTGGCCGCTCTTTCATCCATTTTTCGATATGTGCAGCCTTGGATTCGGCCTCTTTCTTTGCATATTCGACGGGAATGTCCTTTCCTTGGTATGCGGACAGGATGGGTCGGACGTCCGCAGGCTTGTAGATCCCGATGGCTGCCAGTACGTTCAACGACAAGAAATTGAGAGAAGCACAGGGACGAACACTCTAAGAAGGGGATCATGGCAATGAGTCCCCGATCGTTGGGATCCCCCTTCCATGGCGGGATGACGATCGTGTTTTCGGGATGAGTGGACACGTGCTCTGGGTTTGTATCCAGAGCGACAACCTTCTCGAGTGGCCGGTTCAAGTAGGACAAGTCCTAGGGCAACAGGTCAACGAATGAACACCGTTGAAACTTACAATCTAAATTACCTTTACAACACCGCTGTTCGTCGTTCTTGTTGCCTCACGGAAGAGACGGTGAGAGATGTAGAAGTTGTAGCGGTCCAACTTCTCTAAAATCGGAGCAGCGGTCTGGAACATAGATTAGCATACGGCGTTCGACGATGTGAGATGTCATCTACGTAGGAGTTTTGAGTGGTGAAGATGACCACTTCATAAAATTGGGAGATATAAGCTAGAAAATAATCCACGCCGGGTCGTTTCGCCGTCCTCCATCCATGCTGCCGCTGCAAACAGTGTCAGTCTGGGCATGAGTATCGGCCGTGGTACTAACATCCCAAGTGGACGTGACCAGAAGGTCGTCCAAAGACAGTACGAGGGTGAGGGGTTTTTGGTGAGAAGCAGGTAGAGGTGGCGGCAGTAATTCAGACCACACGGGTTTGACAAAGTACTGAGCTGTTTGAGAAGCAATTCAGAGCGTCAATGGAATGACGCACGTCAAACATGTCCGTAAAGCGCTCTTGAGTACGTCCCCATCGTGTCGCTGGCGCATTTTCAAGAGTCTATGACGACTGAGACACGAGAAGAACGATTCACAGCCAACCAACGCACTATTTTCTTAGCTTTGAGCTCGTACTGCTCCCACTCGCGACCCAACTCATACGCCTGGAAGCCAGCACCGACCAATAGCAGACCAAAAGCAGCGCGACCCAGCCTCCTCCGTCTTATTTCAGCGGAGGACAAGGAATCCTTGGAGGATTTGGCGCCAGTTTGATGCTCCGGCTCGGGAGAGAAATCGAGACTTGGGAGATTTGAAACATCAGCAGTCGGTTGTGGCTCTGAGAGAGGAGACTGAGGAGGCTGGGATGGAGGCTGGGATGGCTGGGATAAGCTTCGAGATGTCGCAACCCCCAGTCCAGCCCTTCTGGGAACAGCGCGGGTTAGAGCAGAAAACATAATGCTTAGTCAGCCTGATCGCAAGAAGGGTCCAGTCTCTTTTGACTCTTCCCTCGATGCAGTCTCGGGACTGCACTCACTACGGTCCGGATCCACGGCCTAGCGGGTAACGGAGCGATGGTAGAATGATTCTCACTCCTGATCTTCTCGTACGGCTGTATCATGTATTCTATATACAGCAGGCAAAGATCTAGAAATACATCTCCCCTACGGCGAAAATCCCTGAGTCATTTTGTGAGATGGAACAGCACAAAATGAGAGTCCCGTTCAAACTTGCTTTAGTGTCCTCGCACCTTGTCTCTTCCGACCATGTCACGGCTCCCAGTACGAGCTCTGCAACGATTCTCTTCTACTTTCACCGCAAAAAGCGCGCCCTCGAAAGCTCACTTACATCAACCTCTTCCTGACAACTCATTCCCGCAAGGCTACTTACTTACTGGTACCCATGCGGGTGTGAAAAAGAAAGCCGGTGTGCTTGACCTTGGCTTGATCATTTCTACCACCGAACAACCTGCATCTGCTGCCGCTTGCTTCACTCGGAACGCATTCAAGGCAGCGCCTGTGGTGGTATCGGATGAGGTGCTTTCGAAGAACCGTGGACGGGCGCGAGCAATTGTTGTTAATAGTGGTTGTGCGAATGCCGTGACTGGTATGTGAACCCGGTATGTTATGATCTCTCACCGATATTCCGCGCGAAGGCCGTCAGGGAATGGAAGATGCCTGGACCATGGTCCGAGAGACTGACGCGCTCATACCCCACAACACACCCACGTTCGAAAACCAGACGTTGGTCATGTCTACTGGAGTCATCGGACAGACCCTGCCTATTGCAAAGATCGTGGAAGCTATTCGGTTGCAGGGGAAGCCTGAGAGTAGCCTTGGCTCAAATTTCGACGCCTGGGAACGCGCCTCCAAAGCATTCATGACTACTGACACATTTCCCAAACTGCGGTCGCGCGCTTTTACCATCAACGGGATCGAATTCAGGCTAGCTGGAATGGACAAAGGCGCAGGCATGATACATCCCGACATGGGGCCGGCGTCGACCTCCTTCGCTGGGCTTCATGCGACACTGCTGGGATGCATCCTCACTGATGCAGCCGTCTCGCCGCGCAGTCTACAGAGCGCCCTGACCTACGCTGTCGAACGGAGTTTCAACTCCATCAGCGTGGACGGCGACATGTCAACGAACGACACGATCGTGGTGCTTGCCAATGGTGCAGCAGCTTCTGCGGTCGATGGGCAAGTAATCGAAATCGACGAGGAGACAGACAAAGACGGTTACGAGATCTTCAAGAAAGAACTGACCTCGTTCGCCGCTGAGCTTGCCCAGCTCGTTGTTCGAGACGGAGAGGGCGCGACCAAGTTTGTTGCTGTGCACGTGAAGGTGCGCTGCACACCGCATCGGTCTAATGGCCTCAATCGAGTTGAATGTGACGCGTCTGTCAGGGGGCCCCGACCTTCGAGGATGCTCACAGGATTGCGTCCACCATCTCAACGTCTGCATTAGTGAAGACAGCTCTCTACGGCGAAGACGCCAAGTGAGTCGCCGTCTGTTCGTCGTTCGCTGAAGCGTACTGAAATGTATATTTTGCAGCTGGGGTCGAATCCTGGCTGCAACTGGATCTGTCCCTGTGTCACGCCTTGATCCTGCCCGAGTGAGCGTGACTTTCCTGCCATCGGACAACACAGCTTCACTCCCGGTTCTTGTGAACGGAGAACCTGAAATCGTCGACGAAGCCCGTGCCAAAGAAATTCTGAGCCAGACAGATTTCGGCATCTGTGTCGATCTTGGAAACATCGGAACGGAAGAAGCAACTTACTGGACATGCGATTTCAGCTATGTATGTGGCCTTTGTCGAATTTTATCGTGCGCCCAAACTAATCGCGGTGCTCAGGAATATGTCAGAATAAATGGAGACTATCGCAGCTAAGTCGATTGTTAAAAGTAGGTTAAGAATGAATAGATTTTTCAACTACATAGATCGCTTTTCTTTTGCAGTTGGTCCTGGTCTTATCTCTACAACGGATATCTCGTTCTATTCGCGGCCCATCTCCGGCACAGATGACCACGATACCACGGGTGAAAGAACAATCCTCCGACTCGCAAGCAGAGAACAGCTCGTCTAAGGAACCAACCACGCTATAGGGTCTACAACCCATCAGCCACTGGTGTCGCAAGGGCTCGTTTTGCGTTGCAAGAAAAACTACAGCGTCCGAGAATGTTTCTGTCGTCGGGGAGTTGGAGATGTCGGCCAACGAAGCATGGCTGGTACTCGTGACGATGGTTTGGTGCGATGACTGGAAAGTGCCCAGGATCCTTCGATGTAATAAAGACCACTGCTTCCGGTGAGCAGCTCTCCTGTCATCTGCAAATAATCTGTCCTCCCACTGGGCTGAGGCACGCTTTCTCTTTCGTGTCTCGTATTCAGACTTGCCCCAGATTTCATCGGCAGCCGCAGCGGTCTTGCCCACTGCAGTCCGTGCAATCTTGTGGAGATTGGGGAGTGTTACACCCTCTTTCCAACTTCGTTCTTGTGCGCGATAGATTTTGGTGATACGGGGAAAACGTAGCGCGTAGTGCTGGTTGAGCGTCAGACCCAGTCAAATATCTCCACCAAGGACGTACCCGACTGTGGGGACTCTTGCTGAAACCCGCCCCGAAGAGTTCGCAGAGGAGTGGTTCTCGCAACAGGGCCATAGGAGGAGTCAGCCCCGCGTGCAGCTGGAAATCATATCCAGGTAGCGATCCACTCCCATTCAAGGATCTGAAAGGGATCGGCTCAGAGCTCTTTATCCGGAAGTTGACATCCTCCAGCTGATCGCGGCCGAGACCATACGATGCTGTGAAATAGATGTCAAATACCGGCTTCTCAGAGCGACCACGATCTTTCAGCAGCCCTCCGATGAAGAATGTCGTATAAGTGCCGGGAGCAACTCGGAACTCGCGCCCTCTTTCCTTCTCCCAAGAAACACCTAGCACAACCATGTCCAAGCAGTCTCCATACCCGGGAATGTAGTCCTTCTTCAGCTTAACCCAGGGAAGTCGGCGATCGTTGTAACCACTTTCTCCGGCCTTGAGAACCAGTCCTTCCTTCGCAGCAGCCAGACATTCCGCAAAAACATGGTGCAAAGATGGATGTCCTTGTCTGTTGCCCCAATGTAGGCCTATAGGCCATCGGTCAGCCAAAATAGCGAGACCTGGAATCGGCTTGATGACGGATTCCAGGATATCCCGACGAGCAGAATAGCTTTCGCGCATGAGCGACTTCGAGTTGAGCATCAGGATGTCAAAAAACACCAGTCCCAGTTGACGATCCGAGTTGTCCGTCACAAGAGACAGTTGAGAAAGATCTTCCTCGATGAGTGACTTGGATTCTCTTCTTCTCACTCCTTTTGCCGTGGCCTCGACGAGACCATTGATTCTCCAGAACTCGTCAATCTGCCCTTCGTGCCACGGAACCATCTCCGCATCCAGGATGACATCTATCTGGACGCAGCTTCTCTCCTGATCTAACTGCAATGCTTGACGAATAACATCGTGAATGGCATGCCTGTCCCAAGTCGAGTCTCGTTTGCTCTTGCTAAAGATTTGAATATGCGCTGGTCTGCCTGGCCGGATCTTGACGTGGATCTGCGCACGTTCTCCATCGTACTTGGTTTCGGCCCATATTTCTGTCGAGTTTTGTAGTCGTTCCAGGGCATGTAAACAGCTGCGGCCCTTTTCCGACTTCGGCATCTACACGGTGTGAGCTTCGACTGCATGCGACTGATGACCGAAGGTGACCTGAATAGGGACTCCAATCTCAGGCGTCAAGGAAGATAGTCCTGCCTCGAAGCCGGTTGCAGCATCCACTAGACGTGAGCGCACGCGATAAATGTCGCACATCCGTCGACTGGGGTCCCAGGCTTTCATCGTATGTTCCTAAGCTCGGTTGAGTGCACGAAACCAGGCTGATCGATGGAAAAAGTAGACCTGGGTCAACGCAGTCACGGAAAGAGTGTTGAAAGACTTCAGTGCCGCGGTGTAATGCGTTTCTGTTAAAGGATATAGCAGTGGGCGTAGATCTTTCAGTATAATTTGGGCTAAGAACGCTGCATCCATGGTCGGAAGCTCGCGAAACAGTTTGCGAATGATGGTGTTCTTGTCCCGTCGACGACTGCCTGTGGGGTACTTGGAACGCACATCTGCGTCCGAGTAACCCGAATGCGAAGCTAGCTCCTCCAACAGGTCTACCACTTGCTGAATACTGAGAGGTCCGATGTAATCACAAGGTTTCTGGACGAAGGTTGGGGCGGAGCAAAGTTCCAACGATCATGCACGCACAGAATCAGTTCTAGCCAGAGACTCTCGGAGATCGTCTCCTAAACACCCCATCGAAGTTTCGGACATCCATGCTGTGAGATTGTCTTCTGGGAATCCATAGCACGCAGCGAGTGCGCTCGCCAACCTCTTCTCCTGCATGTCGTATCTGAACGCCACATCCTGTTCGGGAAATAGTAGACGAAACACGGCCGCAGTCGTTCCCTCTGGAAGCGGCGAGAACTGACTCCGCAAGCGATCTATCCAATTGTTGAACGTCGCGAGAGCTGGGTACGGTGCGACACGAGCATCATGCGAGGACCGTTCCACCTGATATTTATTTCGAGGTCGAGCATGGATAGAGATCTCGCGCAGAAGTGAGACAAAGCTGGAAAGAATGGATTATCTCGGTGATTCTTTATAGCAAGGGAGGGCACATACAATGAAAAGGGTATGCCCTCAATCGAAGTCATGACAGAGGCCAAGCAGATCAAAGCATGTCGAGTCGCGTGATGCAAACAACAGGCTTGCCAACTCACGAGACCGCGACCAATTTCAAGGGCACAGCACGCGTATACTAGGCTGTTGTTGGTTACAATTTTAGACAACAGACACAGTGGGTATCCATCCTATATACAAGCAAAAAAAACATATATATGCCCCAAATATTAAACGAAAGGATGGGTGCGCACTGGCGCTCCTCAACGCATTAGAAAAGAAGTGAGATATAGATGAAATGAGTGAGCACGAGATCATTCAAAGTCTTTTTCAGACATCACCACCCTCTCGACTCGCCTCATCGAATCACGGTCCAAGTCCATCGAGTTGCCGTTTATCGAGATCCCGTTCTCGACCCGGAGATCGTTAGCTGGGGTGCCAGGTCGTGATGAAGCCATCCCTGAAGAAGTGGCTGTGGCTGTCGAGATCAACTGATTGTGAGGAAAGTAAGAGCGCCTTTGCATTTTCTTGAAATCATAGGTGGTGAATCTGCACAGTGTTCAGAAAGTGTTAGCCACGACATGAGCATACATACTGATCCTCCATCTGCCGCATTTCAGGAGAGAAATTCTCCTGGTTAGCTTTGCGAGTCTTTGCCTTCAGAGGGTTGTCTTCTAAGAGGAGTTCTTCCAACTCGTGCGAGGCATCGAAATTTGCCTTCTTCGCCTGTGTTTTGGTGAGTTTGTAGCTCGTGAAGCCGAGTTGGCAAACGCACATCAGGGACAAAGGGTGACGTCTGCTCCTTGCTATCCAATGTGTCCCAGTCAATAGACTTGAACCAGGGATGCCTTTGCAGTTCGTGATAGCCTTCACTGTGAGGTTTGCATCCGAATCTTCGAGTTACATCGCGGTCCAATAGCTGACGGAATGAGCATATTGACGACAGCTTATCACGGTCCACTCACGCCTTTCAACACTTGCATTCCAGGCCGGCTGCACTTTTTCTCCGCATCCTCAGGCCACTTGAGCGGATCTTTGGTGATGCTATAAGTGAGATCGCTGTTGGTTCGGCCGCGGAAAGGTCGACGCCCGAAGATTAGTTCGTATGCGCAGACACCAAGTGACCACCAGTCGATTTGATGATTGTATCCACGTTTAGCCAGAATTCTCCGACATCGTTAGCGGCGTGGAAGGTAGGAGTGGGAGAGCGGACACACTCGGGTGCCATGTAGGCCATAGAACCAGCCACCCCCATCAACTTCCTCTCAGAGAACTTGAGACCGATATTGAAGTCCGTCAGATGCGCATTTCCCCGCTCGTCTAAGAGGATGTTGTCCGGTTTGATATCTCTATAATAGAAATTGGCGAAAAAACTGATTGTGACGAAATATAGCTCACCTATGCATAATGTTCATGTCGTGCAGAAATTGGATAGCCGATGATAGTTGAGCAACATAGAAACGAACAACTTCTTCGTCTAGAGAGCCGAGCCGCTCAAGGTGGACTGGAGGCCTGATCTCAAACATCGTCGCAGCCTGCTAGACAAGACGTACATCGTAGGTCCCCACCAAGCATCAAATCTAACACAAAGAAACAATTCTCGTCGTCCTGGAAGGCATATCGAAGATTGACCTTGCTTCGAATTCAGACGATTTTCAAGTGCTGGGAATACAAAAGCTGCTCACCACGTATGGGTGGTCAATCTGGATGACTTTCAATGACGAGAATACGGACTCAAGGGCAGGGCACACCTCTTCGAGAAGGCGTCGTTCTTGAATAACGTTCGGAACAGCTTTCATTTTCACACATTTCGCTTTGTTGATATACTTAAGAGCGTACAGCTCTCGCGTTTGCTTGTGCTGGACCACGCGGACCTGAACGGGGATAACGGTATTTGAGCCGCGCGCCGTCGAGAGTATGGCGCACGCACCTTGCCGAAAGCACCCTTGCCCACACAACGCAGTAGCACAAAGTGAAAAAGCGTGACATCTCCGTCAAAGTCGACCGGCTGCGTGAAACACAATAGGTGAGTACCGGAAGAATGTAAGACAAGCCATTACTGACCGTAGGTCTACAGCAAACTCCTCCCATAATGAACGTAAATCTCGTGGAAACGGCGCGAACTGAGGGTGGGGCACCCTGTAAGAGAGTAGGTTCTCTGACTGGCAGGGAAGAAAGGAGTAATAAGGAGTGGGATCGTAGTATCTCACAGGTGTGACAATCAAATTGGCGCCGTCACATGAGCTAGCTGCCAATGCAGCCTCCTCTCAAGGGGTTCGCCTCCTTCCTCGTCTCTCACACCAAGCCAGAGCCATGAGCCACTTTTTGCGTCCGCTGGTCATTTCGGGACCTTCCGGTGTTGGGAAGAGCACACTTCTGCAGCGTCTCTTTGCGGAATTTCCCGATAAATTCGGGTTTTCTGTTTCACGTTCGTCTTTCGCCTGCTGAAGTCCTCGGGAGTCTGATTCTTGAATCAGACACTACTCGGTCTCCGCGTCCAGGCGAGGTCCACGGGAAACATTACTTCTTTGTGCCCACCCAAGAGTTCAAGGACCTCATCGCCGCTGAAGCGTTCATCGAACACGCGGAATTCTCGGGGAATTTCTATGGGACAAGTTTTGCAACTGTAAAGCAGATCTCAGACCAGGGACGGCGTTGTATCTTGGATATTGAGGCTCAGGTCCGTCATTTTATAGTTCTGGATGCATCGCTCATGCCACGTTGCAGGGTGTTCGCCAGATCAAGGCCTCCGCTCTAGATCCCATCTATCTTTTTATATCGCCACCTTCACTCGCCGATCTGCGCTCGCGCTTACAAGGACGAGGAACAGAAACAGAAACATCGGTCCAAAAACGTCTTAACATGGCTCTGAAGGAGATCGAGTATGCGAAGCAGCCCCACGCGCATGATCATGTCATTGTCAATGACGATCTAGACCGAGCTTACACGTTGTTCAAGGAAGTAGCACTTGGGAATGATGTCGCGAGCGAAAGTCTTCCTGCTCTTGATGACTAAAATAGACTAGAAATACAAAGGATGTACACTATCACTACAAAGAAGAAATGGCTCAGGGAAAATGATCATGGACACTTCGTACAATCTCTTCTACGGTCTTTGAGTCGCTGAGGAGATCTTCTATTGCCTTGGACCAATCGAAATCATCCCCGTTCCCAACTGGGGCGGACTGGTTCCTACTTTTCCTCCTCCCGGAGTCCGAACCGATTCCGCCGCCGAACTTCTTGCCAGATTCCAATTGAGCCAGATGTTTTACTTCGCCAAAGTCACTGGCAGCTTGGGCCTGCAAGAAATTGACGCTTTTGGAGCGATGCTTGAGACAGTCGGGTTCGACAAAGCCCTTGAGAGAGCCAACGAATGGTTCGGCGAGCGTGGCAGACATCGGACCGCCGTTTTTCATCAGCGTCCCGTTACCCGTCTTCTGGAGGATGCCCTCCATAGTCAGGCTCTCGCCCGGTGGGATGGGATTCGGCTGGGAGGGTGTTACGCATGGCATGTCGACCTCCTTGCGCAGAACATGGTCTACATCCACGGCCGAAAAGAACGCCACACTCTGAGGAAGGTCGTCCATGCCCAGTCTGTAGGCAAACAAACTGCGCGTCCAAATGTTGGCGATTTGTAAGGCGAGAGCAGCCCGATAGCGGTCTGCGTCGGAGACCAAGTAGCGCAGTTCGTCGTGTACCGAGATCAGGTAACGCGCATTTATGTCATACCGCTCAATGAGGAAGTCCATAGACACGATCAGCATGTGGAGGTAGTCAACACCCGAGGATTGAACGACCCAATTGATGCGAGAAGGCATGTAGTCGGAGCCGAAGTCAGAAGGCAGATATTCCTTGGACAAGGCATAGGTCACCCCGCACCCTAATGCTGGCGTCTGCGGTTTATCGCTGAGCGCGATCTCCTCGAGTTTGTTGAACAGAAAGCTCTCAGTCCCCCCGAACCAAAATTTTCGACCGAAAATATCGGCACGATGTGTGTTCTTCCCCTTCGTCGACGCATACAGGTTGCTGGCGAGTTTCTGAGCATTTTCCTGTGACATGCCAGCGCTGTTCTGCAACAGAAGAAGGATAGCGTGCCGCATCCCTGCTCCGTAGATTCGAGAATAATTGAAAACTTTCGCCTGGTCCCGAGAGATGCCCAGAATGCTAGCCGTTTTAGAGTGGAGATCTGTCCCTGCGGATTTGGTGCCTTCGAGGGTCATCCAACCAATCGCGGTAGCACCGTGCGCTCCGAACTGAGCATCACCCATGCAACTGGAAATCCACAGCTCCTCTGAATCGACATCTGCACCGACAATCGCATATCCAGGAGGCGCTCGAACCATCGCTTTAAGTTCTGACCCAACCCGATCCTTCTTAGCATTGCTTGCTGTCAGCCATGTCTTCTCGATTGCTCTACGCGTGACAGTCCCCATCGTGATGACTTGCGGCAGGATAACACCCCACTTCTTTCCTGGACGATCATCAACAAAGCCAAGTTCGCCGGCCTGCTGCCACACAACGGTTTGATTGAGAATGCGGTCACGTGCACTGATCCAGTAGCTGCACATGGCGTTCAGGTCTAGGGCTTCCATGGCCTCTGAACCAGGACTCTGAAGGGTACGGTCCTTGAAGTATTTCACGAACGTCTTTCCGAGTGGGCTACCAACGTTCGCCTTATCGCCATCTTTGTGAGGTAGCTTGTAGAAAGTGAAGTCGCCCCGTAGACTTGCTTCGGCAAGTAAATCGTCTGCTGGATCATAAAAGTCGAGAGCAGAAGCCCGTGTCGTGAATTGAGCCGATGTCGGAACACGGAAGACCCAGCCGTGCTCACGCGAGTGGACCAGAGGCCACCCCAGCCACGTGAGCTTCAGGAGAAGCGGCGCGATCCTGTTACGGACGGTGATTTCAATGGCGCCAGCAGACATGTCTTTCTTGGGTCTCGTAACATCCCAATACCATTTTGGCCACATTGTGGGAACGGGCTTCGTCGCCTTTTTGGATTTCTTATCTGCGAATTACGATCAGTTTCTCGCGGGTCACCATGAGGAAATTAAGACCTGCGTCGACCAAAGTCCAGTCCAGCTGAGAGAACCAAGGATCACCAAGCACATCACAGCCCTGCTCCCAATCATCAAGAACAGATTGTGCCAAAACAATGATCTTCTCAGAAACGATGGGGTCGCGGACTCCGCTGGAGATGGAGAGAGCCAGATCTGCCTCCGGAGACGACATCTTCTCTTCTGAGAAAGACTTGAGAGCATGTTTCGCACTCAAGATGGTACCGGTCTTGAGCTTGGGGGATGCACTGTCGAAGCGCGTCACCAATCCGCCCATCAGATAGTGCCATTTATCGACTGCAGTCCATTTGATCGGTTGGTTTTTGTATGAGAGACGCAACAAAAGAGGCACAATCCTCTCCAGCGAGCGAGTCGAGAGGGGATACTTTTGCACAGTAAGATACCAGGCAGGTAGACCATTCGGCGCCATCTCTGGTTCTGGAGCAGCGACGATTCCACGTGACTTGCCAGCGACTTTGGGGGTCCAATCGAGCTGACTGAGCCACGGATCATCTTTCCAGGGCTGTTGTTCTGAATTTTCGAGGAAAAGCAATAGTGCTTGTTTAGCCAGCTCTTCCAAACGCGTTTTGACAGCAGTTTCAAGGCCTTGATAAACAGCTTCCGCCCGCTGCAGATACTGCTCCCATCCTTCGTCCACGCACAGAAAACTGCTTCCCATGGTGAGCATGCCGGCAAAGCTAACCGGATGAGGGCATTGTACTAGAAAGGGTGGCAGAATCCTGCTGAAGATCGCATGCGTGGCCTGGACATCAGACGCACAATAGGCGAAATACTCGGGCAGCGACGCCAGAATGGCCGACGGAGAGAGTTTCATAAAGTCGTCTCGCGTAGACTTCGGTGCTGTCAGCTCGACCCCATGCAGTGCAGCGACTTCTGCGAGGGAATTGACAGAGGTGAGAGACTCCCATGTTTTTGACCCGTCTTCTTCTGCTCCTGTGCTTTCCCCAGAATCCACAGACGCCTCTGCAGTGCCCGGAACAACGAGACCCTTGAGCTGCTCCTTCAGGCGTTTGAGGTGTACTCGCTTCTCCGCATCATCCTCGGAGCGCCAGCGATCGTCCAGCTCATCGAGCATTTCGTCCAACACTGACCGTGCCTCGATCTCTCGTTCCTCCTCAGCCTTTTTCGCTTTCCTCCACTTCATCCATGCGGGACGTTGATGACTGCTTATGCCCTGGACCGCCACATGTAAAGCCATGGTATCCAGCCAACGGTTCTTCGTCCCAGCCAAAGCGTATTCCTCTTTTGTCCGCCCTCGGTCATATGAAACATTATGCCCAACCAGGATTCGCGCGACAGCAGGGTCACCCAGAGGAATTAACTGGGCAGGATCTTCCGTTTCTCCTAGAAGCCATGGCGAGACCCATGCGTACCAGGCAGTAGGGGATGCAGCGCAAGCCATGATTGCAAATGGATGATATGGGGGAAGAGTCTCAACATCGAAGCTGAGAAGTTCCTCGGGTGAGCCGTCGTCCTTCTGAGGGTATTCGATAGGCTCGCTGTAACTAGAGCCATCTGGCATGTAATGATACTTGGTCCATCCGCTCTGTTGAACGTTCCAGTCGGAGATTTCTGGAATGGGAGGTAGCTGTTGTCCAGCGAACGATTGAGCAAGACCAAGATAAGGCTGAGCGAGCGCCGAGCCTATTCGATGGAAGTGCTCTAGCAGATTATTGCCCTGTAGGGGTGGTAGAGTAAAGGAACTGTCGGGAAGCACAGAGCCTTGCGACGGATCCAGACCATGGTGCTCTAAGTGCTGAAGCGCGATATTGATGAAGGATTTCTTAGGTGAGGGGAACGAAACATTCTTGAATATTTGTGCATGTAAAGGCCGCGAGAGCATTTGGACCCCAAACTCATTTCGCTTCACTTCAGAACGGGTGAGCAACCTCAAACTGCCGCAGAAAGGCTCACGCACCATGATCCCGATTATTTTCAACGTGTCGCACTGAATCCTTGGAGCGGACTTTTGCTGGTCGTTGCGTCGCGAAACTTGGTTTAATCTTCTGCGTTTGTGCTTGCACCGTTGTTATGGAATGGAATGCACGGTTTTGACCAGCTGCAAGTGCTCGGGACAAGCTGATACGACCATTATATTGCATGAAAATTCAAGCAAATCATGAATTTGGAGAAGGAGAATTTTGTTTGATCGTGTTGTGGACGCGTCCTCATCTCCCCCCCATGATGTCTATGCAAATTTTTGGCCAAGAGGTTCGCCTTCTGTCCAAGGATCTTTCACTATCTGACGTTCCCTGGTCAGGCTACCGAGGAAAAGGCCGAAAATGCGCGTCTTTCCTCGTTCGTCGGCGCGACTGCTCTCGGAGATTTGGTCAAATCGACACTGGGCCCCAAAGGCATGAACAAGATCCTTCAGTCTGGATCAACTGGAGAAATCAATGTCACCAACGATGGGGCCACGATCCTCAAGGCAATCCAACTAGACAACGCTGCAGCCAAAATTCTGGTTAATATCAGCAAAGTCCAAGACGACGAAGTTGGAGATGGGACAACGAGCGTCACCGTTCTTGCATCAGAGACCTTGCGCGAAGCTGAAAAGTTGATTGCCCAGAGGATACACCCGCAGACGATCGTAGAAGGATATCGGATCGCGAGCACTGCTGCCCTCAAAGCGCTCGAAAAATCTGCTGTGGACAACTTGTAAACCATCTCTTCAGCTCAGGCTGGTATGGGATCCTGATACTCTTTAGTTCGGACCCCAAAGTTTTCCGAGAGGATCTGTTCAACATCGCGAGGACAACACTGTCATCAAAAGTATTGTCCCAGGACAAGGATTATTTCGCCAACCTGGCTGTCGATGCAGTCCTCCGTTTGAAGGTATATCGCCGTTCCTCCTGCTACTCTTATATTAATTTCTGCAAAGGGATCCACAGACTTGGAACACATTCAAATCATCAAGAAAGTCGGCGGAAAGCTGTCCGACTCATATTTGGCAGAAGGTACGTTCTCTATGACCTTAGTATCACAATAACTGAGTTTGAATGTAATCACATGCAGGTTTTATCCTGGATAAAACTATCGCCGTGAACTCGCCCAAACGAATGGAAAATGTCAACATCCTTATCGCCAATACCTGTGAGCTGTCTTAGATTTCAAGCAAGTTGGATTCACACTCTGGTCTAGCTATGGACACGGACAAGATCAAAATATTCGGTGCCCGCGTTAAGGTTGACGGCACAGGGAAGTTAGCTGAGCTGGAGCGCGCCGAAAGAGCATGTTCCTCTTCCCGAACGGACCCCCTGCGTTCTCTGACAGGACTTGCAGGAGAAAATGAAGGTCAAAGTAGATGCCATTGCTGCCCATGGGATCAATTGTTTCGTGAACCGACAATTGATCTACAATTATCCCGAATCCTTGTTGACCGAAAAGGGTATTCTGACTATTGAGCACGCCGACTTCGAAGGGGTCGAGCGCCTGGCATTGGTGACTGGCGGAGAGATCGCCAGCACCTTTGACCGTCCTGATCTAGTCAAGCTCGGACACTGTGAATTGATCGAAGAGATCATGATCGGAGAGGACAAGGCTAGTCAGTTTCCGCTCTGCTTTCTCTTTCTCATGTGTCTATAGCTGATCAAATTCTCGGGTGTCGCCGCCGGAGAGGCATGCACCGTCGTACTGCGAGGTTCCACAAATCAGATGATTGATGAGGCTGAGCGATCCTTGCACGATGCGCTGTCTGTACTATCACAGACGGTGAAGGAGACCCGGACTGTATTGGGTGGTGGTTGCTCAGAGATGCTCATGAGCTGTGCCGTCGAGGAAGAAGCTCGGAAAGTCAAAGGAAAGAAGGCCATTGCCTGCGAAGCTTTTGGCCGGGCACTGCGACAAATCCCTACGATTTTGGCCGACAACGCTGGTTACGATTCTTCGGATCTGGTCTCCCGTCTCAGAGCAGCCCACTACGAGGGCCAGTCTGATGCCGGACTGGGTTGGTTAACCTGATTCTTTGCGTTTCATGCATTCATGATTGGGCAGACATGGAACTCGGGACCATCGGCTCAATGAAACAGCTGGGAGTGACGGAGAGCTATAAGCTCAAGCGTCAGGTTGTACTCAGTGCGACTGAAGCAGCTGAGATGATTATCCGGTCAGTCTATCTCCGTCTACCCGCCCGTTCTCGTTCTCATGTATTGCCCAGTGTCGACGACATCTTGAGGGCTGCACCTAGAAGGCGCGAGGCTGTCTAGTTTAATATTCCAGTAGAAGTAAACTCAAATTTGTAACGATGATGTCACAGGAGTCACACCTCCGCCTTGACCGATACCCAGCACCTTATTGGACCCATGCATCCTTCTCTACGCGCCTTGGGAGCGCGGGCTCACCAGCCTCTGATCAAGTTCGCAGGCAGACGGACATGGCCATCCAGTGTGTCATGCCTGCCACATCTCAGATGAACCTCATCCCGCCTCTAGCTCCAACCACACCTCATGCACACCCTGCCGCGCCGCCTGAATTCCAGAAGGTCTTCACCGGTGCAGCCCGACCATCTTCAACCATAACGAAGGGAAACAGCAGTCACGTTTTCACCGAGTTTTGGCAAGCACCCGAGCATGTCTGGAATCCTCGAGTGCATTCTTTGGAGGAGAATGAGATTGAAGCTATTCTCGTACGTCTCAATCTATACCATCCATCTCATTCATGCTCACCCATCGCTCTCCCTAGAGCGGGGGAGCATCTCTGCGGTAGACGCTATATCTTAGACATTAGAACAAAGAGTCGCATTGACCGAGTCACCATTCGAAATTAGTCCTTCTCTGCGTACGCTAACAAGTGCTGTTCGATCTCTGCCTCGCCCATCACCCGCCAAATACCACGCGTCTTCGGATTCTCTTCATCAGCATTCGAGATGATCCCAATTTCAATCTCTGCGGGCTTGTAGTCGGTCGCATGAACGGTGGACATAGCTTCAATAGCCATCTTCTGACGCGTTAGCCCGGAAAAGATTGCTGGAAGAACTCAAGCACCTCAATAACCGCACTTCTGCTCAGATTCTTTCCTGCTTGCATTGGTTCATCAGCACCCCTCCCGGAATCGAGCTTTTTCCACTTCTTCTCGAGATGGTTCATGGCCTCTTGTTGCTTTTGTCCGCCCGCTGTGGCATGGAATCCTACAAAGAAGCCAGCTGGATCGAGCTTGAAGCACTGGGGTCCGAACTCAGGGTCAATGCCAATGAGAATCATCGCTATTGAAAGTGTCAACAGTGGACAGTGAGAGAAAATGGGATCATACAGATCCCCAAGGGCCGCATCGCCGCTCGTTGCGTGTACACCTGGTTGATGTTCGCCAACCTACGCGCCAGCGTATCTGGTGTTATCTCGTAACCGTACTTGTACCTGAACTCGGCCGCTTCCGATCGCGCACGAGTGACTTGAGCGCGCGCATCCGCTGGAGGAACTTCAGCACCACCTACGCGTATGAATTTCATGGAAAGCGCAAACCAATCAGACCCGTCATTACACAACCGATCGTGGGGGTGATGCTGAACAGGTGGGTCACAGTCGACGCGTCCAACAATTTATCCTTAATCTATGAATGAGATTGTCGAAGTGCAACGAGGATGACGCACTGGGACTTTGCGCTGTGTGATAACCACGGACGTATCCTTTCCACGAACAGCGATGGCCGTGTGTCCTGAGCCAGTGATAGCCTTGAACGCATATTCTTGGGAAGAGATTCAAGCCAGGGCTGCAGAGAGCTGTAACCACTGACCGACTTGATAAAGGCGTCCTTCGGGTGAGAATACGGTTAGGTATCTACATTATCGTTAGAGATTGAGCAGTGAAAAACGCGGATTTCATGCCTGTCGTATGAAGTTCGCGACATGGTCAAGATGAGGACGCGTAAGTGGTCACGAGGTGTCACAACTCATTTAGGCGCGGATCCGGGATGGTTAGCTAGCCCCGCGGACTCGGTGGAGCCTGCATCTGTTTGAATCTGTCTCAACTGGAAGCGTTCAAACTTCAAGTCTTGGAAGTCCTCCCGAACCACTCGACATGAATGATGTGTCAAAATGTGGATGAGAAGAGAACGGCTGACAGGCGGGGACAACTACACGAAGGCTAGTGAGGCATACTACTTTTTCAGACGACTACTGGTTCTTCTTCCCAGACTTCCGACTTTCGACGAAAAGGACGCGTCGTTGTACTAAAGAGCGGTCAAGTCGCTGTCTCAAAAAGATCCGACGCATTTTACATACCAGTCGGGTCGTACTTCACAGCGGAAAGTTTAGGGCCAGTGCGAACACGCGTACGAGTGTAGAAAAACCCCGTCTGGGCGGTGGATATCAACCTCACAATGACAGTTCTACGGAAAGAAAAAAGTCAGTAATTATAGAGAGTGAGTCTGGTGTACGAACCTGGCTTTGGCCTTCGCCATACGAAAGTCTCGTGGTAAGAGGGATTGATCTCAACACCGCCACAACATCATCTACTTTCCCCCGTACGTGGCTTTCGAGCTCTGAGAGCCAGACCGCTGAGATCTTTCAAGGAGAAGCGAGAATGATTTCCCATACGACATTATATTCCCTTGCGAACAGTCTCGGCGTTCTTGCCATGATCACTGTGGTGGGCTACCACTTTGTTGCAGTGAACGCGAAGCTGCTCTCGAAAGATTCCAAGTCCTAGAGATGCTCAACAGTTATGTGAATCGTGCTCTGATGTTCATTTTTGAATCCTCACTCATCGTTATGTCTCAGCATTTCTATTCGCCGGTCTGAATGGGAAAAATGTGGGCTTCCGTTGTTTCTCTCTCTCCATAGACTTATTCATGCATGTTCTTTGCGCAGCGACCTGAACGTCAATTGCGCCACCTGCTTTTCTTCGTAGTTGCTTGTGCTATTCAAATGAGATGAAATACAGTCCCGCATTATTCAAGTTGTTACAAAGTGTCCTCTCAGGTTTCCAAGTATTCTACCAGTGTGGTGGTCTACTATACACACCCTATCGCGAAACCTGCGCAAACAAGTCCCGCCACGTTCAGCTTCTCTTCCACTTCGCGATGCGACGACTTTTATTTCTCTGGACTCTGCTGCTGAGCATCGCAGCGTCCAATGCTCTACACTTCTACTTGGACGCCAACGAGAAGCGTTGTTTCATCGAGGAGCTGCCCACGGACACTGTAGTAGAAGGTATATGAATTCATGTCCGTGATCGAACGCGTTTACATACCTTGGCAAGGCCACTACCGTGCTTTGGAATGGTCAGAGACAGACCAGGCCTACGTCGAAGATCCCAACCTGGGCATTCTGGTGGACGTCGATGTAAGTTCACGGCTTGCAACACCTACTCCATTTTGACGTGCAGACAGGAAGCAGAAAGCGGTCACAGTGTCGTCAAGACTAAGGGTCCGAGCGACGGGCGCTTTACTTTCACTTCCCATGATGCCGGCGACCACACCATCTGCTTCTCTACGAATTATACTTCTTGGTTCTCCAGCACTCACATTCGACTTTATCTCGATGTTGTCGTTGGTTCCTCCAAGGCGGACGGAGACCATGACCGTTCCCATGTCTCTGAACTTGCAGCAAAAGTCCGAGACCTTAACATGAAGCTGGAGGATATCAACCGAGAGCAGCAGTATCAGCGAGAGCGGGAAGCGGACTATCGGGACTTGAGCGAACTGACGAATGCGAGAGCCGTATGGTATAGCATTGCTCAAATTATTGTTCTTGTTGGAACTTGCGCATGGCAGCTCAGACATCTCAAGGTTCGTTCAGTATTATATCTCCTTCACGTTTTTGGGATCATTCACACTGCCCAGAGGTTCTTTGAGGATAGAAAGATGCGGTAGCGTATTGCACATGTCATTAATCCCATCTGTGTTCATTCTGCTCCTTCGATCTTGAGCAACACTTTCTTCCCATATTGGCCGGAGGATAACTTGGCCATCGCGTCTCGAACTTTCTGACCGGCGACCTCATCCGTATCCTGTGCACTCACGACCAGGATTTCGTGTTCGGGCGCATTAAGCTGGAATGCGCCTGGTTTGCTGATGCAGTCATAGATCATTCACGGGCGTACCTTGCCTGAGCTGACTAGATCGACCAAGGAAGTCATCACCATTTCTGTCTCTTCCTTGGTGTGGTTCTTGTACCAACGACTTTGCCAAAAGCCGGTGCAAGTGAGATTTTTGAAAATGAAGGCCGAAGTAGGCAGTGCCAGAGGCTGTTTGGACATCGCGCCGTATGAGACAAGGAACGCGTCGTGCCCTAGCAATCGGGTCATGGCGGTTGTGTCCTTTCCCCCAACGCAGTTGAGACCCAATTTGAATCCCTGGATACCCGTCACAAACCAGCCGGGAACAAAGATGAGGTGGTCGTACCCTACCGCCTGTCCAGTTTTTCATTACTCTTTCTGTCAATTGTCGGTCTGCAAGGTCGTCGTAGGACAAGACCTCAGTTGCTCCCAGTTGTTTCAAACTTTGTGCCAGAGATTCCAGATTGGGGCTTGCGCGGACGCGTGAATATCTTGGACTAGAGAAAAAAAAAGACGCCACGGACCGGTTCCTGACGAGATTCAGGGTCTTTAACCCACGAGCAGCGGCGATTTGGATGACTGCTTGACCCACAGCACTGTTCGCCCCATTCTACGCACGCAGACTTGAATGCGACAGGATGAGAGACAAGCAGTTAAAGACGCGCCTGCAGAACCCAATCTCCTTCCTGGAGTTTCACGAAATCCGCCAGCATGTTCCAGGCTGTAGGTGGATTGACCTGGCAATGCTCAAGTTGTGATATATGGACCCCAATCAACGGACCGTCATGGTCGCTCCATGAGCTTCGGTGAGACCCACTGCCCGAGGCAGCTTAAGGACGTCGCTGACAGAGACATTAGAAGTCGATCGCCAGGTTCCCGACTGAGGTTTAGTCATCACGACCCAGTCTCCCTCGCTGAATCCAGAAGCCCCAGAGCCACAGTGCAGAACCTCGGCAAGGCCTTCATTGCCCCCGACAAATGCCGCCTCGTCATTCAAGACAGTGGAAGCGGGTTTAGCCGGGTAGACGCCCTGAACAACGTTGATGTCTGCTGGGTTAATAGGTGAAAGTAGGTACTTGATGTTGAGCGTGTTTGGTGGCGGAGACGGGAGCGGTTTGAACGTTACTGCCCGAAGGACCTGTTCGGGCTCGCCATTCTGGGTATAGACGATTGCACGATTGGCGCGTTTGAGGGAGGCACGGAAAGCCATAGGACGTCATGTGACAGCACCCTTGGTCCCATGGCATCTCATGGCATTCGGTTTCTTGACTCATGGATCATCGGACATTTGAGCAAACATATCTCCACACGCTGCTGCATTGATTACAATTGACCTCTGAACTAAGATACATCTAACGGCTGAGCATAGTCCTTCCGCTAAATCTGTGGTCAGCGACTGAGAACGACAATACTAATACATGACTTACGACACGGTCTTCTTTTCAACAGTCGCTACTTCCGTCTTGGCCCGATTCAGCACTTTCTGGAACTCAGCAACACGGTGTCTCATGCGGGAGTGCATATAGGCTTTGGAGCACTTGATGTGATAGTGGAGATAATCGCGGAACAGTTGGATGTGTGAGATCGTGGCCAGTGCGACGGACGGATTCGAGAAGTGCCGGGGAAAGAGTACGAAGGTGACGTAACCCATATCATCGGTCTTGCGCAAGTCCGCCAAATGGCGGATTTCTAGCGGAGGGTCGCGGCTGGAATACAAGACTTGTGGGGCATTCTGAATGGAGGGTTGTCTTCTGGCGTCGACGAATTCCTGTACTGTGTTCGGTTCGGAGCCGGGAGTATCAAAGCAGGATAAGTACCTGTAGAAAGACTTTCCCGTAGATCCGATCGGTCTCTTCGCGGAAGACGGTAGAAAATATGACCGTCACGCGGTCGTGCGAAGCTTGAACGTATATCGCCTCCTCGTCGCGATAATGAACCTCCATCAATGGGCCTGTTCCTGAGCCAGCTGATTCAAGGCCCTTCTGCGAAGTGAATGCGGCTTCGAACGGAGCAGCAAGAGCATTGCGCTTGAGCAAAGCAACGGACATGATGAACGCATCACGGTCCTCTAGATCAGATATGAGATTTTATCTGCACGAGATCAAAGGAAATAGGTACCTGTATTGGCTGGGAGTTGCTGCAGGTCGATGGAGAGGCTGACATTCCATCCAGGCTCAGGCTGCGGTTGGAGCAGCGAACCATATTCGCGATTGAGCACGCTTAATGCGCCAAATGCGACGAGCTCGTCCCAGCAGCGAATGCTCATGGAAAGAAGGAGCATGTTCTTGTTGTCCTTGTCCGGACTCGAAAGACGGAAGCGCACGCCATCGAAGTCTACAAACTGGACGTCAACCGAAGATGGTCTGTATGAGTTTATAAGACATCGCGTGGATGTAATGAGAGATGGGTAGGTCACTTGGCATGCTTCTCGTTGAGAGTCGTCTGGATGATAACATTGTGCGATTCCAGGAGAATCATACTGGAGTGCTATTAGCAGGATGGGTCGTAGTGGCTGTGTGATCAGGTGTGATCAGATGGGCACGAGCTGCCAAAACAAACGCGAGCCAGTCACAGTGACAGCCACGAGAGGTCAACAAAGGCTCAAGCGCGTCGTGGTTTCTTGTTCTGCTCCATCATGTCCGATCTCGCATCTCTCTTACTTGCCTCATTGAATCCGGCGACTAGAAAGGTTGCGGAGCAAAGTCTCACCGAGTTGAGCTCTCAGCAGGGTTTTCTTGGGCACCTTCTCGGCTTGATTCTCGACACGAGTAAAGAGCGAGCCGTGAGGCTTGCTGGGAGTGTCTACTTGAAGAACATTGCAAAACTGCGATGGGAAGAGGTAATTCTCGAGAGGATCTTTCCGATCCCTACTGACCCGCCTGGTAGGAGGAGAATTCTTTGGCGGAGCTCGACAAGAGCGCATTGAGAACACAGCTCATTCCTGCTATGATAGCACTCTCCACCAATTCTGCAGACAAATCAATTCGCGCTCAGATGGCTGAGAGCATTTCTCTCATTGCTCAGCTCGATTTCCCTTCGAAATGGCCAGATCTCATTGATGTGCGTCAAATGTCATCTTTGGTCGAAGAATGTCTTCGGACGCGATTGACCTCGCATTGTTACAGCAATTGACTCGATCGCTATCAACGTCTTCTTCGTTGGCCAATCTTGCGATACTTCAAACATCTCACTCCATCTTCTCGCAGTGGCGCTCTCATGTTCGTTCTGACGCTTTATTTACGGAAATCAACCTTGTCCTGTCGAGATTTGTGGACCCTTTCCTTGGACTCTTCCGGCACACGGCGTCGCTACTACTTGGCCAGACCCATTCAGAAATGTCATTGCACGCCGAGATCATGGTTTTGCTACTAGAAATCTATTATGATTTTACATGCCAGGATCTACCTCCCGCCATCGAAGACACACAAGCTGAATTCTTTAGTCCACCCGATGGCTGGTTCCAAAAACTTCTCCTTTGGAATCCGCCTTCTCTGGCTGTTGGAGTAAGCAGTCTCAAGCGGGCTCCATCTTGCTGGTCTTTGGATTAACCCTGTTCTAGTCGGACGAGACGGTCGCATCCTTGCCTTCTCAGGTCAGGACTGGGATCCTGCAGATAGCAGAGGTATCATTCGCATGTTACCCTCGCACAATTCTAATTTGTGATGTAGCTTTTCTTACAATTGTACCCCGAGCAATTGCAGCAAAGTCAAACCATAGAGTCCTACATTCAGGCAGTCTGGAATATGGTTGGTGATGATCGCATGCCGAACATATCAGACGATGGGGTGGGGTCTTCTCTTGGCCTGTGTTCGACACTCACCCTCGCTCCAGCTTGTCTCCCAAGCATTGCGCTTCCTCTCTGCGACTATCCGCTCGAATCATTATGCTCAACTGTTTACTCCCGCCACTCTTTCCACTATCATCCATTCTATCGTTGTGCGGAATGTGATGTTTCGACAGTCTGACGAAGAAATGTTTGAAGACGATCCGATGGAGTTCATTCGGTCCTCTCTGTCGGATTCAACCTCGACCTCCACGGCAGGGTTGGCTAGTGGCGGTGCAGATGGAAGAACTCGCAGACAGGCTGCAGCCGATGTTCTCAAAGCCTTGGTGGCCAGTGGGTTCGAGCGGGAAGCGACGAGCGAGGTGGGGAATTGGATCCAGATGGGTCTTCAACAGTACAATGCGGCTTCACCGGAAGACAGGAAGACAGAAGCCTGGAAGGCCAAAGATGCATCGATCTATCTCATGATGGCTGTGGCGACACGTGGATCCACTGCTCAGGTTCGTCTGCTGTTCACGTCAAGTTGTGGTTCTCAATCTCGTGTCAGCATGGTGTGACGTCGACCAACGCTCTCGTCGATGTCGTCGGCTTTTTCTCAACCAATGTTTTCTCCGATCTTGATGCAGTCGAAGGTCAAGTCAATCCCATTCTCCAAGTGGACGCTATTCGCTTCCTTCTGAGCTTCCGAAATCAGGTATTTCACACCAGTGCTTTGTGACCCGATCGATGCCTTATCTTCCATAGTTGAAAAAGGAGGATCTCCTTCTGGTTCTGCCTCTTTTGGTGCGGCACTTGGCGTCTCAAAATTATGTGACCTGCACATACGCGGCCATCACTATCGATCGTATTCTCAGCATTCGACGAGAAAGCGGAGTGCTGTCAGTACCTACTTTTTGCTTGTTAGACTGTGAGGCTCACACTCCTCCAGGTTCAATCAGGCGGATATCCATGAGATGGCCCCTCAGCTTGTTTCCGATCTGCTGAGCAAAATCGAAAGTGCCGGGACGGCTGACAAGGTGGCTGAGAACGACCATCTCATGAGATGTAAGTTTGAGGCCGTGACGGAAGCTGATGCTGACATTAACTGAAGGTCTCATGCGCGTGATTTTGACCGCCAGGCAAACACTCACACCTGCCTATGAGCAGACTCTTGGTCGCTTAGTGGGAATTCTTGGCGTCATCTCTCAGAATCCCAGCAACCCGCTCTTCGATCAGTACATATTCGAAAGCATTTCAGGCCTCATGAGGTCTGCCTGTTTCTGCAAATTGTGTTAACTCGATTTGACCAGTCGTAGATTTGTCGTGGAAGGCTCGCCGGGGACCCTTTCCACCTTTGAAAGCGCCTTGTTCGGACCATTCACCATCATCATTGACCGCGACATTGAACGTGAGCTTCCATTGGCTGGGTTTGATTGCGACTAAATCATCTAGAATATGTTCCCTTCGTCTTTCAACTGTTGGCCCAGATGCTGTCTCTGCACAGTTCTGGTGTGCCAGTGCAATACAGGCCGCTTCTTCCGATGCTGTTCACTCCGGCATCATGGCAACAGAAAGGAAGCATCCCAGGACTGGTCAAGCTGCTCAAAGCTTTCCTCGAGCGCGACAGTGCGCAGATGACTGCCTCGGGTCAGATTGCTAATGTGTTGGCGGTCGTGCAACAAAGACTAATTCCGAGCAAATTGAATGATGTCTGGGGCTTCGAGCTGCTCCAGGCTGTGGTCGCCTTTGTCAAACCGTGAGCCTTAGTCTCTCAAACGCCCTCCAGGCCATCTGACATCCGTTGCCTGCAGATCTGACCTCCAGTCGTATTTCAAGGCGGTCATCATGACACTGCTCACGAGACTCCAGACGAGCAAGACCGACAAATTTGTCTATCTGTGTGCCAAATTCCTGTTGTATTGCATGGCCCTCGATATCGATGGCTTGGGTCCTGACTACGTGATCCGCCCTATTGAGGAAATCCAGCCCAAGTCAGTGCTTTGGTCTTCCTCCGACTCGCGCTAACCCGAAGCCAAGATTGTGGAGCACGATCATGACTCAGTTTGTGCTCCCTCAAATTCCGCTCATGCCTCAGAAGGATCGCAAGTTAGCCATCGTTGGTGCGATCCGTCTCGTGATGCGGAGCAATGCCATGTTGCAGGAACCCAGCGTACAGCCTTGGTAAGCTGTTTACCACAGTTTCAGTCTTCAGCACTGATCGATATCCAGGCCAAGTGCATTTTCGTCCATCTTCCAGCTGTTGTCTGGATCATATCTTGAAGGCGCCACAACATCAAAAAAGACAGACGACAACACCGCCATCGGACTGACCGACATTGACATCGAGGAGCAAACGGCTGGTTACCAAGCTGCCTATTCCCGACTGGCGGCGGCGGAGGGTACCGAAGCAGACCCTGTTGCATATGTGCGAGACGTCAAGGACTTCTTCCAGAACGAGGTCCGCGAACTGAAATCTCGCAACCCTGCTCAACTCCAGGCGCTGCTCTCGGCTGTAGATCCAAATGTCGCCAGGCCCTTCATGTAGACACATCACGCACTCCGCAATCTTATCAGATACACAATCTATCATCATTTCTGTTGCACGCAAACTTTGTTCCTGCTTGCGCCGTCATTCATCATACCCGGTTTGTACCGTCATGCTCGCCCGCCAAACGTTGAGTCGCGCCCCCGCCACACTTTCTAGAGCTGGCCCTGGAAATGCGCGCACCATGGCTACTCTCCGAGAGATTGAGCTCCGTCTCAAGTCCGTTCGCAACATCGAGAAAATCACAGCGTCCATGAAAATGATTGCCTCGACCAAGTTGGCAAAGGCTCAGCGTGCCATGACTGCTGGCAAGGAGTATGGTATTGCAAACTCCGGTACGTTTTATGCTTGCAATACTCGAAGTGTAGCTATATGGCCGTCACAGAGGTCTTTGAGCACTCAACTCCGGCCTCGGCCTCCACCAAGCGGCTGTTCGTCGTCATCTCTTCCGACAAGGGTCTGTGCGGAGGTATCCATTCTTCCGTGACCAAAGCGACGCGCCGAGCTTTCAATGGCGTCGCCGAATCTCCTCTCCTGGATGCGGACTCCCAGCCTGTGGCTGTGGATGCAGACACGCCTATCATGGTCGTCGGAGACAAGTCCAAGGGCCAACTTCTGCGCACCATGTCACAAAACATGCGCATGACCTTCAACCAAGTTGGCAAGGATGTCCCTACCTTTGCCGATGCTGCTGGTATTGCCGACCTGATCACCAAGAGCGGCGTGGCGTATGACTCCGTTGTCATTGTCCACAACAAGTTTGTCTCTGCGATTAGCTACGAGGCGGGTGTCACCGAAATTCGTGGGGAGGCCGGCCTGAAGGAGAGCGGTACGTGTCTGTCTACCCCAATATCAGATATCCATCCTCAATGCTCTTCAGAGGGCTTCAAGGCGTACGAGATGGAGGATGACTTCACCAAGGATTTGGCCGAGTTCTCGCTTGCCAACGCCCTGTTTTCCGCTCTGGTTGAATCCCATGCTTGTGAGATTAGCGCCCGGTGGGTTTATTCCCTTTCTGTCTAGGATTCTGCCAACCCAGTCAAAACAGTCGCAATGCCATGGACAATGCCTCCAAAAATGCCAAGGACATGATTGGTTCGCTCCAGATGCAATACAACCGAGGCCGACAGGCAGCCATCACCAACGAGTTGGTCGATATCATTACCGGTATGTCTCGCTCATCTGGGCTACATCTCCGTTCACGCATGTCTTCCCAGGTGCCAGTGCCCTCTAAGTTAGATTTTCGAGTAGCACATAATGGAATGATGCTTCCTGTTCACCCGATGCTTAAGTTCGGATATGAGATATGCTGTATAGACCTGTCGGCAATAACGATGCACATTACTCATTGATGCACAAAATACCTCGAGAGCTACCTTACCACGAGTACGATGTATCCCTAACATAAAGTACGCGACCATGGGGAATAATAAACAGGACTCAGAAAAAGATATGCTGTATGTATGGTACATGCGCTACGTGCTCTGTCTAATGGGGGCACTACCCTTCTCGTGTGCTGTGCGCAGGCTAGATGCGTGTTAGAATGCGCGAAATCCACGAGAGAAGCTGCCGACCTGTAATCGTCCCCATTTTGAGTGATATAGCGGACCCATGGCAGAGCCTGGTAACCGCTTTTCTCCACAATCTTCAGGTATCTGACCTGGATGCCAGAGACCGTAAAGTAAGGGATCTCATATTTGACGGTAATGGGGGCCCGTTTCTCGTTATCGTGTTCTGTATTCGAAGATCATGGAAATAGCCGCAGCGCAGAGCGTTGGAACTGACCGTTCTTAACGCTGGGCAGACCGAAATGCGCACGCATCAAAAACTCCTTCCCGCCGGCCAGTTGCTTAATCTTCCACACGAAGGCGCTTTTGTCAGGGGCATATTGCACCGTGCCGGTGGACGCCTGTGAGATTTCATTAGGATTACGGACAATCAGACGGAGGATGAACGGCGCACGCGGAACTTGGGGCTATCTGCATCATCAGGGACTGGGACGTAGATTTCGACGTTGTTCGCGGTGCTCCTCCTCTTGAACTGAGCGATGACTTTGACCATGTATTCCACCCGACTTCCTTTGTGGCTCTCGACAGCAGCTTCCACCCATATCAGCGGTTTTACGGGCGTCGACAGGCGATAAGACATAAGCTCAAATTCCCCATCCGGAGGGATAAAGGAGATCGTGCGGTCGTTTTCAAATCGTGATAACCGTACACATTGGTGGAATTTGACGTCTTCCATTTCAATAGCCTTGCCTCTTGCAGCTAAGGGGTGTGTGAATGAAACGTGAAATCAAGAGATACCCATACGCACTGCGACCAGTGCTTTCAAACATGACTTTGTCGTTGAGCCCAAGTCTGAGCTCTGGCATGCCGGACAGATAACACTTCATCTTCACGGCACCAAGAATCTCAGAGCGGACGACGTCTCCCTTAGCATTCACGAGGAGATTCACGCTCTCGATGACATCCAAGAAAACTTCGTTTTTCCTGTACCGTATTCCCTCCGTTCGCCAAGACACGGCGTTTGTAATCGCTGGCGGAGGACGCACTTGGATTTCGAGCTTGTGCGACTCTTGCGTGATGTATCTGGGTAGTATGACGTGAGGCCGATACAATATCGGGTGAGTTCCGACGCACTCTTGGAGAATCTTGCTTTCTGTAGTTTGCGGATACCCGAAATCCATCATCTCGTCCATAAGCTCGTATATGATCACGAAGTTATCGCGAATACTCTCTTCCTCCAACTCTTTGAAGTATTCCACGAGTACCTGGGTAAGGCGGTGGAGAAACAGAATTGTCTCAGCAGCGTTAGAGTTTCGTTTAGAAAGGGCAAGCAGATAGAGGTTGGAATGTCGGATGTGCATGTAGTTGATGCCCTGGCTGGAGAAACAGGGAGTGACTTGTTGACCCTCCTCTTCGATTTCCAGCACCAAAGGTAGAAAGCGCTCGACATAGGATGCGGGGACATCGTCTCGGTACGACCGCTGGATCAGCGGCTTTCCCTTGAGATCGAGGATTGCAATAAGACTAGCCATGATGATCAACAAAGGTAAACACGAAGAAACGACTAATTGAGAGGAAACTTCGGTGTCAAGCACTTCCATGCGGTATTCAAGAGCCTCAGGGACATCAGTAATGCTCATTCGACAGATATGCTATTGTAGATAGCGCCGGAGTCTGAGCGCTGACGGGCGTGGTCTTCTGGCGCGTTGCGCCGCTGGCGGCGAAATCGGCGAACGCGCCAATCTGAATATTGACGTTTCGGCTTTGCCGATCACGTACGAGACAGCACAAATGCCGAAGACCGGCCGTGCATGCTTATGACCTGGGAGCAGTCCACACGGGACTGATCGATTGAAACCCCGACATCATAACTTCTTTCCTTCCTACAAGCTACATCGAGCTCGTTGCGCGGCGGGCTCCCGCCAAGCGACTATGTTGTACCTTACTTCCGATCTTTTCCCCGTCTGTGAGTAGGCCTTGTCACTTCTAGTGAGCTCGCTCACATGTTCCCCAGTCGTCCCTTTTGTGTTATTGGGTGCTTGTTACCGTTGCCGTCTGCCCAGTATTCCTCTCTAACCTCTTCGTCAGCTTCTACCGATACCTATGGTACCTCATTCGTCTCACCGCCTCCGCCGTCTATCGCCCAGTGCCGTTACCCGAAAACCCTACCTACATTGCAGCCGAAGACGTCACCATCATTGTCCCCACCATTGATGCGGGCGAAGAGTTCAAAGAAGCCGCTCGCAGCTGGCTAGTCGGGCAGCCAAAGGAGATTCTCATCATCACCGAGGAGAAAATGTTGAAGGAACTACAAGCCCTCGCCAATGCCGTCGATCCGGAACGTATCCGGGTGTTAACGGTGCCCTTTGCCAATAAACGACTCCAGATGAGCCACGGTATCAAGAACACTACGACTGATATCATCTTCTTCGCTGACGACGATGCCATCTGGCCTCCTACCCTCCTTCCCTCTGTACTCGCGTGTTTCGAAGACCAGAAAGTTGGTGGTGTTGGGACCAGTCAGCGTGTACAACCCGTCGGGAATCGCATGACGGTTTGGGAAGTGCTTGCCGCTTTCCGCCTCACCATTCGCAACATCGAAATATCATGCTCCCACACATCGACGGTGGCCTACCATGCCTCTCCGGTCGGACTGCTGCTTACCGCACACATCATTCTCAAAGACCCTGAGTTTCTTCACGGCTTTACCCATGATTATTGGCTCGGTAATACCAGCTCAACTCCGGTGACGACAAGTTTTTGACAAGATGGATGGTATCCCACGGCTGGAGTACGTACGTGCAGTGCTGCAAAGAAGCAGAGCTGCTCAGTACTATGAAACCTAACTGGCGATTCTCAAACAAGTATTGCGTTGGACCCGGAACACCTGGCGGTCGGATCTCCGCAGTCTATTCATGGAGCGTTATATTTGGACGAGCCACCCATACGTAGCATATACCATGGTCCGTCTGCTCCCACTTGGATTCTCCGA